GACATGTTATTCTAATCTCAACAATGAGTCATTCAATAATCGATAAAGAGAGAAAGCAACAGACAAAGCGGCGTATATCTTTTCTTTTTGACATTTTAATTTTTTTGTACAAAAAAGTACTGATTCCGAGGTTTATTTTTATGTTAACTTTTGTGCTATGTTCACCGTGAGAAAAACCGTAAAGTTTGTTTCTTTAAATCAAGACGATATATAAAAAGCAGAAAAAAATTTTTTTTAAAGCACTAAACAGATTAAATCCCGCTTTCAATTCATCTCCATCTCTTTCTCTACTCTTCAATTAAAATGTCACCATTGAGTACTTGCTTAAATACCGAAAAGCCATTTGTTTATGACTTTACAAGCGATACAGCCACCATTCCAACAGATGAGATGTTTGATATCATGAAGGCTGCTTCCCGCGGTGATGATGTGTATCAAGTAAGTCTGAAAAGGATCTATCAATTCATTCATCATGATTAGACAGACGAAGATTGTAAAGCATTAGAGGACTATGTAGCTGAATTAATGGGACATGAAGCAGCCTTGTTCTGTGTCAGTGGTACACTCTCAAATCAACTCGGTCTTCGTTGTCTCTTGTTCCAACCTCCTCATTCTGTCCTCTGTGATTCTCGTTCTCATGTATTTAATTATGAATGCGGTGGTATTTCATACCATTCTCAAGCCAATGTAGTCCCTGTTGTTGCTAGAGGAACTTATATGACGGCTCAGGAAGTTGAAAGCCGTATCAACAAGGATTATCTCTGCGGTGCACCTACCAAAGGTAAAACGAAGATGCAATCTCATACATGTTTTCTAAAGGATAATGATAGTGATCTCTTTGGAAAACACATTAAGTGGTACCATCATGCCAATTGAAGAAATCCGTAAAATTCATGATGTTGCCCGCGCAAATAATGTTTTTATGCATATGGATGGTGCTCGTCTCTGGAATGCTTCTCAAGAAACTAAAACTCCTTTAATTGAATACGGAAAATACTTTGATACTATCTCCATCTGCTTATCCAAGGGTGCTGGTGCACCTATTGGTTCTATCTTGACTGGTACAAAAGAACTCATTACTCGTGCTCGTCACATTCGTAAAATGATGGGTGCAGGATGGAGGCAAGTATATTTATTTCGTTTTTTTTTTTGTCCCTTATATTTTTTTTTTTTTGCAGCGCTATAGATAATAATAATAATAAAAAAGAAATCAATTGTATTTATTACATAGTAGGACTTGTTGTTGTATTAGGCGTAGTTGTATTAGGTGACTGTATAGAATTGGATTGATTAGCAGCTGCTAATCTTTTACCTTTAAGCATATTCTTTAACGCTCTTAATGCAAACACAGTTAAGCCAATACCAGCCCAATCTTCATCATGCAAGTCACGCAAATCCCCCACCGTCATGATATCTTGGTTCTGTAGTTTTCTTGCCCATTCATGTGCCTTATCTGCACCTCGATGAGATGCTTGTGCACAGTCTGCCACAAATACACTGATGTCTGTATCATCCGAGTATTCTATTCAGTGTTAATGTCTATCTATCTTGTCGATTCCCTCACCATCTAGAATATGATTCACTAATTTCTCTCGTTCTTTGTCATCAGGATGGCCGCCATTCAGTGTCATATTTGCCATTGTATCTGACATTTCAGTATTGGAAGCAGTCTTGAGTTCTTCCAGTTCTCTTAAACTACGCAATGCATTTTTATACCTTGATTCAGCTGCTTGTGCTCTTGATTCAAAGTCATTGCATTTCTGCTCTACTTCTAACACACGATCAGTGGCATGGCTTAACTCTTCCCTTGTTCGGTCCAGTTCATTTCGAATATCACTTTCCCTTCTCCAGACAGATCGACGCACTTGTTCTGCTTGTTCTGACTCTGAGGGTTTTTCAATATCACGTAAAATGCGGTTGATTTCTTTAGTGATATGGTGCTGGTATCGTTCAGGCAAAACTTGTTCTTCAATCATTTCACGTACTACTTCCTCAGCTGTGTCTGTCTCGACATTGAAATCAAACTTGACAGAGAGTTTATCCATGCCTTTAAAGACAACTTGCAATGTCAAGTGAATGTTGTCTGGATCAGCAGCCAACAAGACAACATCAGGTTCAACTGCTAGGAATGAATGCTCAAGAATGTCTTGTGCTGACATGCGTTCATGTTCATTTCCAAGGCAATTGTCAATCACACCAAGTACTTCTGGATTCTGTACTCGAGACAAGCAAGCAGGTTTAATGCCCTAATAGGATCAGTTCAAGTTCTAAGAAGACTCTACTTACAGAAGACACCTTTTTATAGATTTGCGCTGCATTTTTACATTCACCATAAGGATATTCACCTGTAGCCATTTCCAACAGACACATACCAAAAGCATAGATATCCACTTTTTCATTATACCCTTGCTCCTCATACATTTCTGGTGCCATGAATTCAGGTGTGCCAATCAATGTGTATTTCTTGCCCAACTTCATCTCTGCTGTACCCATATCACCAATCTTGACTTCTCCATGAGCACCATTAATAAATATGTTATCGCACTTGATATCTCGATGAATAATAGGTGGGTTATGACCATGTAAATAAGCAAGACCTTTCAGAATCTGTCGAGACCATCGCTTGATAATCTTGAGATTAGGCAAAGGAGCCAGTTTACGAATATATTCTCGAAGCGTACCCGACGTCATGAGTTCAGTAATAAACACGAATTCGTTATCACCGTACCAAGCATCATGAAATGCAATGATGTTCGGATGGCGTACTGACTTGAGAATCTGTATTTCGTGTTCTAGGTCCTTGTTATTGGGAGATTGCATAGCTTGCATCGTGTTCCAAGCTACCTCATAACCCTCTTCTCGATCAATCGCTTTATAGACCACTTTGTAAGCACCTTTACCCAGTAGTGTATTGAGACGAACATAACGTTCATTAGGTGCTACTTCAACTACTTTTTCAGAATCATGAGAGCGAGATTGATCGTTGATATCGTTGGTTGGTATGCCATAATCCAGGTTAGATGTGGTATTGACAGTCCGTTGAAAAGCAGTGTAATCTATTGACTGTGGAGGTGGTATGTCACTATTCGTGTTGTAGCTTTGTGAGAGAGGTGCGTAATAGTTGGAGTATTCATGTTCGTTGTCTGTATTGAAGCTTACACGCAGATTATTGGTTTCTTGTGGTATGGTATTATCAGAAGACATGATAGCGAAAGCAGTGTCTTCACAGAAATGGGCGATAAAATGCAAGAAGGGACTGTTCTTGAAAATGAGATCATTCCAATATAAAATCCGAAGTTAGCTTTCGAGCGTTAATAGAAAAGAAAATTGAATAGTCACAGTGAACAGTTCACTTAAAGTGTCTTTCCTGCAAAAGGATACAGCGAAAAGAGAAAAAAAAAAGAATCCTGTACAAAAAGAAGGTAGCAACTATTTATGCAATTGGTATTAAATGTGCTGTTTCTGGATAAGCCATAAAAAAGACCTATTTTTCTATCTATTTTGGTATGAATTCAAGGATAAAAGGTCATAAAGAACACAAAGGAAAGTGAAAGCAAAAGCTAGTCGAAAATACAAGTCTTGTGTGTATATGTCATGAATGAGCATAACAAATTACAACAAAACTGACAAAAATGCAAAAGCATTTTATTATTTTAAAAAACAATGCTGTTTGGTAACGCCTTCTCACACAAATTCAGTCAATTCTGTACTGAAGATGATTTGATTCTAAGGATGATGAAAACATAAACAACACTCTTGATTATTTTTTTGTTCTAACAGTATAAATGATCTACTTTTTCTTTTTGTCTCTTCTTCTATGTAAGTATATCATTTCAGTTTAGTAAAAATGTATCTTCACTTTGATTATACACACAAGACTTTAAAGTCAATGCTTTGTTGCTCTCTCAATCTAAATCACAAGGATTATCACTCTCACAAAAGACACAACTGCAAGAGCTCTTTGTATAGGACTGGCTTCAAGTTCCTGTCAAGGCTTATCTGTTCAAGTTGGTACAGTTCTCGGCATTGTTCGCTTGTCCTGACTTCTTTTATTGAATAAAAAGATGCCGAGAATAGATAAACTGTGATATTTGCCTAGAAGAAGTTTCTCCTTGATAACGTAGGCTAATATATCAGATTGCCCTGATGGACTATCACCCCATTAATAATAAGACACAAGCTTAGCTTTCAAAATATTCATATGTTTGCTTCTCTATTAATTATTGTTCAGGAATAGTTTCTTTGTAAAATCAATGGTCATAAGAATCTCTTTATAAAATCAAATAGCAAGAAAGGTCTTCTGAATGAATCGGCAGATGTAACTTGAATTTGTACTTGTCTAGCTTAAGTATGAAAAAAAACTAATTTATCAAGAATAAGCAGCATTTTTATCTGGCTTCCTGATTTCCCCCAAGCTATTAAGATGCGCTCCCTTTATGCCGGGGGGAAAAATGCACAACTGAAAGCATTTCTGTTTTTTTCATAAGAAGGAGCAAGTAGTCATAAACATTATAAATTTATTGAATAATACTTGTATGTCTGTCCTGAAATTCTACTCTTCTTTAAGCAATAATATACAAAATAGCTGTAGAAACTGTCTTGACTCAAGTGAAAGCTTTGTACCTGCATTTCTTAGTTACTCGAAACCCAAAAAGCAATCACACGTCATATTCAAAATCCGACAACCTTTTTTCAAATAAAAAAAAGAGTGCGACAATGGAGCTACCTATATGTCTGGTAGAAATCCTAAAGGAGCAGCTTTAAGTCAAAGCCATTATGAATCACCTGATGTCGTGGCATGCTTTGAAAAAATAGTCAGTCCTTTACTAGCAGAACTTCAGTCTTTGCAAGGCGATGTCGCTTTTACAGCACGCGAATTATCTTTGTTGACGGGTCAATTGCAGCAATTTCAACAAGACTGTCTGGGTGCTTTTAATCGACCTACCAACGCACCCATCCGTATTCCAGCCAAACTACTTAAAGTCCAAAATAAACAAGTGATCACGCCTGATTCAGCTATCTACACTGTGTTGTTGGGTGCTTATTCGTTCCGATTAAGACAAGGCTGGAAACGATGGGAATTTACCAATCCCTCTAAAAAACAAAAGAATGCTGATCTTATTCAGTCCATTCGTAACTTGCTGATCAAAAGAAGATTTATCCATGTGCCCAAGATTGCTATGGTTGAATCTGTAGATGATAACTGTAAAAAAGCCGTTTTGTCCATGGTGAAAAAGATTGGAGGCAAGTTCATATACCAATGACAGGGTAATTGACGTATCTTCTTAGCTACTTTTGTCCAAGATAAGAATGAAGCAACGCATATCTTACATGGGAAACTGCATGAATACAACAAGGACGGTATTGAAGAAGATTGGTTTAGAACGTTAGAAAAGGATGGCAATATGGTGCTTGTACACTGGTGGTATTACCCTGATTCGTTTGACAGCTGGCTTCCTCAGACACAACAGTTTGCAGATCCTGAAGAACCTCCTGAGCATACTGGACCATGGCGTATCAATGTGAGATGGTTGCAAGACACTGTTCGTTTCAATGAATTCATGAATGAAGAAGATTATGAAGATTTAGAAGAGGAGGAAGAGGAAGACGAAGAAGAGGACGATGAAGAAGAGGAACAAGAGATCACTCATAAGCGAAAACGTTCAATGGATTCAGTCAACCAAATCTCTTTTAAAGAACCTTTATTGGCAACCTCCATGCAGCAACAACAGCAGCAACAAGAACAACAGCAGCAGCAAGAACAAGCTATTTTGCCTCCTTTACACAACCCAGGCCATCAACCTGTTGTTCGTCAGCGCAATATTGAATTAGAAAGACCTCAAGTAGGCAGTCGACAGAGAAAGAACGAATTTGAACCCTATTTAAATGGGGATATGACCAACATCTCACAATACACAGCAGAACATGTAGAATACCCAAAGAGACGGAAGATACAAAAGACAGAAGAGAGTGGACCCATAAATATTATGTCTCTTGTCACTGCTATGCCTTATGGGGATGAATTGAGCTGCCCAGCATGGTTTAGTATGGACAGTATTCATGCTATGGAGAAATTAGCTTTACCCGAATATTTCACAAATCAAGCCGGATTGACCCCAGAAGAGTATAAAGAGTGTAGAGATTATATGATTACTATCTACAGATCCAATCCAGACTATTATTTGACTGTATCAGCTTGTAAATCCAAGCTAGACAAAGACCTTGTTCAACTTGTTCGAATCCATTCTTTCCTTGAATTGAACCAATTGATTAATTCACAGTGCGACCCAAGAAGAAGAATATTTGATCCTTATATCGACAGTAACCCTAAAGCACAAGTACAGCCAAAATCACAACGCGACTTTAAAGACGCTGGTGATGCCAACATTGAATATCTACGTGATTTGATCTATAATGAATCCAGTGTGTCTAAACAAACCTCTTGGGATTTGGATATTCAAGACCCACTTAACCCAGATGGTCGCAAAACATTCCATTGTTCAAACTGTCAAGTCGATTGTAGTGAAGTCCGTTATCAGTCGCTAAAGACAAAGAATTTTCAGGTCTGCATTGATTGCTTTTTAGAAGGCCGTTTCCCTGCAGCATTCTCAAGCAGTGATTTTTTACGCGTAGAAGGTCTTTCTGACATCAATATGGACGAAGAATGGTCAGATCAAGAAACACTGCGGTTATTAGAAGGCGTTGATAAGTTTGATGATGATTGGCTTATGATTTCTGAGCATGTTGGTAGTCGATCTAAAGAACAATGCATTACTCAGTTTTTGCAATTGCCTATCAATGATGCCTTCTTGACTGCCAAACTATCTCAAAAAGAGGCTCAAGAATTACCTTTTAGTCAACAACCTAATCCAGTCATGACTACAGTGGCATTTTTATCAGGTCATGTCAATCCCGGTGTAGGTGCCGCTGCTGCCAAGACGGCCCTGAAAGAATTGATTCAGTCTGGGCAAGACCAGTTTTCGGAACAAGTAATGCAAAAGGCTCAAGTGTCTGCTCTTAAGAGTGCAGTGGAAAATGCACATAAATTAGCTAGTTATGAAGACCAAGAAATACAACATTGGACTCGATTGGCAGTCAAGACCATGGTTGATAAATTAGCATTTAAAATACAACAATACGATGAATTAGAGACATCCCTTGTTAGTGAATTACAAGAACTAGAGAAGCAACAAGGTACATTGGCCACTTCTATTGAAACACTTACTTCACAGCGTGCGAGTACATCCAATACTGTCACAACCATTTTAAATGGTAATTTAAACAGTTAAAAAAAATATTTTATTGCATCATGTATATTGTCTTTTCTTAAATAAACAAAAAAAGAACCTTGGTTTATAATGTATAAAGGAGAACTTTGTGGTTGTTTGGAATAAGGTTAGCATCCTAAACTATGGAGTATGATCACTATGATAACAAAACTTGTATAAATAGAACAAACTGTCTTTTTATTTTCATTCTTTAATCATGGCATCATTAAAAGTGATTTATGCAGGATTTGGTAGAACTGGCACTTCTAATCTAAGAGGAGCACTTCATATGCTGAAGAAATATAATATCCCATAAACCACAATTATGATACGCACCACATGAAATATATTCTATATGACACTACATTGAAAATTAGCCATGACTTTTATGCAGCTTATCAAGACAGATCACAAACAAGTCAAATAAACAGTACCTGCCCATCAATTGTATGTTATGGAATTGAATGAGGAATAGCAAGGTACATGTGAATTCTTAGACAAACCCGTCCCAGCTGTATTTTATCCCAACCTGAATTCGACAAAGGTATTCAATTACAAGTTTAATATCAAATAACACAAAAAAACATCTATTTTTCTTTTTAATAATAAATAATTACAAATTATAAAAATTATTGAGATTCGTTCTTGAAGCTGAAAGAAGGAGCACCAGGAACAGAGCTTTCAGCAGCCTTCAAGTCTTCTTCAGTCCATTCTTCATGGCCGAGGATAGTGATAGTGTGGAAACCAAGGGCACGCTTGAGTTCATCAGTGGCCTTGTGAAGTATTTCAACTTCGTTAAAGTTCAAGGCACGGTTAAAGGCAGAGGGGCCTTCCTTGAGGATCAATTTCTTTTGTTCTTGAACAAAAGGCATGGCTTTCTTGTTCTTGAGAATACCTTGAGCACCTAACTCTTGACGAATGGTGTTGTCATCAAATTGACCATCCTTGTAGTTATTCTTCATGGTAACCAAACAAGTTTCTTGCCATTCAGGGAACTTGGTAGCAGCATAGATCTTGAGGGACTTGGGTTCGTTGGCCTTGTATTCGTTTTCGGCAGCCTTTCCCTTCTTCTTTTTCTTGCCTAAAGCAATTTCAGCATCACGGACAGACTTGATGGTCTTTCTAATATAGCGAGTAGCAGCATCAAGTGATTCATCAACAGGAGCAGAGACCTTGGGGAAACGAGCATCAACAATCAACCCTTGTTTCTTGAGCAAAGTACCCCAGATATGTTCAGACCAGTGAGGTGTGATGGGAGACACAAGCAAGGCTTGGAGTTCAATGTAACGCATCACAAGGTCCTTGTGCATGCCACATTCAATACTGGCTTGTTGATAAGCATCCTTGGCAGCTTGGAATTCAAACAAACCGTACTTCAAGACTTCACGGTAATAAGTGGCTTCATAAGCAGCTTCGGTTTCAAGAATCAACTTGTTCATCTCATTCTCAAAGATCTTGTCAAAGAAGTTCAATTCACCTTCACGAAGACTGTCTTGCTTGGCAAGTTGATCTTCGGCCCATTCCAAAAGGGTGTGGAGACGCAAGATGGCAGCATTAGCAGTAGAATCTTCAAAATTGGCATCTTCCACAGAGTCACCGGCATCAGCAAGAGCAAAACGAGTAGCATCAGCACCGTACTTGAGGACAGCGTCGTTCATGGTCATAAAGTTACCTGTGGACTTACTCATCTTTTTAGAATCAAGCATCAAGTGACCGTTGGAACGAATACCGCGAGGCCACATGCTTTCAGGGAAGATGGCAGTGTGATTATAGATGAAGAAGGTCAAATGGTTAGGAATCAAGTCTTTACCAGAAACACGGATATCAAGAGGGTAAAAGTATTCATATTCACGCTTCAAGCGATCCAAAGTAGCTTGAGGAATACCACAATCAGCAGGGTACTCAGTGAGTTTAAAGACATAGTCCCAAACAGCATCGGTCATTTGTTCAGGCTTGATACCAGCAGAACCCACAACTCTGCCGTTAATGGAGCCACCGTGCAAGAGGTTAGCAACAGTGTAATAAGCCATGTAAATAGTAGAATCAGAGAGAGATTCAACCAAAAATTGTTCGTCCCAAGGCAACTTGGTACCTAAACCAAAGCTACGAGCACAAGCCCACTTATTCAACCAGTCCAAGACAGATTCAAATTGGTTTCTGGTCTCAGTCGTGTAAGTGTTCATTTGAGACAAACACTTCTTGGTTTTGGCTAACCATTCTTCTTCTCCGTAATCAATGTACCATTGATCCAAAAGAGCAACAACACACTCATCACCAGAACGAGAGATGATCAAACTTTCAGGTTCACTGTAAGCAAAAGCTTCACCAGCCTTGATCATGGCTTCTCTGACCTTGGGTTTGGCATCTTGGACCTTTTCACCCTTGAATTCACCAATACACATAGTACCTTGGTAAAAACCTTCTTTGTAAGCAATTTCCTTGGCTTCAGCAAGTTGAAGACGGTCCTTTTGAGAGTTGATCTTTTTGATTTCACAGAGCTTAGGAGCAATCAAGTTACCATAGTTGGGTGTATCGATCAAAGGAACAGGCTCAAAACCTTGCACCCAAGAGGGATCAATCTTGTAATACTCGGGTTTCTTCTTGAGATCAGACAAAGTGGCAAAATCGTCAGGAGAGTCAGAAGGCACAGAGGTAACAACACCAGTACCCTTGGTAGCCAAGACAGTTTCCATAGGAAGCACATAGACAGAAGGATAAATACTCAGAGGAGCATGAATCTTGGTACCAACAACAGCAGCACCCTTAATGTCAGCCAACTTTTCAATGGTCGTACGACCATCAGCAAAGATCTTTTGTTGAGACATGTTACGAGCAGCACGTTCAGTACAGAGGTAGGCGTCGGTACCGTTGATGTTGTAAATACCATAGTCAAGGTCAGGGCCTACAAAACAGTTGGTTTGACCGTACATGGTTTCAGGTCTGAGGGTAGCAGCGACCAAATACACATTCTTGCCCTTGAGTACATCAGCGTAAGAAGCAAGGGCTTCTTGAGCGGGACCAGACCATTCAAGCACCTTCATCTTAATACCTGTGTATTCTTGAGGACCTACAGCTTCACCAGAAGCACGATCGTGATCCATACAAGGTTGGTTATCCAAAATAGAGTAAATCGTATAACGTTCACCAAACTTGATTTTTTGCATTGCCTTCAATTTTCTCATTTGCCAACGAACAAAGGAATCATAGTAAGGATTAGCATCTGTGGTGATAAAAGAACGTCTCCAATCAACCTTGGCACCAAAAGCATTTAAATCAGCAATTGTTTGAGGAGGGAAGAATTCAGTCCAGTAATAAGGATCAGCAAATTTGTGAATTTCTTCCTTGGGAATACCGAGTGACAACATGATTTGGAATTGGTAAGTGACATTACCTGTCTTGGCAGCCACTTTACTCTTGACGTTCTTGACTTCAGCTTTCTTTTCAAGGTCATTGGCTAAAGCAACTTCCTCATACTTTTCGAAATATTTACCAAACATTTCCATTTCACGCACAATTTTATCTGCACTGGCCTGACGTGACGCGTTAGTAGATGATTCACTCACTCATGTATCATTTTTTTTTACCTTGATGGGCATACCGGTACAATGGAAACCTTGAGGCAAAAGAGCTCGCTTACCCTTCATACGTTCATAACCAGTACCGAATTCAATCTTTGAGAAAGTAAAGGCGTGACCTAAATGAAGACGACCATTCATGTAAGGATAAGGCATGGTAGACATGTACTTGGGATAAACTTGGTGAAGGTCCTCTGAGTTGGGGTGTTCTTCAATAGTAGGGGCGTTGATTTCAAAAGCCTTTTCGTTATCCCAAAGGCTACGTGCCTTGTCTTCAAGTGCACGAAGGGCATCACGTTTGGCGGTCTATAGGCGAATAAGTCTTTATGTTTCTTTTGGCTGAATTGTGTATACCTTTGGTGCTTCAGCAGCCATGATTTCTAAAAAAAAAAAAAAAAAGAAAAGAAAAAAAAAATATTGAAATGGGGGTTAAATGGCGGTGTTTAGAAACTGTCAAAACTTACTGTACCTGTGGTGGCTTATCATGACATATGTTTTGATTGGACAGACTCTTGAGTCATAAACCTGTAGGTGGGTGTGTACTTAGTCATGCACGATTTATGCCGACATTGTGTACGGCTTTTCTAAGAGTACAAAACGGCTTTTAATTGTACCTTTTTTTTATTTTATTTTTTTCATGTTGAGTATCAATTCATTAAAGAAATCATCAGCACTGTAAAGCAGAGAAAGATGGTTCCAAGAAAAAGTAAAAAAAAGAAAAAGAGGGCTCAGCTCTTTGTTTATTTGTAACAAAAGAAGCAATGACAAGTTACATGCAAGCCAAAAACTCGTAAATACCAAAACTCCTGTCTTTTTTTTTATTCTTCCCCTTTCATCCTCTTGAATACTTTCTTTCTTCTTTCTTTTATTATTGTTATTATTGTCTTTCTTTAAATATGCATCATTTTATGTTTACCTTGTTTTTATCTTTGTTGATAGTAGAAGCCATTGAACCAGGTTTAGTTCCAATTCCCGGCAAACCTGTTTATATTAAAAAGTCAAGTTCTTTGTGGGTCTTTTCATTTTCAAAAAACACACAGGCAGGAAATAAGCTTTCTTATATCGATTTAAATCAAAGTTTTAATACATTAAATCCTCCAGTGTAAGCCTCCATGTATGTCTCTTTGGAACTTTTCCTAAAATTTGATAGCATTGACAAATCGTCACTAATCACAAGTAGCCAATGTCCTGTCATGCATTTTGCTCAAGCCTTGCCTAGTGCAGATGGCGTCAGTGTGGATCTGTTTGGTGCAGGCAGTGATGTGAATGGTTCTTATGAATCTTCCATGACCCTATGTCAATACAATACAGAAACAAATACTTGGAAGCGAATCTTGAACTCTGGGAATGTACCTCCTGCTAGACGTAATGCAGCCTTTGAGTTCACGAGTTCTAATCTTACTTTTGTCTTTGGTATTTTCATCATCTGTCGTGATAGTTTATTGATGACATCTATAGGAGGAAGCTCAGAGCCAATGACTGGATTGACAGCAAGTTCAGCTTATTATCCAAATTTCTGGCATCAAGATACGTTCATGTACAATAGTGCAACTGGTGTATGGATCAATGGACCTACTTACAATGGTCCACCTAGAGCAAATGCTACTATCACTCAAATCAGGTGTGTAGCTTATCCAATGAAAGAGAGTTTGACTTAGTGCTTTGATAGTGATACCAATGGTCAACTGGTGATTGTGGGTGGAGCCTTGATTGACAATACTTCTGCTGTAGATATGGTAACAAACTATCCATTGGCCAATATGTCCGATATTATTGTACTAGACCCTAGAACGTGTAGGTATTCTTATTTGCTTAAGTTTACATCAGCAAAAACTAATACATTTACCTAAATAAGCCATTTGGACCAACATAAAAACCAATGGAAGCGATATACCAATTGCCAGAAAACACCATACAACCACTTTACACCCTGATGGACATACACTGGTTGTCATTGGTGGCGAATACTTTAATGATGCTGGCGCCTATCTTTTAAACGATGTCTGGACACTCGATACTCGAAATATGAATAATTTCACTTGGACTAAACCAACTGTGCAAGGCCAAGGCCTCTATCGTTCAAACCATACTTCACTTCTGATTGGAGATCAAATCTGGGTGATTGCAGGTACCAATGCGAGCTCAAAAGCAGTGGATATCCAACTCCTCAATGTAACAGACTGGACATGGTCTTATTCAGCTGTGTCGAGATATGTCCCCCCTGAGCCTTTTGCTAGTGTCGGTAGTGTTAAGGGACTGATAGGTATTGTGATAGGTTCTTTTGTAGGTGCTTGCTTACTTGTGGCTGGTCTTACGTTTTGGTGGTGTCGTCGACATCGAATTAAGCCATGCTCAAAAAAGAATGCACCACCCAAGATACCCAATCACTATGAATCCACATCTCAGGATATCATGACCACTGGAAATTCCAAGGCGTATTTACCCCGTACTTCCCTCTCTACCACTGTCTCCAATGCAGAATGGAACGCTCATTCAACAATGCAACAGGCAAAGGGTCACTATATGCCTCAATTCAATACGGCTGCTGTACCTATCGGTTCTTCCACTTTACCTGCTACAGAGGGATATCAAAACGAAAACTACTATAGTCTGTACAACAGTAATCCAGGTATCGATCATTCTGATATCGAGCATCATCCTCGACAATCGATGGGCTATTGGGAATCATCTCCACCCTTTTTATCTCATCAACAAACGCATTTAATGTAAACTACATAGTTCATTCTATTTATAAGCTCACACTTTATAGGGAGTCACCTCATAGTAACTATTTTCTGATGCCTTTAGGGGCTGAAAAGACACCATTGAAGCCTATGTTTGGCCCACAACGTCTTCAAAAACCTAACGAATTGGATCAATTGATTGATGAGACTGTCTGTTCGTCATCCACATTGGATGAAGATCCTTCTCATGCTGTCAAATCGACTGATTCTGTAGTTGCTAACGAGGAAAAGAACAAATAAACATTGTATATTGACCTAATAAATACTTTCAAAACTGTGTTACTTGACCCAAAGATTCCAGCCAAGAAATACAATGCAAAATCTAGCCAAGATTGTTGCCTTACCTTTTTTTTTTCTTTTCTTGTTTTGAATCAAAGTTATGGCTCGAAAAAAACCTTGTCAATGTAAGTAAAGGACAAAGTCAAGACAGTCATACTGAACGGAATGAATCTATTGAAGACTGTAAAAGGAGAAGGAGAAGATGTGTTCAGATCAATGAAGACGATCCCTGTAAACTTTGCAATCAAATGAAGCAAGTATGCCTTCCTTGCGATGCTTCTTTTAGAGATTATAGTTCAGACGAATCTTATGTTGAGAGAAAAGAAGCATTTGATATGGAATCAGTTATTCAAGAAATAGAAATACTCGAAAGTCAACTAGAGCAGTTGGAAGACAGTGTAAATAACCATAAGAAGCTTGTGCGACATGAACCCGTATGGCAAATTGAGCTGAAAGATGGCCAGCTTCGACTTCAGTCAGAAATTAAGACACTCGAAGAACTGTTTCTGTTTGGAAAGGCAGCAATTCGATATCTTTCACCTTTTGGACATGCATTCCAGACTTGTTTTATATCTAAAGACAGTATTCCGAGTTATACAAGAAAAGCAATCGAGACCATTGCAAGAGCACAATTGGATCGTCATTTAATAGCAGCAAGTCCTCAGCATGATCAATGTTGGAACCCATCTAAGAGTCTCATTCAACCCATACAAACAAGAACAATGGTGGCTCAACTGGTCGACAAATACTTTGCTTGTTTAAATGTAATGATACCCATCTTACATGAGCCTTCTTTTCGAGAACACTACAACAGCCTTCAAGATCCACTTGAGGATATCATTACGTTGGCTATCTGCACTGCTTCTTCTATATCGACTTGTCGACACTCTTTTCTCAACACACATGAAAGACGATATATGGGCGAATATTTCTATCATCTCAGTATTGAAAAACTGGTCGAGATATTTGATGAGCCAGATCGACGGTTAGAGACATTAATTACCATCAATCTGCTACAGGAGTTTATGATAATAACATTAAGAGTAAAAGAACTACAGAAATGGAATGCTATTGGCCTTTTGATTGTCCAGGGTTACTATCAAGAACAAGAGTGTTTTCGTCCCAAGACAACCATCCATCTTGATAGAGCTAAAAGGATTAAAAGCGCTACAATGGATCGAAACATTTTTGTTATTAATGCTGCTAATTTTAATCTCAAGTTCTTTTTGGGATTTGAACAAATAGCCATACCGCCATTTGATATTAGTTTTGATGTCTTGCCTGATGAACCAAAGAAGACTCAAATGTTGTTTGATATTGCTAACCGAATCATGAAACTGGTATCATATAAGCCAGTAGTTCATGTCATCACGCAAACTCAATGGATGGCTGCAGGACATAAAGGAGAACTTAATTTTGAAGACATTTTACAGTACGAACAAATATTCAAGACATGGTGGTGTGATTTGCCAGACCATCTTAAACTATGCAATGACATGTATGCGATAACAGACGACCTCGTCCAAAGTACAACAGAGACTCCCAAACTGCTTATTGCTCTACTCATAACTACCCAAGTACTAAGCATCAACAGCTATGTGATACAACTGGTGTCTACAAAAAGAGATCAAGAAATCTACCGTTTGATAAAAGAAAAAACAATTTGTACGGTCATGTATCTTTCAGACACCTTTCTTTCATTGCACAGACAAGTCAATCAATTAGAATGCTATTGCTATTGTAAGTGATAAGTGCATTATTGTCTTTATCTCAACTTGTTTCTCTCTCCTTTTTTTTTGTAGCATCAAATAGTCTTCTTTTACGTACTATTGACTCACTTGTTACTTTGTCTCAAGTCAAAGAACTCAATGAAAATACAGCGAATCAGATCAAAGCCAAGATACGTTTCTGTATGAAAGACTTAACAATGCATGTCTTGCCAGACCACCAAGTGACACCAACTAATTCTCCTTACTCCATTATTGCCATTGCCCCTTCTGACAAATTACCCTCTCCTACTGAATTGTACAAACATTACCCTTTACCTTTTGAAGCATTGTCCTTTGACATTGTTCAAGTAGCATCTTCTAAAGTAACATAAATGCTTTTATTGTTATTATTATCATTAAGGTCTTCCGATCATAAATCGTTTTGAGCCTCTACTATAAAAGAGTTAGTATTCTTCAAGACAAACAAGATCAACCTTTTCTTGACGCGTTCATTTGTATAGTCATATTCACCTGAGAATCCCTTTTGTTTCTTTATCATGGATTCATCCATTGTGTCCAATTTCTTTAGATTGGTATTGGCACGTACATCGCGTCTTAATTGTTCTACTCTGTTAAGATAGTCTTCTTGAGCTTGTTCATTTTCACGCACATTGTCTTGTAAGCTGGCAATTTTGGCATCCAAAGCACCCAAGATGCGACTTGTACTAACAGACCAAGCAGCAAGTGCATTTATGGTCTCTTTTAGCTGCTGTGGTCTCAAATCACGGCCCATACTATACATGACTTGTAATTGACCATGTCGTTGATCAAGCTTGCCTGTGAATATACCTTGATAGAAACCATCAATAATCAAATCTTCTAATTCTCTGACAGTGGGTATATTCAGATAAGTTTGTAATATATCATAAGGCAATGTCTAAAGAAGATAAGTGACATGCTGCTCTGTCTGTGATAGTTACTTGTTGTGACTCAGAAAGTGTGGCAATAGACAGTTGTTTTAGTTTTCTAGTTTGTGCTTCATTCAAAGCAGGTAGTTGTGTTTGGCTTTCTTTTATATACATGAGAAGACGTGTCATGAGCCAGATTCAGGTTTACCTTCATAATCTTTAAATGTACCATACATGAATATACTGAGTAAAGTATAATAAGGTGCCACTTCTGGTAAGTTTGAAGCCTAACACGATATAAATATCTTTAAAGAAGAACATAAAACTTGCTTTACCTCAACTACATTAGGTAATTCATACAGTTCGGTAAACACATAAACACCTGGAGCACTTAATGCATCCATAATCAGTTTGGTGTTGGCAACACCTCTAGCTGATTTCGATAGTAAGAGAAAGGGTTGCAGCTTTTGACTGGTTGATAAGCTTAGATTTGTTTCGTTCATTGGATCTATAGTGAGTGAGAAAGAAAAAAAAAGGCAACTTATAATGCAACTTAAAAGACACCAGGTGTGTGCATAGGAACTCATGCAGACTCATTTCAATGGTAAGCTCTATTTTTTTACGTTGATAGATGTTTAGCGTAGTTTTTGAATTGATACAACTGTGACAAGTAAATTCACACAGCTTTGTGTGGTTCTGATCACTGATTAAGGTAACTTTGTCGAGTTGCACCTTTAAAAGAGCTTGTTTGTGTCATAATTGGTAACTACCACTTTATAAGAAAGCTTTCAGATTATTTGATTGTAGAGATTTGTCAGTTTTAACTTTTGCTTTTATTTGTGTGTATAATTCTCTAATTGTGTACTAATAATTCTATTGAAGGGGTTGCAAAAGCAAGATCAAAAGTGAACAGCTGTTAAATCTTGGTTCTAGAATGACAGGCACTTGTAACAGATACTAAGCAATCTGGGTGGGGTTTTTTTTGTATGCATTAAATTCCCTCTCTATCTGAACCTTTTGTTTTCGTATAATTTGACTTTTTATTACATACCAGCCAAAGAAATAGTCCAAAAGAGTCATTGAAACACAAAGAAATCTTTTGGATTATGTACATAAATGTGCATTGTTTATTAGAGCCTTTCTCTAGAAAATAGGTCATTGACTTCATTAAATCATCCAAATGGCATTGTACTTTTTGAGTGGGATATATCTTTTACTATAAAAAAAGTGTGATTAAATAAGAGCTATGAATATAGGGTAGTTTATATCATGTTTAGTGTATGTTCTAAAGGCTATCTTTCATATATCATGCATCATCAGTTTAAAATGATTTTTCATTTATATGATTGAAAACGATTTATTATGTTTGTACTGAAAGGTGCTCAAATTACAACACTTATGCTTCTTCTTCTGCTTTTTGATCCTCCCTTTCCTTAGCTTCTTCTTCTGCTTTTTGACCCTCTTCTTCTTTAGTTTTTTCTTCTTCTGCTTTTTGACTCTCTTCTTTTTTAGCTTCTTCTTCTTCTGCTTTTTGACTCTCTTCTTTTTTAGCTTCTTCTTCTTCTGCTTTTTGACCCTGCTCTTTTTTAGCTTCTTCTTCTTCTGCTTTTTGACCCTGCTCTTTTTTAGCTTCTTCTTCTTCTGCTTTTTGACTCTCTTCTTTTTTAGCTTCTTCTTCTTCTGCTTTTTGACCCTGCTCTTTTTTAGCTTCTTCTTCTTCTGCTTTTTGACCCTGCTCTTTTTTAGCTTCTTCTTCTTCTGCTTTTTGACCCTGCTCTTTCTTAGCGTCTTTTTCTTCTACTTTTTGACCCTCTTCTTTCCTAGAGTCTTTTTCTTCTACTTCCTTATTTTCAGTATTTGTCAGTTTTTCTTCTCGTTTAGCTGCCTTTCTCTCCATAGCAATTGTAATTTTGGGCTTATTTCCACAACGATCTTTACCGTAACTGATCTTGATATCAGCATATTCAGGCTTCATTTTGATAGCAGCCAAAGCCGTCATGGCGTTATTAATGCTCATGAAATTCACAAAGCCTGTTTTCTTAGCTGCAATCAAATTTACTTGCTCCACTTCACCATAGTCAGAGAAATCAGTACGTAGCTTATCTACTGTATACACTTCGGGATCAATACCACCAATATATAAATTACGCGTAGCGCCATTCTTGATAGCAAAGGCAACGCGTGGTGAGATGGTAGAAGGTTTTCCCCATCCAATTCTGAGTTTTCTACCTCGTACAGTGATTTGGTACTTTTCAAGAAAATCCTTGACACGCTGAGCAGCATCTTCATCTACAAAGGACACAAATGCATTCTGCGTGTCTTTTTGATACTTGATTTGTAAGACATTGCCTCCCTTAAGCACATTACAGATATCTTCACAGGTTGCTTCTGGATGAATGTTACCAATATAAAGTGTACGCAACACACTACTTGTAGCGTCTGCATCAATATGAGTTTCGACTACAGGCTGGTTTTTGTTGTTGGGTCTCACAGGAGGAATACCCAACGAGAAGTTATACTGAGTAAACACATCTGTACAGTGGTCTCGACCATAACCCACAGTTTTTTCTTTCCAATCAGGATCCAAAGCTAAAGATGAATTGCATTTGACAGCAGACAAAATGGATAAGAAATGAACAAAGGCGGTATTGATATCACGAATGATACGGATGAATTCAATCATACCAAAAGTCTTGAGTCTTGCTCGCAATGTTTCTTCTGTATCTTTATCGGTTAAACGACCCAAATAAACTGTGCGTGTGGCACCTGCTTCGATCTGAAGTCGCAAGACAGGAGACAAGGCGCTGGGAGTACCCCATCCCACTTTAAGTTCTACGCCTTTGACAACAAATTTTTTGGTAGTATAGGTCTGAAAGAACATGGCTGCTGCTGAAGGATCAATGAATGTAAGGAAGGCACAAAGCCTTTCTTTAGTGATACGGAACGTCTCAATGGCACCTTGATGAACGCATTTTAGGATATCATGAGGGGTGAGGTCTGTATTGACATTGCCTAAATAGATGGTTCGATTGGAAGGTCCTGTTGGTACATTGGCTACAAGGGAAGCACCGTAAGGGGATATGGATGGTTGTACGAGTGGTTGAAGATTGTTGTTAGGGTAAAGAGGGCGAGAACCATTAGGAAAGCCAGGTGGGGGACCATGAGGGAATCCAGATGGAGGGCCATAGGGCATCAAAGGAGCTGGTATAGGAGAAAAGCCTTGTGGGCGAGGAAGGTAAGGCATACCTGCTGTCATTTGTGCTGAACCATATTGAGTCAATAAGCCAAATTGAGAAGCATCATCTCTGGATGGATCAAATTTAGAAAACGTGGCTTTTAAATTTATTTCTTACCTGGGATTATCCATATAGCGTGGTCTTTTGCTTATATCTTGAGTAGATTCTAATTCGCGTTTCATGGTTGCTGATTTGGTGAAGCACTAAAAAAGAAGTATTAGAAAAAAAGACACGTTTTTAAGTGGGTGCCGATCAATAGAACAATGAAAAGAAGCAAAAAAAAAAAAAGAGAAAGAGGGTATTTTATATCTACCATTACCTTTTTTCAAGTAATGGTTTTAGAAATAAAACGAGAAATTTACCAAGAACAAGTAAGATCAGGATCGCTTTTTTTTGTGGTTCGAAACCTGAGAAACAAGATAGATTGTTGTTGATCAACTTACTGTTTGAATCACAAAGCTAAAGAAGACAGGGAAAAAACTATGGAACAAAAATAAATAGTCTTTTTCTTTATTTACAGACCAATCAAAATAGCTTATTTTATTTTGCTACATGATCTTTGCGCTTCCCACCACTTGCCTAAAAGTAAACATAAGCCTCTTGATTTCACAAATATAAGCTTACCTGCACCATTTTCGACAGTAACTTATCAACCACACCTCTATCATTCTCTCGCCACTCTACTGACCATCTTTCTCCATCTACAAAATCTTCCATGTCCATCCAACTGCCAAAGACAGGACGATTGTCAAGAGGAATTTTTCTACCCGATGCAGTTGTAATTGAAACAATCTTTCGAGTTCGAAAAGTAGCAATGACATGAATTTTTTCTGCTAAAGAAAGACCTGTCTCTGAAGGCAGCACATCAATCCAGACACGATGTTCTGCATTAATGGACTGGACTGTAATTTGGCGTACTTTTTCTGTACCATGTCAATATCCAGAAAAAAAAAGCTTGTTATCAACTTACTTTCTGGTTTGTCTTTCTTTTTGATCTCTGTTGGTTTTGGTGGGTCTTTTTTATCCACTCGCGATGGATAATAATTCATAGGTGGTTCTTGTGTTTCCATATTTATCTGTGGTGGTGGATAGTAACTCATATGCGGCGCATACTCTACAGTATGGTTCATATGAGGTGGATGTTCAATCGTTTGATTCATAGGAGGAGTATAATCTAGCGCTGGATAGGTATCATAAGAATAATGAACAGGAGGATATTGTGAATGAACAGGCTTATTCAAATGAAAAGGAGCATATCCTTCTGTCTGTGGAGGTAATATGACATTAAAAGGCTCAATGGGTTCTTGCGGTAATGGCTTGCTTGGCCAAGGAGAATTATTCATCATGGTCGGAGTTGCAGACTGTCGTTTTGTTCTTGGATCCTCCATGGTGTGTAATTGAGCATGACGAGGTTTTGTAGACATTTTCCATGTTTCGAGGCTTTTATTACTGTTTAAACTTGAACTAGATGTCTTCCAACTATCATTTGAAGATGTCTTCCATTGTTCTGATAAAGGTCTAGGACGTGAAGTAGGAATATTATTGCTCATGTAAAAAATTAGGGAGCTAAAGAAGAAGAGAGAAAAAAAAACAAGTTGCCGAAAAAAGAACGAGTGTACGTCAAGTAAATGTTTGCAACAAACAAAACGAAACAATCATTTTAATTGGCCAGTAGTTGCCTAGCAACGGACTTCCGAGCAAAAAGTGATCGCCTCATGGCTAAATTTGAATACAGTCAACGTGCAACTCCTTTTTAAACAAGCGCTTTTTTATATAAATTATGCTAAAAATATCACTCCTTGTTCTTTTCATTTTTTTTCACCCAATGCCACTTTTAAGTAAGAAAAGGCCAGAAGGACTTGAACAAAAGAGCAAGTCAACAATCAATGTTCCCATGTCATTTCGTACCATGAGTCGCATGGGCCAGTCCATGTCTTCTATGATGCCGACAAAAACCGAAGAAGAGCAAGAGACCCCTTTACCTTCGCTCAATATTCCATCCAAAAACTGGCAAGCAGCACAAGACAGTCTTTTGCTTGATATCAGTCAAGTACGTCAAGCGATGGATTTGTTCCTGAACTCTCGTATTTCAGAAGCAGAGGCTATTCTTGAACCCAAACAAAACACAAGCTTATATCATTCTTTGGGACATTCATTCATTTTATTCCTTAAGAGTATGATGACTTTCCAAAAGACAGATATTTCAGCGGCCATAGATGCATTAAAGCACACCATTCAATTGGCTGATGCTTTGCGCAAGAAAGAAATAGGTTGGTTGGGTAGCATTACCTCTTGGGTCAAGAGTATGACTGTTCAAGATATCTTGAACATGTCTCGATTACATCGTCATGCTGTAAGTAAACTATGCACCTTTTGCCATGTTACTAATGTTGGGAGTAGGAATTGGTATATGCAGAATCGTATTTACTCAAGGCCTTACTCTGCATTGTACATGATGAAAGTTTTGTTTCGTTCTTACGTGAAGGTCTTTATGTAAGATCCAGTTATAACACTTACCGAACATTACAAAAATTCCTTAACCATGTACGAGATGAAGCTATTCAAGGCAAGGATATCTCATCATGTGAGCTGGATGATCATTTTACATCTGGTGTCTCTCTCGGCGTGGGTTTGTTCAATCTCATGATTTCTTTATTGCCCACGTCTGTTGTTAAAGTGGTCGAATTCGTAGGGTTCACAAGTGATAGAGCACAAGGCATGGAGATTTTAGAGTCTGTAGGGGGTTGGGAAGAGTATGCTGGTCTTGCTCCTACTGAGCTGCCCCCAACACAAGACTCCAATGAAGGTTTACGCCGACAATTTTGTGACATGGCATTGATGATGTACCATATCATATTGTCCAAGTTGGTGCCATTGTCCGATGTCAACGAAGAATTATCAGACCGCATTTTGGCCTATAATCTCAAGTTATATCCTGATGGCGTCTTTTTTCTCTACTTTTCGGGTCGTCAATTAAGTGCTCAAGGAAGACTAACAGAAGCCAAGCTACAATACCAAAAAGCCATTGATACACAAAAAGACTGGAAGCAACTTCAACACATGTGTTTCTGGGAGCTAGGCCTCATCAATCTATTGCAACAAAACTGGCAAGAAGCCCTTGTCTGTTACACCACACTGCAAAAGGAAAGTAACTGGTCTAAAGCCGTCTATTACTATTTACAGGCTATTTCGCTTTACACGATATCTGAACATCAAAAAGCACACGAAATGATGCAGAAAGTGACTGGAGCCAAGCAAAAGATTGCAGGTAAATCGATTCCCTTGGAAAAGTTCGTTTCTCGCAAGGCGCGCAAATTTATTGCTCAAAACAACCGTTTGTTGTTTCCAGACTTGGAAGCATTGAATGCGTTTAGTGCATTTGATTTCATGTCAGAAGACGTGTTGCACAACAATCTGAACCGTACAACCACTGAGATTCAACGTTTGGAGAATGAAAAGATACATACGGAAGCATTGAACTATTATGATGACCTCTGTCTTAGCCATTACTTGCGTGCTATGATCTTGCGTTTGTTGCTAACCAAGTGTGGTGATAGTGACAAGGAATCAGAATGGAGAGCGTTGTATAAATCATCTGTCCAATGTGTGATGGAGCATGCAGACAAGATACAGTTGGACCATTATATTTACTACTTTACGCGCTATGAAGAAGCCCGTATGTTGATATATGACAAACAGTACGAAAAAGCCAAAGATGTTATTCAGTCTATTATTAGAACAAGTGAAAAAGGAACATTTAGCATTGGTGCAGGTCCTCATGCTAAAAACAAGTATAGTCTGGAAAATAACATTTTATTCAAGTGCCATAACTGTCTAGCAGAAATTGAGACATTATCTCAATAAATCAGCATATAAAAGAATGATGTAAAAAAAAACATCAGCTTATGAAAACATTTGAACGTGATGTTTTCTACGTGTGAATTCGGCCAATCGATGAATAATTTGGGTACCGAGAGTTTGAAATATTGCCACTAGGCTTACTGTTTTCACGTTCGAATTGTTCGTACAGTGAACGACTACAAAGTTTATTTCGATAGCTAATAACAAATGAAAACTGTGTTGAGCGTTTTTTAAGCTCGGTAGAATAATCTCTATTAACGGCTTTCAATGAATGACTGTAGCTTTTTTTGAATCAGGTATTTGCCTATGGTTAGGAACTGAATCCAAGAATGAATTCTTGCATGCAAAATGTATTGACACAATAGTTCTTTTTCAGTGATGTATTTGAGTTTGAAGGCCAAGTGAGAGTATATGAACTGAATTAAAGGTAAAAAGAACCTTCGACTTGTGAGATTGTTATCAAAAAGTCACTGAGCACAAGTGTATGTATCATCTAATTTATCCTTAGTGAATAGTGTTGAACATAATGTCCACAGAATCTTCTCAAATCGCTGAAAAGGACTTTGTTACAAACATTTGTAACTCTAGACGTGGGAGTCTTTTGATCTTTTCTTTTGAGAGCAAGGGAGTATGGAAGAAGATAAATGCATCTATATCCTCCACTTTCAACAAGTTTTTTATATTCTGATACTTATAGATAGGCGCATTATCCACAACAATGCAGTCACTTTTCAAAATTTCATGCTAATCGATTAAATTAAGCGTAATGAAATTGAAATAATGACCTTCTTTGCTTTGGCTTGTAGTAGTTGCATTTTTTCTAGACATATGTCTTCTCTTTGAAGGCTCAGTTATCTTTAGCTCTTTGACTTTAGTGCAAGTGAAGCCTAGCATAATCGATGACCTGATTTTTTTCATTGTTTGTTCATATCAGATTTTATCTTTGCTCATATCATTTCTCAACTCCGCACCAAGAAAGCATCAATATAAGTTTTTTTTCTATTTCGACTTTTTCTTTTCTTTTCTTTTTGTTTCTTCATCAAACTTTATCATGTCTTTGTCCAACAAGCTTTCTATTCGTGACCTCAATCTTAAGGATAAGCGCATCCTCATCCGGTAAGTAAAACGAGTTATTTTTCATGCACACATGTTTGCTGACAAAAAAAACGCGTCCTAGTGTTGACTTCAACGTTCCCTTGAAGGATGGTGCTATCACCAACAACAACCGTATCGTTCAAGCCCTTCCTACCGTCAAGTATGCTCTTGACCAAGGCGCTGCTGCTGTCATCTTGATGTCTCACTTGGGTCGTCCTAACGGTGAAGCTGTCAGCAAATACTCTCTCAAGCCTGTTGCTGCCGAAGTTGAAAAGCTCTTGGGTAAGCCCGTTGAATTCTTGAACGACTGTGTTGGTCCTGAAGTTGAAAAGACCTGCCAATCTGCTACTGGCGGTAAGGTCATCCTTTTGGAAAACCTTCGTTTCCACATTGAAGAAGAAGGTTCTGCCAAGGTTGACGGTAACAAGATCAAGGCTGATGCCGATAAGGTCAAGGCTTTCCGTGAATCTTTGACTTCCCTTGCTGATGTCTATGTCAATGATGCCTTTGGTACTGCTCATCGTGCTCACTCTTCTATGGTCGGTGTTCAACTCCCTCAACGTGCCGCTGGTTTCCTTATGCAAAAGGAACTTGAATACTTTGCCAAGGCCTTGGAAAACCCTGCTCGTCCTTTCCTTGCCATCCTTGGTGGTGCTAAGGTCTCTGATAAGATCCAATTGATTGAAAATATGCTTGATAAGGTTAATGCTTTGATTATCTGTGGTGGTATGGCTTTCACTTTCAAGAAGACTCTTGATGACATGAAGGTAAGAACATAACATGGGTTTTAGAGACATCTGATGTAACACATTACTTAGATTGGTACTTCTCTCTATGACGAAGCTGGTTCCAAGTTGGTCCCTAATCTTATCAAGAAGGCTCAAGAAAAGAACGTCAAGATCGTCCTCCCTGTTGACTTCGTCACTGCTGATGACTTCAACCCTAACGCCAAGACTGGCTATGCTACTGAATCTGAAGGTATTCCTGATAACTGGATGGGTCTTGACTGTGGTGAAAAATCCAACAAGCTCTTCCGTGAAGAAGTCCTCAAGTCCAAGACTATTGTCTGGAACGGTCCTTCCGGCGTGTTTGAATTTGATGCCTTTGCTAATGGTACCAAGTCTCTTCTTAATGCTGTGATTGAAGCTACTAAGGGTGATACTACTACTATTATCGGTGGTGGTGATACTGCCACTGCTGCCCTTCAATGGGGTGCTGGCGATAAGGTCTCTCACATCTCTACTGGTGGTGGTGCCTCTCTTGAACTCCTTGAGGGTAAGGAACTTCCTGGTGTCACTGCTCTCTCTACCAAGAACTAAAAAAGACATATTCTGTAAAAATATATATGATTTTTGTATAAAGCAATGTTTATTCAACGATAGAACAGATACGCCCAATTCTTATGAATTGCTCTGCATAAGCAACATCTTGTTCTGTCTGTCTTGTAGAAAGATCAAGGACTTGCTCTTGAATCGCATTAATTTCAGATTCGACTAAAGGTTGAGATTCTGGTGATAAACTGGCACATTGAACAACTAATTCTTGAATCTTTTCTTGAAGTTGAATGGCAAGCGTGTTGCGTCTTTCGAGCGCGTCCACATAGTTTTGAATGAGTTTTTCTAAACACTGTTGTTTTTGGCGAAACGTCAATGTGTCTTTGGTCAACTCGGTTGATAAATCCGTCTTTTGTTTATCAGTGTTTGTTTTAATGCTCCATTGTGAATATTCAAGTTGTTTATTTACCACTTGTTGATGAACAATATCCTTCAGTGTTGCTTCAAGACCAAACAATGCTTCTTTATACATGGTCTTTAACTGTTGATATTCTTGTTTACGTCTTGAGATATCATGAAGCACCAAGGATTTCATTTGTTGTTTCATTGATTCTGTTTGACACTCAAATCGGTTGTCGAGCTCCTTTGTCAGTTCAGACAACAAAGTAGTTTGAGATTCATCTGTTTCTATCTTTTGATAGAGTTTGACGAGAATTTGGTTTGGACAAAAAGGACAGACAGTGCCTTGATGAAATGCTATTGTTAGGCTAATCGTCTTTTGTTATTTGTGTTGTACAAGTTTATTATTACTAACCAAGAAGTATGAAAGACATGATTACAGTCTTTTGCTCGACATGGATCTTCTTCTATGGGTGAATGACAGATACTGCATAAGGACATGTTGAACTCATACATAAAAAAAAAATAAAGAGAAAAAGAGAAAACCAAGAACTGCCTTTTGTATATAGACCAAGCCATTTATCACTCTTTAGGTTCAAATAACAATGCATTCTACTGTGACTAAATCCATCCCTATTATCCAATAAAATTGCTTCCCTCCAATTTGTTCTGTGGCTTTTTGTATATGGGTGTGTAAAGAAAATCAAACTAAAAAAAAATATTTAGTTCTAGAAAGCACTTATTTTTTCTCTTTCTTTCTTTCTTTTCTTCACTGCATATACATTACTAGCCAACATGTCTTTGGTCGATAAAATCAAGGTATATTTGATGTGTGCTTTCTGTATTTTTTTACTCATACTATCTATTAGGAAATCGAAGTATGTATCGACATACAAGTTTATAGAGACTAATAAAGTATATAGAACGAAATGGCCAAAACCCAAAAGAATAAGGCCACGTCTTATCACTTGGGTCAGTTGAAGGCAAAACTCGCTAAACTTAAGCGTGATTTGCTTACACCCAGTAGTGGTGGCGGTGGCGGTGGCGGTAAGTTTATTTCTTGAAATTGAAACTTGACATTCATATCGGATGGTAGTTGGTTTCGACGTTGCAAAGACAGGTGTTGCCCGTATTGGTTTTGTTGGTAAGTGATAGACATCTTCTGTTTATCATAACCATGCATTAGGGTTTCCTTCTGTGGGTAAATCCACATTGATGTCCAAATTGACAGGTACTGCATCTGAAGTAGGTGCTTATGAATTCACAACACTTACTACTGTTCCTGGTATCATTCAGTACAAGGGTGCTAAACTTCAAGTAAGTCAATCGAAAAAAAAAAGAGATATAAGGTATTCACCAGTGGGTTAGATTCTTGATCTTCCTGGTATTATTGAAGGTGCCAAGGATGGTAAGGGTAGAGGTCGTCAAGTTATTGCAGGTAAGTAAAGCAAGTTACATATGCATCAAGTTTAACAAGGCTCTAGTCGCACGTACATGTTCGCTTATTTTCATTGTGCTTGATGTACTTAAGCCTATGACCCACAAGCGAATCATCGAAAAGGAATTAGAAGGTTTTGGTATTCGATTAAACAAGAGACCTCCTGCTATTATTTTCAAAAAGAAAGAAAAGGGTGGTATCAACATGACCAACACGGTGCCTCTGACCAACATTACATTTGATGAAGTGAAGGCTGTCTTGAGTGAATATCGTATTCACAATGCCGACATTTCATTCAAAGAAGACTGTACGATTGATGATTTAATTGATGTGGTTGAAGGCAACCGGTAAGCCTAATTGTGTTTTGTCCCTTATTGATTGTTTTAGTATCTATATTCCCGCTGTCTATGTTCTCAACAAGATTGATCAAATCTCCATTGAAGAATTAGATCTTATTTACAAGATTCCAAATGCTGTTCCTATCTCTTCTAACCACGAATGGAATTTTGACGAACTATTGGAATTCATGTGGGAGAAATTGAGTCTTGTTCGAATTTACACGAAACCCAAGGGCAGACTACCAGACTATGAGCAACCTGTTGTGATGACAAATGAAAAGTGTACTGTTGAAGACTTCTGTAACAGTATTCACAAGTCTATTATGGATCAATTCAAATGTGCTTATGTCTGGGGTTCTTCAGTGAAGCATAATCCCCAAAAAGTTGGTAAAGAACACGTACTTAATGATGAAGATGTTGTCCAAATTGTTAAAAAGTAAGTCTCAACTGGATATAACCATAGTGCTGACTACGTTCTTTATTAGAATCTAGATAAATAAAACTTAAATACTGTCACCATAGACATCTGCATATTTGCCAAGTGCCCAAATAGTAAAAGCAAATTTGTAATTGGGATAAGAAATCATACAGTTCTTGTTAAAGACACCTTCAATGCCTTCTTGTAACCATTCACCATTGGCTTGTTGACGCTTCATAATAAGTTCAATACCACGACGAATGGGTTCTTTGTGAGGATACTTGGCTTCTAAGAGAGCCATGACAGCAAAAGCAGTATTTACCACTTGAGATTTCTCATGATGACAATAGGTGTGTGTCTCACACGACTTGTAAGTCTCACCCCAACCTCCGTCTTGTTCTTGATGTTGAATCAAAAAGTCACAGCCACGCTTAGCATGATCTGATGTCTCATAATATTCATTCACACTAGCTAAACTCTGCAATGCAAACATGGCTGCATATGTATAACAAATAGCCCAAGAACCATACCATGAGCCATCAGGATTTTGCACTCGCTTGATGTATCTTAAGCAGCGACGACAGGTTTCATCAATTTCAGCACGACGGTAATCAGGGTCGATTTTGATAAAACTACGCAAGCCCATCAAGACAGCTGTAGTACATTCAGGATAACTGTACTCTGTCATGATATTGCCAAACACTTCAGCAGGATTCAAGAGTTCTAACAGATGAGGACCACGAATCTTTTCATATGTAGCAAAGCCATCATCTGAATTTTGCATGGTTAATAAGACATCAACCGCTTCACGAAGACGAGAGACATCAATCAAAGTAGGCAAGCCAGGTGTGGATTGTAAGGCGATAGTGGCTTTGATACCTTCAGCAGTACAGTCGGAGACAGTGTAGCCTTGATCTCTGGTACTGAATGGCCAAGCACCCTTTGAGACTTGACGATAACTTTCTTTCCAATTGGGTGGGTCACGACGAATCTAATCAAAGATGAAGTCCAAGGATTACATTCCCCTCCCTCTCTCTCTCTCTCTCTCTTTTTTTTTTTTTTATTAGTTACCTGAGTGAGTTCAATAAACTCAAGTGTCTTGACCATATTTTCACGGTATTCAAGGTGATCCGCCAATTTAGCTTCCACACAAGCTTGTGCAATAAAAGCAGCATCCCAAAGTTGACTGCCATTCGTACCACACATCATCATACCTTCAGGCCCCATCCACATAAAATCAGCATTACGCTCTACATGTTGCTTAAATTCATAGGCATCTTTGCCATAATGATCATGCACAACAATCCAATTCATGGCCTTATTGACAGGTCCAATATCCAAATAAAACGAATTTTCATCTTCCATTTTGATCTGCTCTACTGTCAATTTGAGCGCATAGTCTCTCAGCCAACTGAACTTGGAGGCCACAGATTCATGGTAAGTCATGGCATAATTAAGGACATCCATAATTTTAGAATGAGGGGTATAGAGATCCACAGAGCAGATATTGTTTCTTTGTTTGTCCCAGTGAATGGTATCGTAGGGTTCAGTGTAGAGTTCCTCTCGAAGGGATTGAATAAAAGTAGTAAGGGGTGCACTGATACGACGAGCATAGATATAGCCCATAGGAAGATAGACAAGGCGCGTATGACACCACCAATTACCTGGACAGATAGGAAGTGATTGAGGTAATGTCCTATTGAGATTGATAAGTAACTGTGGCCAGTCTCTATCGATGTATTTTACCATAATTCAGGGGGAATGGGGTTCACACCCTTCCAATCATACACACCTAATGTAGCAAGCCAAAATTTACCCCAAGCAGGAATACCACATGCACCGCCTAAGGAATGAAGGTAGTTACGTGCCTTCACAAGAGCAGGATGGTCTGGACCAAGACCAAGGATACGAAGAGCAACATAGTTGAGAGCAGTACCAAAAACAGTAGAAACTCCTTCAATATGGATACCCCAACCACCGTCTTCATGATGCGCTCTGTTTAACAAGTAGCGAATCAGTTCAAGACGCATGGGTTCAGGTATAGGTGTATTTGTGACATAGTGAGCAATCAATAGACCTGGAATTAAAAACCTATAGCGAATCAACAAAAAAAAAAGGACATATACTCCCTCCTTTTCACCTACATAGGACCACCATATTCACCACCCCAATGACCATCTTCTGTCTGTAACTGACGATAAAACTCAAATCCATTACGTGCTGTTTCAAGAGGTGTATTGGCTTTAGGAAGTTCAGGCAAGTTCTAAACAAAGAAAAAAAACAAGAAAGGACATGAGCAACCATGCATGATGGCGTTGTCAACATACCACAGGAAGACCTAAATGGTACTTGTCCCAAACAGTTTGAGGCCAAGCTTTACGTTCCTCATCTGTTTCCAAGTAATGCCAAGTTTGAGCACCTTCTACTACTTTTAAACGCCAGTTGGCTAAGTCTGTAAAAGCAGGTGTGTTGCTGGCACTGATAGTGGCTGGATAATAAGTTTCTAAGGCAATAGTCATAAGAAGACACGGAAGCTTTGACAGCACTAAAAAAAAAAAAACTTTGTTTAAATACAATGAGAAAGGGGCCAATCAACATCTATCTATATGTGAAAGACTCAATCTCTATTTAGGTTTTATTCTTGATTGTGTAATCTTCTGAATACCAAAAAAGGCAAACATGGCATAAGCGAATTTAAGTAACATAAAGTGTATTTTATTTTAAGGAATACCAGCGATGTTCTTGATAAGTGCTTGCAAGAGAACAAACAAGACAATACGTTGATTGTTTTCATTGTTCTGTTGCTCTACTTGTTGAATGATATTCAAGACACCAGCAAGAACAGGGTTAGTACCACCCACTGTGTTCTGAATACCTTGAATCACATTGAAAATAATAGCCAATAATCCAGCAGGGTTGATTTGAGGCACACCATCAACACCAACATCAGCAGATGCTGTTACAGTTACTGTAGGCATCAATTGAGAAAGACTAGGAATGATGTTGGACAAGTTATCAATGGCATTGGTCAGGGTAGGTACAACATCAGGTAAAGTGATAGAGGGAATAATGTTGGAAATATCAGAGATAATGTTGGTCACAGAAGGAACCAAGTTGGTTAAACTGCTAGGACAGACAGTAATCACAGGTGCACTGAAGGTAGGACAGGTAAGTTGAGGACAAGTGGCAGGTAAGTTGACAGTGATAGGGGGACCGGCCACAGTGACAGGAGGAAGAGCAGGTGCAGTTACAGTGATAGGAGGAAGAGCAGGTGCAGTCACAGTGATAGCAGGCAGTGTGAAAGGAGGAAGGACAGAAGGACAGATGGATGGCAAAGTGATAGCAGGCAAGGTGACAGCAGGGGCAGTGACGGTCACGGGTGAAGGAACAACCACAGTAGCTGGAATAGGCACCGTTACAGTGACGGGAGAAGCAACAATAGTAGTGGGTACAGGCACATTGATTGTGATAGGATCAGCAGAGATGGTGGTAAACACAGGTACGCTGACAGTAACAGCGGGTGCAGCAATAGTAGTAGGTACAGGTACGCTTAAGGTCAAGATGGTAGGAACAACAACCGTGGTAGGTACAGGCACACTTACAGTGATAGGTGCAGCCAATGTAGGTGAAGCAAGACCACCCAAGATACCATCCAACAAACCTGCTGTGACAGTGACAGTACCCACCGTGGTTGTGGTCAATGAAGTTGTGATCGTGATAGGCTGTAATCGAATCGTGGTTGTTTGGAGATTAGTGACAGTGGCAGTGATAGTGTTTGGGTTAGGTGCTGTCACAGTGACAGGTGGAGCAGTGACGCTGACAAGGACAGGTGCAGGAGTCACACTGACAGTGACAGGTGGAGCAATGACACTGACAACAGGTGGAGTGACAGTGATACTAGCGACAGATACAGTTCTTGTAGAAGTAACAGTGAAGAAACCAAAAATACCAGTTTGAGATACAGTGACAGTGGTAGGAAGACAGACAGAAGCTAATATGACATATTTAGGATTGGACTGAACTTGTTTTCTTACCTGAAACAGAAGGATTGATGCTAATCACTTGTCTATCAATATGAGGCATGGCAGCATCTTCTAAGACGGCATGGTCAATGGCTTGTTGTATCTATAGAACCATGAGTGATGTGCAATGTTTCGGTTGCTTACATCTTGAACAGCATTAAAGGGTAAAGTGACAGCACCCAAGGCACAACTCAATTGAGCCACCAGGAAGGAAAGGAAGAGACCCGTCTTTTTCATAGTAAAGAAATAAAGGATTGACCTTTTCTTTGATGTCTGTCATGTCATAATTTATAGTCAAAAGTCGATCGAAAAACTTAATCATGGAATGTTTAACATGTTCAATATAACATTCCTTCTGTATAAAATTTAACTTTATAGCCCTCTCTCTCTTTTTTTTTGTTTCTAGTTAAATTTACGCATATTATTTTTTTTTTTTTTTTTGGGTTTCTCATTCTTTTACAAACGATCAAATGTTGATTTCTATAATCATCTAAAGAATTTATATATAATATAAAATAGAGTAATATGCGTAGATGTGTGTGAATGTGTATAGTGTAGTGTAGAGTGTGTGTGTGTGTGTGTGTGTGTGGTGTAAATAATGAATTTAATAAATTTTTACGCATATAAAAAAAAAAGTATATGAATGGAATAGAGACAGTATAATATATATATTTACAACTTAACGTTCTTTCTGAGTTCTTCCTTGTAAGCAGTAATGGTACCTTCGAAAGGTGTAACATGACCATTCTCACAACGCCAGATTTGCTTGGCAACTTGAGAGATCAAACGGAAATCGTGAGAAACAAGGACAACACCACCAGAGAAACGGTTGATAGCATCAGCAAGTGAATCAATAGACTCCATATCCAAGTGATTGGTAGGTTCATCCAACAAGATAATGTGAGGACGAAGAACAGCCAATTCAGCAAACACAAGACGAGACTTGAGACCGTCAGACAAAGTACGGATAAGAGAGGTCTGGTGAGCACCAGTCAAACCATAACGACCAATTTGACGACGCCAGTGTTCCAAGTCAGAACCTTCTTGAGGGAACTTCTTACGCATGTAATCGATAGGAGACAAATCCATATCGAGTTGGTCGTTGGAGTGTTGTGAGTACTTACCGAGCTTCAAAGCAGTATGCTTTTGGATACGACCACCAGTAGGAATAAGCTCGTTGTCCATCAACTTGAGCAAAGTGGACTTACCAGCACCATTGGGACCGACAAGGGCAATACGGGAATCCATATCAATACCCAACTCGAGGTTTCTGTAAAGACAGTTTTCCATCTTACCATCGTAAGAGAAAGAGACATCTTGGAAAGCAAGCACAGGAGGAGGAAGCTTAGGAACATCCGTGAAGGAGAACTTGAAAGCGTTGGGGTTCTCGACCTTTTCGATCAAACCAGCAGCCTCCATCTTGTCAATGATCTTTTGCTTAGACTTGGCTTGTCTGACCAAGTTGGCATAAGTACCAGCAGAAGCAATAAACTTCTTGATGTGAGCAATTTCTTCTTGTTGCTTGGCGTAGGCCTTGGCTTGGTTGACTTCGTTTTCTTCCTTGGTCTTGACAAACATATCATAGTTACCACCATAGTAGATAAGCTTACGCTTGTGAGTCAAGTGCATCATGTTGGTACAAACACCATTCAAGAAATCTTGAGAGTGGGACACCATGACCAAGATACGGTCATAAGTTTTCAAGTATTCTTCAAGCCAGACAGTAGCTTCCAAATCCAAGTGGTTAGTGGGTTCATCAAGCAACAACAAAGTGGGCTTAATGAAAAGAGCACGGGCAAGAGCAACACGCATTCTCCAACCACCAGACATGTCCTTGGTCATCTTCTTCATTTGCTTGGAATCAAAGCCCAAACCAGCCAAGAGAGTACAGGCTCTGGTTTCAAAAGTGGCAGGATCCATACCTTCAATACGTTCGTAGATATCGTCCAACAATGGGTTATCAGCACCATCTTCTTCTCCAAGAAGGTCTTCGACTTGCTTTTCGAGACGAGCGACTTCCTTTTGAGCAGAGTGAATGACAGCTTCAACAGCATTCATGTCAGAGGGTTCAGCTTCTTGGTTCAAGAGGTAAATCTAGACAATAGGTTATGATCATACACTCCACACATAGTTTTAATGAGACTTACATCAATATGGTCAGGGATTTCGATATCACGACCAGCAAGGGATTGCAAAAAGGTAGATTTACCAGAACCGTTAGCACCAATAAGACCATAACGTCTACCAAAGTTAAGTTCGATAGAGGCATTGTCAATCAAGACACGACCGTGGAAGTTAAGAGAGAAAGAATCAATCTTAATATCTCTGCTTCTTTCTTGAGAAGTGTAGACACCAGTAGCAGTACGTTCAGCGTGGATCTTGAGGGTTTCAAGAGTCAAGTCTTCAGTAGAGTTGTTTTCTGAAGCTGTGATGGGAGTGTTCTTTCCAGAGGACTTGGTGCTACCACCCTTCTTGGCAGCTCTGGCTGCGAGACGCTTGGCCTTAGATGCAGAGATGTTTCCACTCATGATGATTCTGAAATAGAAGTGAAAAGAAAGATAAAGAACTTGAAAACTTTTTTTAGTTCTAAAATGATATGTGACTCTTTTTACGCAAAGTTTTGATTGGATAATAGAGTAAGGAGCTACCTTCTGTTTGAAACACCGCAAATACGCTTCGTTTTATCGATGTGGCAAAGTCAAGATAACCCTGTGAGACAACAGTTCATGATGAAATATACTTTAATACCCTCAAAAAAAAAAACTCTCAATATATGGCATATACTCATATAAAAATACTAGGAACTATCTTGCCTTCTTTGGTTAAAACTATATGCAATTATGGATGGCTTTTGAGGACCGATTTATCGTTTTGCATCTTATTCTTTTGATCTTGTAAATACAGAAGCAAAATCTATCTGTACAGTCTATTTAATAGAGTCAATTGAAGCTTTTTTTTTCTTTTGAGATTGACGTTATCCTTGATAAGGCTTTTCTTTATATTAGACAATGGTTGACTCAGGGGTAACAACTAGCATACGTTGTATGGGATGGCACTAAAAGTAAGACTACTCAATTGACACTCAACAATGCTTCTGAGTGAAAACATACTTTGGAGCTATTAAATCAAAAAAAATTTTTTTTTTTTATATATACACAAAATAACACTGGGTTTTATATAGATCCAATAACTGTTCTATATACTGGCTTTCTTTTCATTTGAGTTCGAGAATGGTTCAAACCGAATCAATAGTTCAGTGCAACCTTTTATGACGACATAAAATGTAACACAAGCATATTGGATTTTAGTATATGTGGCTTTTTTCAAGTTAAATTCAGAATGGTAGATGTTGAACTATCTGTGTCCTCCATACTACTACTACTACTATTGTTGCTGCTGGATTCAATACCGTCAAAGGCCACCATTTCAGTCGTTGAATTGAATGTATGCCTTAGTTTAGTGGCTCGGATTAAATCACCCCAGTAGAGAACAATGAAGCAACTAGGACATTCACCCTTGACTGGTATCAATTCTAAAGGACTCACCCACTCTTTAGCTAGACATTGAATATGAGCTGTCATATTATTACATAAAGAGCAATGAACATAATTCAAGGCATCACTCTACACATAAAGATATAAGTCACTATTTGCCTAGTGAATCCTACCATCTGAATAAGTTCATCACAAAAATAGCATTGTATTTGTTGCAATGGTTGCATAGAGAACAAGTCTAATTGTGTCTTTTCTATTCATTCATTACTCTATCGTGATGTAGAGCCAAGTCCTTACCGTATTCTTTTGTCTCCTGCATTAAATCTTGAATAGACCCAACAGAAGTCGTAATATGATCCGGTAAACGTATGTTTTCAAGAAATAAGGACTGCATATTTGGTATGACAAATCGGACCTTCAGGGGCAGAACAGAAAATGGTTTTGTGTTCAATAACAATTGTGCTGCCCACATCTTGGTCATCATTGAATTTGGATGGCGTGTAGTTTGAAGCATTTCTTTGATCTCTTTTAATTGCTGGGTATCATGAGTGGATATCTTTGTATGTCGGCTCTTTAATGGTTTCTGCCATGCCCATTCAAACTGCAATGCATGTATTTTACTTGGAAATCCATAGACAATCATGACAAACTCCCTATCATGAATAAATATAACACGATCACGTATTTAGAGTCATGTACCATGGTCTATTTCTTTTTGTTCGATAGGCACCTTGAGTCAATTCCCCATTGTGTTGCCTTAGTCTTCTTACAGGGTTAGGTGTTGACCCTACATATACTTTATTCTTTTGACCTTCTTTTAAAGAACGGATTAGATAACAACTATAAAAAGGGCAATAAGTCATTTGGAAAGAGAAAAAAAGATCCAAAGAAAAGCCACTTGGTTTATGCGTAGTTTTTTTTTTCTGAATGTAACACATAGTGACGTTTCTTGAGAAAGAAGGGAGGGTCCTTTACAAACAACTTGCGTAAGTATCATGATCAAATATGGAATGAATTTCATTGGATAAATAGGGAGATGCATTGTACAGCACATACGCTGAGAATAAATACAATACAAAACGAAAAAAAAAAGGCTTTTTTTTCTTTTTCTTTTTTTCTCTTTATTTATCCTATCATAAACAATGGCCGAGTTTGTTAAGCTTTCTATCTTTGGCACTGTGTTTGAAGTCACTACAAGGTAATAAGGAATTGATAGTATGACGCGTGTTTAAACGGTATAGATATGTCGACTTGCAACCTGTGGGTATGGGTGCCTTTGGTCTTGTTTGGTAAGTGGAATAGACCATGGTTCGATTGTCTTATATATACATATATTTTGCAGTTCTTCAAAGGACCAATTGACTGGCATGAATGTCGCTATCAAAAAGATTATGAAACCCTTTTCAGCTCCAGTCTTGGCAAAGCGAACTTATCGTGAACTAAAGCTATTGAAAGCACTTCGTCATGAAAATGTAAGTCTTTTAGAATTAAAGAGAAGGAGCTCATGATGTGATGTAGATTATTAGTTTAAGTGATATCTTTATTTCACCTTTGGAAGACATGTAAATATCATAAACGTATTTGTTTCATCACTAAACAGAACCTAGTTATTTCGTTACAGAATTATTAGGCACAGATCTTCATCGTTTATTACAATCACGTCCCTTGGAAAAGCAATTCATTCAATACTTTCTTTACCAAATCTTGAGAGGATTAAAGTATGTTCATTCAGCTGGTGTGATTCATAGAGATTTGGTAAGTTTGATGACAACAAAGCCTATATAGACTCATCAAAAACACTAGAAACCTAGTAATATCCTTATCAATGAAAACTGTGATCTCAAGATTTGTGATTTTGGTTTGGCTCGTATTCAAGATCCTCAAATGACAGGCTATGTGTCCACCAGATACTACCGTGCACCTGAAATCATGTTGACTTGGCAGAAATACGATGTGGCAGTAGATATCTGGAGTGCTGGTTGTATCTTTGCTGAAATGTTGGAAGGAAAGCCATTGTTTCCTGGCAAAGATCGTAAGTTGTGTTCTTATGAAGCATTGTATATTAATAGAGTATAGATGTGCATCAATTCTCTATTATTACTGAATTACTTGGTACACCCAATGATGATGTGGTCTCTACTATCTGTAGTGAAAACGTAAGGAATAACCAATCAACATCCACTAACATGACCTATATAGACACTTCGCTTTGTCAAGAATTTACCAAAGCGTGATCCTATTCCATTCAGTCAGAGATTTGCAGGACAAGATCCTCAAGCCATTGATTTATTAGAGAAAATGCTCACATTCGATCCTCGCCAACGTATCACGGCTGAACATGCTTTAGCACACCCTTATTTAGCCCCTTACCATGACCCTACAGATGAACCTGTTGCGCCTGAAAAGTTCGATTGGTCTTTCAATGAAGCTGATTTACCTATTGATACATGGAAAGTGATGATGTATTCTGAAATTCTTGATTTCCATAATGTGGATAATGTCGATGGATCTCAATTCTTGGGCACACCTTTGACAGGTCCTACTATGGAAAACCCTGATGCTGCTACTGTAGATGGTAATGTGGTTGCTACCAACACAAACTTTGCTCAACAATAAAATAATAAACACGTCATGCAAATTTGAATGTCACAAAATAAACCCTAGAATATGTCAATTATGTCAGGATTGCATTTTCTTTTTTCTTCTTTATGTCTTTCCTTGCGCGTCTATCTGGCTCTGTTCGTCGACCTGTTGTCTATACAGCCACTCGTTATTATACTGCTGGTGCAGTTGCTCCTCGTAAGTAGAAAACCAGCAATGGAACACACCAATAATAGTTGTAGAGTCACTTGTCAGTCGTCTCAAAGAAGATCGTAAGACACTCATGAAAGCCAAGAAACAACCTGATCTCAATGTTGTGAAGGGACTCTTGAGCGATTTATCGTATCATACAAAAAGTACTGAATTTGTACAAGGATCTTCTGAAGAAGATGCTGCCAAAGTAGTGCTTCAAAGAGCCATTAAGCGTCGTCAAGACTCCATTCATCAGTATGAAGCAGGCAATCGACCTGAATTAGCCAGTCAAGAAAAGGAAGAATTAGTGATCTTGCAGAGCTATATGCCTGATCAAATGACGCCTGAAGAAATTGAACAGGAATTAAAGGAAATCATTGGTGAAGTAGGTGCTACTACTTCAAGAGATATGGGTAAAGTCATGAAAGTCTGGAAGCGCGATCCTCTTACAGCTGACCGCAAGACAGTGACTGATATCTTGAAAAAGTTGTTGAATTAAATAAAAAGCCAAGATATTTTTTTTTTTTTTTTGTTAGGGCCAATTTTTTTTTCGGGTGCCTTGGCATGAACCAATCAAAAATGAAAAGAAATGCATAAAAAAAGACAAAGAAGCTTGTCTTGGCTCTTTTTTTTTTCTTTGCTTTTCTTTCGTTATTATCATTATTATTATTACTATTATGGGTGGAGGTTCTTTAGATAGTTTTCAAGATACATCATCATTATCCTCAAACCAGGATCAAACAAGACAACAGTTTATTCATAGAGTAAGAGATCTATATGCTATAGTGAGTATCCACTCATACTTGTATTGTAGTCGATTTACAATCCACTTTTACATCAATCAAGCTGGTCTACAACATCTGTTCATTCAGTCTATCCAGATTATAATCCAACTGAATTTGAACTTACACCTGTACCTTTGACTGTACCTGAATTACCACCTCGACCTGATGGTTATGGACAAGAAAGTGACAATCAGGTACGACTGATTTATACCAAGTCCGGTTTCTACTTGAGAGAACAAGAGAAAATCCACGGCTTTTTTACCGTTTTTTCAAAATCCATGGTAAAGTGATTAAATAGACATTGACAAAAAAGATACTTATATGGCATATCTAGGACCATGTCAATCTGTGCATTGCTTGGATTCCAGAATACTTAATTGAACCACATGATATACCTCAGTTTGTTGAGTTAGATGGTCTCTTGGCTTCAGACCAAGACTTTCCCTCTATTGGTTTAAATCTTGGCCAAGGCGAAACGACCATGATGACACTCAAGAACATCTATTCTTTATACATATGTCCACCACAACCGGACAAGCAAGGCTCTATTGTCATAACTTCTAAAGCAGGAGACGTGCTAAAACCACTGTGGTATACGGCAAACGATCAACAGGATTATGAACTTGATAAAGCTTCTTGGCCAGGCTACAATATCATTGATATCCTTCAAGCATTTCATCCTCTACAAAAGTAAGTAGCCGTTATCTATCCTTGTCTTTAACACCATCTCAGGTCTCGAGATATGGAACATGTCTATCTGGTTCAAGGTACAGAAGTTCCCCTGTCTCCTTCTGTTGCTTCCACCGATATAGAGAGTGAGCCTGTGCTTCAATCCCTTAGAGAAACACAATGGACCTTACTTGAACGATTATCTCGAATCACTCAATACTCTCGAGAAGCACTAGGACATCCTATGATTTCACCCCTCCTACCGGCTTCTTTGCGCAACAATATCACAGTACAAAACACAGTGGTTGATTACCCCATGGCCTCTCATTACTTGTCTCAATGGAGTACTGACCACGACTATTCTTTGGTAGATGATACAGAAGGACTTTTGCAAGGCATGCCAGAACTCGCTGGACCCACACCCATCCATACTCGCACTGCACCCCTGACACCTCAGGTCTGGGTCACTCTATTTGACCATGAAGGCAAGCTGGCTGTCCCTGTTGATCATGTACGTCAATTGATTTTTTCAGGTGGTCTCGAAAACGACATTCGTATTGAAGCATGGAAGTTCTTGTTGGGCATCTATCCTTGGCGGTCTACCTTTGATGAACGCGAGGCCATCCGTCGTAGTCGCACCGAAGCGTATTTCGATATCAAGCGTACTTGGTTCGATCATCCCGAGATCCGCAACACAGCTCACTTTAAGGACGAAAAGCATCGGATTGATAAAGACGTCCATCGAACCGATCGATCCCAGGAAGCCTTTGTAGGAGACGAGTTACCGAACCCAGATCCTGCCATGAGTGTAGGCACCAATGCCAACCTGGAGGTCATGAAGGACATGTTGATCAGTTACAACTACTACAACACAGACTTGGGATACGTGCAAGGCATGTCTGATTTACTGGCACCGTTATTTGTCGCGATGGGCGATGAGGCCATGGCTTTCTGGGCATTTGCGCAGTTCATGGACCGAGTCCAATCGAATTTCTATCAAGATCAGTCGGGTATGCATCATCAACTACAGACATTAAGAGCCTTGATTCAGTTCATGGATCCTGTGCTTTATCAGCGACTGGAAGCCACAGACACGTCTCATCTGTTCTTTTGTTTTCGGTGGCTCTTGGTCTGGTTTAAACGCGAGTTTGAGTGGGAAGATGTGATACGGTTATGGGAAGTGGTATGGACAGATCATTTGACAGACCAGATGGTCTTGTTTGTTGCTCTGGCTGTGTTGGACACACATCGAAACAACGTGTTGAATGAACTGGATCAATTTGACGATATGTTGAGAGTAAGTTGCATGACTGTCATATGAAACTCATAGCCTCCCCTCTATAGTACATGAACGATTTGTCAGGTCATATCGCATTAGACCCGACACTGGAAAGAGCTGAAGTACTTTACTATCAATTTGAACGTAAAATAAGAGCCATGCAACACAAACAAGGCTTGTTAAAAGAACAATTACAGATCAGATCTGTATGGAACAGTCCTCAAAGACTCAAGATTCAAGCTCAAGTAGAAACACTTCAAGTGCCTGATATATTAAAGTCTTTAATAAAGCCATGATTACATATAAACAGCCGTCGTTGAAGGACTGGCCCAAGAAGCCCAAAAGGCTTCACGGCAATACAAAATGCCTAACAAAGGAGGGCCAACAAACATACTTAGCCAGAAAAACGAACTACCGAGCCAAAATCGGTTTTTGAAGATAGGCATTCTTCCAATCACAATCAAGGGCAGTTGAAGCATTTGGATCGCAAACATGTACAGTCTAATCTTGTGTGTGGCAATGATCAGCACCAGTTCATGAAATATAGAAGAGAGTAGAAAAGTGACAAAGGTAGCATTGGTTTTTGAGAGGTTGTAGGATTCAATCGATTGAGCATAAACATGTCTTAGTAGCCAATGATGCACAGGTTTGTTCCATTTACGAGCAAATTCGTCATAAGTGATACTGGGTACAAGCGATGAGTTGATGTGGCAAGTGTCTTTATCTTACCTGTTCCACCAATCATCATAAAAATTTCGATCAGCAAACCTAGCACCAAACATTCAATATACCCTTCAATATATGACATTTATCTTACCTGCTTAATTCTGCGAATGCATTCAGAATACACTCGAAAATGATATAGAAGATAAACAAGTAATTGATCATAAAAGGAAACAAGAGTTCTAAAATGACACGGGGCTCAGACATGTTGGGATCATACAGTTTAGGTAAAATAAAACGTTCTGTAGTAACATATAATATCAAAAAGGAGCCAAGGGTAGCTGTTGTCTTTTCAAAAATATACCAGACTCGAATCTTGTCTGTTCGAGGATATTCCATCCAATAGACTAAACTAGGCACAATCAGATAATCCAAATAGTTCAATAGAGTGACATTGTCGGGGTACCGTGTGTTGCCATGGACTAATTCGCCCTCTAAAAACTGAATTTCGGCTTCCATATGGTCTATATCTGTCTGATCTGTGCCTGATGCAATCTGTTGAGGCAATTGTTTTTTCAGGTGCTGCAATCGTCTAAGTTTGACGGATAAATCCCCGTTGAGTGCGGTATAAGAGTGCATTTTCATTGTCATGACAATCGTGTGCATCGTAAAAAATCCAGATTGTACCCAAGGCCAGTCTCTGTTTAATGGGTCAATACAAGTCAATAGGTAGGCAGAATTACCTCCAAAATGTCCAATAGATATTCATAAACAAGAAAAAGGCTTGACAGACATGTTGTATAATAAATCCCACTTTCTCATAATCAAACACTTGCCAAACAAGCATTTTAGAGAAAAGCACACTGAATGTTGTCATGGATACCATAATCAAGTCCGAGATCAGCAGGGCCAATCCATCTCTAGAGAACAGCCGAAAGAATCCCAGGCTAAGCAAAATACCTTCTTGTTCATAACATCGTACCAGGGATTGAATGATATAAAGACCCATTGCGATCCAGAACAAGGTATAGAATCCACGAAAGGCATCGTTGGATCTGTCTGGATTGGTCAGATCAAATTGTGTGAGTCTTGCTCTAAAATGAAGGGGACGTTGTTTGGATAGTTTAAATTGAAGTCTAGGGGAAGGTTCGTTCACAATAGGCGGTGAAGCTGTTGTTTTGATGGCTTCTGTAATGACAGGCGCTGTAGCTGTCCTTGATAAAAGTGGAGGTTGTTGCATATCGAAAAGAAAAGAAGATAAAAGAAATAGATAAAAAAAAACAACAAATTTATAATGACGTATCTGACTGTTGTTGAGCATTGATTTGCCAAAAATGAATCACTCACGTGGCCAAGAATATCTTGAAGTCTTTTCAAATGGACTTTGAAAAATAGATAGAGAACGCGTTTCTAAATTCTGTCATTGGTTCGAAAATACGTAACCATGAGCTCTAAAAATTAGATCTTTGCATAATACTACAATTTATATATATAGATATTTTTTTATATTACAATGATGGAAGGGGGTTTTTTCTTTACTTCTTCTTGCCAAAAGTCAATGGTTCACCGATATTCTTTCCTCTTAATTTGATACCAAGAGCACGTTCCATCTTACCAAGCACATTTTGGTTAGGAATAGCCTTACCAGATTCATATTCATTGACAACTTGAGGCTTTTCATTGATGAGTTGAGCCAAGTCCTTTTGAGTGATACCCTTGTCTTGGCGACCCTTTTGAATGGCCTTACCAACAGATACGTCGACACGAGGAGGAGGAGCCACTTCGTTTTCACGGTCAATCTTTGCGATACGACGATGGTCAGTGTTGGCGTGACTAGAGTTGGTCAAAGTGCTCTTTCTGTCTGTCACAATAGAAGCACCAGCCTAGCATCAAATTAGTATATATACAAAGATATAAGACGATCCTTACTCTTCTGGCAGCGTTAATTTCAGAATCAGAACGAGTGACCTTGGCCTTTGCAGGGTCACGCTTACGAAGAATAGTTGTTTGGTCCCAGTCTACACTTGTTACATTCTTCTCTTTTTATTGTGTTAGCTTACCAGACATTTTTGTTTTCTATAATAATAAAAAAGAAAAAAAAAAAAAAAGCGAAAAAAATGAGGATGATGATGTTTAAATAACCAAAAAAAAAAAAAAAAAAAAAAAAAATTTCTAACCGCAGCCCCAAGTAACAAAAAAGGCACCAATGAAATTGTTTATTTTTGTGGAAAGTGATGGAAAGATTTATTTTCTGACAGTTTTTGCTCTTTCAACATAATAACGAGCTTCTTTTGCTCTATGAATTAATGCACCTCGAACAGTGGATCGCTTTAATAATTTATGGCCTTTTTGTACTGGAATATTGCGTCTTCTTTCATCTCTTCTTTTCTTGAATAATTCACGGCGATCCAGGATTTCTTCGTCTGTGACTCTGGTTGTGGATGCATATTGCATATAAGTACCATCAATCAGTTTATTGCAGTCTATCATGCGCTTTGGCATGTTCTTGTTGAAAGTGAGTTGATATACTGCCTCAATTTACTTACTTGAATGACTTGAAAGACTTCAAGTGGGTCTTGTACAGCCAATATTTCATTTTCATTTAATTTAAAGATACCTAAAGCAATGCGAAATAATACTTTTTGACCATCACTGATCCTCACGTATTAAACATCGCATGATGACAGACATGACTTACTAGAATAAACAATCCCATACACGTAATACGCTCTAGTATATACATCTAAGTTCAAATTCAACAATCAATCACACTTACCTCGACAGGTAAAATATTAATAAATAAAGTCAGGAACCAATGACTCGTAACCAGGGAACAAGTAGGCATCCCAACAGACTCTTGTTCTTCGCATTCCCAGAATGACTTGTTGTCTGATAATCTGTTCCATAACAGTGGGTGCCTTTCGGAGATCAAAATCATCAGCACGTTCTGATCAATATTAGCCCCTTCCATTGTCACATCGTAAATGTTGGGTGGTAATATTTCAGTAATCATAACCACAAATGTCCAAAAGGCTTCTTCTTCTGTCATGAACAACAAGAGCATACCTGCAATATAGTTCAAGGATTGACAATAACCAATGGCAGGGGAATAAAGAGAAAAAGCAAGCAAGACACGGCGTAATGATTTGATAATGGGTATGTTCTTTTTCTCTTCTGCTGAGGCATTGGCATCAGGTCGAAATCGATTGTTTTCAGGAAAAGTTCTATGTAAATCTGTAGGCTGTCAATATAAAGTTGTATGCATCTTCTTATTTTACCTCGATCAATAATGTCCATGTTTTCATTCTCTGTGCCCATACGTTCTGCACGATCTACCAACTCATAATAAAGACCTCCATTGGCTTCCATCTTTGACTTTGCACCACTATAATGAAGCCAAGCCTATATTGATTGAATACGCTTTCTACTGTTGACTGTTGTTTACCTGTCCTCTTAACTCAGGTGGAATTCCTTTTCGGATGTAACGTTTGACTAAAATAACATCAATATGTCAATCTATATGGACGAATAGTTACGTTTACTGCTTCGAGGCGGCCAATGATCGTTATTCTCCTGTAAAATTTGTCTCCATTTTAATAATCTTCGTTTGACTATAGGTGTATATGTCTGTTCAAATCGAGCATAAGCGTCTTCTGTCACCCATTGTGAAGTCTTTAAGAATCCATACTGATCCCTGATTTTGTATAAGATGAAGAAAGAATATCATTCTACTTGCCTTTCACCTGTTTGTTTCTGGGGAGGTGGATAGATAGCATTGGTTCCATCATCATACAGTTGAGTTGGTTGACTGTTATTTTTACCACGCATAAACAAATGATGCGATGATTTCTTCATGCTTTTACGAACAGATAATTTTTCTTTAAATGAGTGCGCTAATGATCTTGTCTGCTGGTCTTCAATTGAACTAGGTGAATCTATCAGGATAGTTAGCCTAGGGTGTCCTTTTTTTTGTATCACACTCTATGCTTGCCTACAAAATGAGGTGATTGATCTACATGAGGAGTGGATATGGGAGGTGTGGGTATGCTTTTTTGAAATATCGATTGATCATCTTCTGAGCCAGACTCATCAACAGAAGAAGTACCTGTGGTAGGTGTAGGTGTTACAGTCAGATAATGATGATATTCTTTTTGTTGTTGTTGTTGTTGTTGTTGTTCTCTTATTTTTTGCTGTCTATGATGAGAATCAAAACTAGGTCTTCTTCTCATATGTTCAGTGGGCTGATAACGCACTGTCGATTGATTAAAAGAAGAAGACCTTACTCGACCTGAAAAACGTCTATAGTTTGATTCCATAAGAAAACAAAAAAAAAAAAAAAAAAAAGAAGGAGAAAAAGAGAAAGAGAGACAATGAATTAAAGGATGATTTGCGGAGTTATGATTCAGCATGGCATATATACAAAATAATATGAGAGTGTGAAATGACTATATTTGTAGCTTTCATTCTTGCTTTTTCTCCTTAAATGGGTTTCAACAGTCATTCCTTTATTAGTTGATGAAACGTTGTCCTACTTATATGTCAATCAACTATTGAAGATCACTAAAGTATCCTAATGTTACATTGTCATTGAACATTCACAGTTTTCTTTTTGAGAAATATCATGGCCATTCAACATGCATTCATTGCTTCAAAGAAACACTCTGTCCACTCCAAAAAGTGATTGTTTTTCTAGAGTCTTATCATATTAAAAATAACGATTGAGGAGAGCATTTAGTAAAAAGAAGAAATAATTCATATTCCATATACTCCTAAATAACTTTTGATTTCATTTGGCACACTTGATATGCTTTTGATCCTCAGTTTGTGTCTTATTTGAGTATTAAGCTTATGATACAATCTCAAGTCATACCTTGGGTTTTCCTCGAATATAAACTACCTTTCTATTCTGAATAGTTTTTGGCAAACAGTCTAATGCCATAACAACAATAGCGGCAGATCGGCAGCCTGCTACAGGCGACAGTGTTTATCAACATAAACCATCATTTCTGCCTTCTGATTCCCATTTTTTGAGTTTCCTATGTTTGAACATAAAGAAAAATCGTCAATTTGGCCCGGTACCCTTTTACGGAATCTTCAATTTTCACTATTTTGCGACTGGTGGTCTATAGAGACATTTTCGACATGACACGTCTTAGTACAAAATGCTTCTCTAGGTCCATAAATACATTCAGAATATTACATTTGCAAAAGTATTAGAAAAACTGTATGCTACGGTTCAAGAACAGGAAATATGTTTTTAAAGAACAGCTCATTATCTTGATACTTAACATCCTGCTTTCTTTGTACCATTCAATGCGCCATATCTATATCTACTAACTTTTTCAAAATAGCTTTTTAATAGCTCAGTTTTTGACAGATATTGTTGATTTAAACTCAGAACATCTATAGAGGACACTTCACTTAGAGCAACATGAGCATGTTTAGCCTAATTTTTTGTTCAGAGATGTTCAAAGAACCTCCGTAAAGAAAAATCAATGCAAACTCCAAAAGCAACTTGAAGGGGATCAGATACACTATGTTCGAAAAGATAGTCTTCAAAGACCTCTCTAAGGTTATCAGAACCATTTTTGGGGAGTTTCAAGTCCATCCAGATCTCGATATGCTAAAGCGGTCAGCAAAACAAAAACTTTAGTATCTCTTTCCATTGAACATAGTCATCATCTTCAGAATTGGAAAAGGGTAGAGCGATGACTGTATAGCTAGATTCATATACAAAGTCACTTTTGAGCCTGAGCGTTTAGAAAGTCCGTCTTAAAGAAGTCGTTGGCTGTTATTGATCGGATAAAGGTTCTCCGACAATACGTGACGTAAGCCAGCTATCAGGATTGACGCGCAATAGAGACAAAAGAAAAAAAAAAAAAAAGAGCATTAATTCCTTTCTCCTTTCTTAAAGCATCCCTATAACATCATGAAAAAAGAAGGCATCAAATCATATTATCAAGCTAAAATAGAAGAGTGTGAACTCGTCATGAACCAAAAGACGCAAGACTTGAGACGTTTAGAAGCACAAAGAAACGCTTTAAACGCTAAAGGTAATGTCACAATAACCGTTGCCATCCATCTCATGTTTCTCTAGTTCGTCTCTTAAAAGAAGAACTTCAGTTACTACAAGAACCTGGTTCTTATGTTGGTGAGGTTGTTAAAGTCATGGGTAAAAAAAAAGTCTTGGTGAAGGTAAATGAATGAATACGCGACATAGTGTACTCAACTACTCTTTAGGTTCATCCAGAAGGCAAATTTGTAGTTGATCTTGCTTCTGATATTGAGATTGCACAACTTACACCCACCACCCGTGTTGCACTTCGTAATGACTCTTACCAACTCCACAAAGTGTTGCCCAACAAAATCGATCCTTTGGTATCTTTGATGATGGTTGAAAAAGTCCCTGATTCAACTTACGAAATGGTCGGTGGTCTTGATCAACAAATCAAGGAGATTAAGGAAGTCATTGAATTGCCTGTCAAGCATCCCGAGCTGTTTGAATCTCTTGGTATTGCTCAACCTAAAGGTGTCTTGTTGTATGGTCCTCCAGGTACAGGTAAGACCTTGTTGGCCAGAGCTGTGGCTCATCATACCGACTGTCGGTTTATTCGAGTCTCTGGTTCTGAATTGGTACAAAAATACATTGGTGAAGGTAGTCGTATGGTGCGTGAATTGTTCGTGATGGCTAGAGAACATGCACCTTCAATTATCTTTATGGATGAAATTGATTCTATTGGTTCAGCTCGTATGGAAAGTGGAGGTGGAGGTGATTCTGAAGTACAGAGAACCATGTTGGAACTCTTGAATCAGTTGGATGGGTTTGAAGCAACAAAGAATATCAAAGTGATCATGGCTACAAATCGTATTGACATCTTGGATCCTGCCTTACTGCGTCCAGGTCGTATTGATCGTAAAATCGAATTCCCACCACCCTCTGAAGAAGCCCGTGCTGATATCCTCAAGATTCATTCACGCAAAATGAACCTGACACGTGGTATCAATCTTCGTAAGATTGCTGAAAAGATGGGCGGCAGTAGTGGTGCTGAAGTCAAGGCTGTCTGTACAGAAGCTGGTATGTTTGCTTTACGTGAACGCCGTGTTCATGTGACTCAAGAAGACTTTGAAATGTCTGTGGCCAAGGTGATGAAGAAAGACTCAGATGCAAATACCAGTTTAAAGAAGCTTTGGAAATAAAACATTTTATTTTTTGTTTAGTTTTTGTTCTAATTCAGCCAGTTCAGCTTCTAGTGTCTGTAGTTTGGTATCTAATAATTCATTGTACTCTTCTTCTGATAATTGATGGATAGGAAACCAAGCAGGTAATTGAATGTATTGCATGATAGAAAATCCTTTTTTTTGTTGAGGTGGTGATGGTGTTGGTTCGACAACAGGGTTCATTTGTTGGATAATAGCATCTTGTCGCCAATGGTTACCTTTGGTATAAATGCCTTGCAAGACAGAACAAATACTACCAAAGATCACAACGCCTGACAAGACACTCTTGGGCCCACGATAAGCCGCAGACAATAATCCACCTGTCGTAGCACCTGCCATGGCACTACTAAACATGGCATCCATATCTTTTGTCTCTGAATCTTTTAATCCAAACTGTGAGTTCTTTTGTCTTTGATAAGTAATAAATGTCTCTCGGACCACTAAAAGAACAGTTTAATAGAGAGTTATGATCGTATGTGTTCATTACAAAAGAAAGTAGCACCAAAGACACCACAGTTTAAGCCTGTTGAAATAGTCCATTGTTTGACAGGCGCATTCTTTAATACGGCAATTGTTGCACCTGTTGTTCCGCCTGCCATGGCTATCCAACCAAGTTAATGATTATGATTGAGATGGGTGCATTACCTGCAAGACTTGATCCCACAATGACATTCTTTACTGTTTCTGTACTTCTACTTGTCATGTTTTTTTTTCTTAAAAAAAAAAGGAGGAGAGAGAAAAGAGCAACAAGTCACAATTAAGACTTTATTCATACAAAAGAAAATAAAGTATTCTTTTACAACTTTGCAGAGTGAAGGACACACTCAATTACCAACTGTATACACATATAAGAACATATCATGTTAAGCAGAATGACTTACTTTTCAGTACCCTTTGGAAGACGAGGACGAGATTGACAGCAACCCATAGTAAATGAATAAAGAGAAAGATCCCCCTCTTTTTTTATATGTACATACATATATATATATAAGCAACAAGGTTTCATTGTATAAAATACACTCATTGTTTTATTTAAATTCTATACATAATGAGATTAGAATCTACGCTTAGCAGCCCTTCTGGCAGCAGCAGTAGCTTGTTGTCTTTCACGAAGAGCTCTGTCCTTTTCCAACTTTTCATAGTGTTTTTGTTGATCCTTAAAGTTCTCCATAAATCCCTTGGTGTTCTTTTGAAGTTCTTCAGGTCGTTTGATCAATTGGGGAATATTTAAAGCCTTACGAATTGATGGGTTCTTTAAGGCCAAGATTTGACCAATCGAAAACAAATTGGAAGTAATCCAATACACAAAGACACCACTTGGCATCCATGCCGTAAAGGGAATCACCAAGACAGTCAAACCACGAAACACATTCTTCATGCCTTTACTCTGAGGATTGGCTGCACCTGCTTCTGTACCTGCCTCCAATACAGCCATAGCACCTGCAGCACTGAGAGCAGGAAGAACATAGTATGGATCTTTGGCAGCTAAATCACTAAACCAAAACAAACCTTGATCTTGTAATCCAGGAACAGGCACTTCAGCCATACCACGAATGGCCATAAAGAAACTGATCATGATGGGCATCTGGATCAAGGGAAGACCCAATGACTTCATGGGATGACACTCGTTCTTTTTAAACAGCGTCTGAATCTCTTGTGTGTATTTACCGGTAGCTAAAGCATCGCCCTGAGCTTGTGCTGCTTTCAAGTTTTCCATGATACGTGTGACATCGGGATTGATGTTCATCAGACGAGCATTGTTGCGTTGGATCTTGACCATCATAGGCAAAAGAGCAAAACGCACCACCAATGTCGCTGCAGCAATGGTGGCCCACCATGGTAATCCACTGTAGAGATGAATATACTCAAACATGGCTTCTAAACCACCTACAGGTGTAAAGTTACATAATCCAAGTGCTTTGAAATCACCAATTTGAGAAGCGGCATTAACAAGGGCATCAGGCGAAGTTGATTGAGCTGCTTGTTGTACAAGTTCATGAGCTGATTCAGTAGAGTTGCTCTCGACCTTTTCTTCTGTGCTGAGGTGACGCATGGACAAGTGGTTCATGGCTGTCATGCCGAGAATACGAGCGTTGTTGGCCTTTGCTGCTCTTTGTGCAACCAAGCTTAAAGATGCCACTCGCTTTGTGTTGGACATGATGCCTGTGGATAACTAAGCAGTCTATGAGTGATTGTTTTGATTAGGTTGCTTACCATACGAGCATGGACAGGTTGTGTCACATGTCCAAGAACACTATGCGAGTTGAGTGATAATACTATATGGCCATTCGCTTACTTTTTAGAAACAAGGCGTTGAGATATTCTAAACATGGTTAACAAGAGAGAAGCCTTGATATGACCCTAGTTTATGCCCCATTTTTCTAAGCGAAAGCAAGTCCAATGCTAGTCACGAGCCCAAAAAGGAAAAAGCAAAAGCAGAAGCCCTGAACTCCACTGGTTTTTTTTATTCTTTTTATTTTGTCATGTTGTCTCGCATTTCACGCCAAATTACAAGAAGTTATGCTTCTTTGAGAAACAACCCTATTGTTCCTTTAGAAAAGAGCATTATTGGCTCAAGAGCAGGTGAGCATATATATATATATATATATACACATACGCATGCTTTTTTATACCTCAACTGATATTGTTCATAGTTCAACATAGATTCTTAAATGCTCAAGTGAAGCCTGTCGACTTTGAGAGCAAATATGCTGACAAAATTAAAGACATTGCTAAAAAGTAAGCACAGTATACATAGCTTGTTATCTCATTGCTCTGCAAATGCAATAGACAAGGTTTGACAGTAGAAGAATTAAAGCAAAAGATCAAGGATGATGCACTTCAGAAACTCAAAGCAGCTCAACCTAAACCTGTTCAACCCAAAGAAACAGCTAAAAAGGCATCTGCTTCCACTATTGCTGCTAAATCACAATTACCCTATGACTCTTCTGCTCCTACTTTGGACAAGTTTGTCAAACTCGAATTACTTGAGCAAGAAACACCCGAGAATATCGAAAAGATCTGGAATGCAGGTCATGCCAACAAGGACTGTATCACAGCTGCAATTCCAAGTGATGTCTACAATAAGCTGTATGAACGTGGTCAAAAGTATCCTATGGTAAGCTTCCCATCATTTCTATGCCAATACTGATATGTTAGTTTGTTGTGCCTATGCCTCGAGAAGAAGGCGTCGAATTCTTTTTCCTTCAATTTAACTTCAATCAATGCAACTTTACCTCACTTTTAGAATACAAGACAAAAGGAACAGAAGCAAGACCCTTCTTGACCCTGACTCATTTTACTGAACTTCAGTCATCCAAGGGTATTGTGTTGATGAAGGGTGACATTAACGATGATCCTCGTATGATCACAACAGCCAATGCTCAATTCTTAGCATTTGCTCTTCAACAATTCTATGTGACTGGTGGTCCAGATAAACTCAAGTTGGTTGAAAAGTTCCATACTTCACCAGGTGAATTTGACTTTAATGAATTGATTAAAGCAGTTGAGACAGTTGTTTAAAATAAAATTTTCTTTTTTTGTTATTCTTATTATTATTATGTCACTTGTTCAAGAAAGAGAAAAGCGTGTTAATGCGGGTAGTCGGTAAGATGGCTGATGGTATCCATGGCTCTAATGTCCATAGTATGCGTGCACTTTTGAATCAAGAAGTGGACATGGAAGAATTATTTGAATATAATGAAGACGATGAAGAAGATCAAGAATTTTCTGATAAAAGTAAATACGACATCCCACTTCATTCACTCATGTCTGTATAGTGGAAGAGGAAGATAAAGTCGATTCAGACTTTGATCTTGATTCTTCAGAAGGAGAACAAGAACACATTGAAGAAGGAAAAGCTATGGATAAGCAAATAGCATTGGACGAGAAAAGAGTAAGCCTGCCTAATGATACACTTGACATGGTTGACACGATTTTAGGCGCGTAGAGCAGCTACATTTCAACCACCTACCGTCTCAAAGCCCAAGAAACCAGTGGAAAGGCAAAAAAGATCCAGGCCAGAAGACACAATAGAAGAACGCGCTGTTCGGTATTCTTCAAGAAAAAACACCGTGTTGAATCGAATATTAGTTCAAGATCAACTGAGGGAACATGAAAAGAGAAGAGTAAGTAACATAGTTTAGCTGTCGATATTCATCCTTTGACTAGGCTTCTCAGCCAAAAAGAGATCGACCTGTCGTGAATAAAATGACCCAAGAAGAACTATTAGCTGAAGCAGTCATTACTGAAGAAAAGAACAAGAGCTCATTACTCGAATGGCAACAAAAAGAAGCAGAAAGAAAAGCCAATGCCAAAAAGATAGACAAAAAAGGTGTGATAGGTCCCTTTATTCGTTACCATTCATTTACAGACAGATTGGATGATGCCATGGGGAGAAATCTAGTTACTTTTGTTGAACAAAATGACTTGGATGAAGAAGAAGAAGATAATCTAGAGCAATTAGGCATGATACATCATGTCTCAGCATGGTTTGAAAAACTGCCTAAACCCAATAAGCCAATTATGTGCCCTATCACGGGCGAATTAGCTAAATATCGGGACCCTTCTACAGGTGTGCCTTTTGCTGATATTAAATCCTATGAGGCTATCAAGGCCTGCTTAAACCATCGTATGCAATGGTCTCCTTCTAGCCACCTTTATTTAGGCAATCTGCCTAATGCACGCGGTGTTCCTGATGGCTGGTAAACTAAGGGACGTCGTTGCGTTAGTAGACTGTTGTCAATGAATCATTTAACGTTGCATGATTATTCCACGAGATGCCAAATAAAAAGCGCTGGTTGCACAACATGACAATCTGCAGTTTAAGCAAAGTTACCTAATTAGTGTCACTTGCCCCTTTTGAACTATACACTATATAGGATTGGTTCATATGTTCCTATTTAAAATGACAATAAAATGCCATTTTTAGCTTCTTTTTTCTTTCTTTCTTTCTTTCAATTTCTTATTTTATTATGGGAAACCAAGCGAGTAAAGTATTGTCCCATACCATCAACAAAGAGAAACGATCTGGTGTAGCTCAAAGACCACTCTCGACTACATCTCAAGGCAATTATGATTGGTTAGAACAGGACCCTTATAGTAGTCCTATGGATGCTGCCATTTCTGCTGTCATGTCCAAAAAGAACAAAAAGAACATTTCATTAGAACCACCCAGTGCATTCAGTAACCGACGTAAATCTATCTCCGAATTCTTTGCTAGAAGAAAACAGAGTTTAATTGGTCTTCATCCTTATGGTTCAGGGCAAGAAGACATGAAAGAATTTGATCGTCTACAAAGACAGGTAACTAACATGCGACTCATCCATAATACTGAATATGACTAGCATTACTTGCTCAAAAGTACTCGAAAAGGCAATACTTGGGCACCTATTCAGTCACCTAAAGTCATTGTTGAATCTGGTACTCAGAATGGCATTTGGGCATTAGAAATGGCTACTCAATACACTGATTCTCAAGTACTTGGTTTAGACCTGAAGCCACCTGCTTTACAACCAGGAAGTCCTTCAAATCTGAGGTACAATCAAACAAATATAACTGAATCCTGGCCAATGAATGATAATTCCATTGATTTGTACGTATCTCGATCATTTATTTGTTTAAAACTCAATTCTGTCTGGTAGTATCTTTCAGCGCAATATGTATCTGAGTGTTCAAAAAGATCAATGGCCATCTCTGCTGGAAGAAATGTTTCGTGTCCTTAAGCCTGGAGGCTACATTGAGCTACTAGAAGCCGAGATTTGGTATCATAATCCAGGTCCTGTGCAACAAGCCTTTCAAACTTTCTTTAGAGACCAATGTAAAGAACTTGAACTTGACTTGGACTTTGCGGAGTCTTTATCGACTTTACTTGAAGAAAAGGGGTTTGAAAGCATTGAGAAGCGTGTGCTGGACATTCCTGTGGGTGAATGGCCTACAGAACCAGGTATAAAATGAGTTCGATCGATCTTATTGAAAAAAAAAAACTCATCTTTCTATTAGAATTAAAGCAGTTTGGTTTCATCAACAAAGAAATTCAAAAAGCCTCTTTAAAGAACAAAAAAGGTGCTTATGTTCCTAAATGGGGTATTTCACCTGCTGAATATGATCTGGCTGTAAATGAAGTTTTAGGCGAATTTGAAGATTATCAAAGCTTTTCAAGATACAATTGTTGGATAGCAAGAAAACCTTTGTAATTTCTATGTATATTATTCATGTATATGTTAATTTAAATGTGTCTACTTAACCCTATAGACTGTGTAGACATAGTAATAATAATAATAATAATAATAATAACAACAAATATAATATCGAATCTACTGAATGACGTGATTATCATGGACTCAAAACAATCATATTGATTAGCCATGCCATTGGCTTAATAAATGTCAGTTTGAGGATTCCAAAGCAAATCAAAAAGAGCGTTCTCTAGCCACTCCCTCTCTAATCGATAAGGAGTTGTGCATAAGAGAACCAAAAAAAAAAAAAAAAAAAATCTCAATGACCTCTTCTTCAACAGAAATCACATTACATAATCAAATAGCTGGCTATAATTTACCTTACTTCAATAAATAACTGCGAGAAAATATATATGCTTTATCGACACTCTAAATTATTTATCATGAGCATATTAATGTCTTTCAGTAGAACCAGCTTGATTGTTGGCAAAAGTCTTTTTAGTATCTTCAGTGTTAACAGCCATAATACTCAATGACTTTTAAAGATCATGTTCGTTACTCTCAATAGGGGAACAATTATCATTGGTTTTGATTCTTTAAAGATAAACTATGGAATCTCATTCATCTCTGCTTAACTACTTGGAGCAACAGGACATAAATAGAAAATTCATTGTTTCCCTTTCTTTTTTTTTTTTTTCTTCTTTTTTGCATAATCCAGCATGTCACAACATCCTCATTCAGCACTTCATATTTACCAATTTCTCTCTTCTCTACACGATCACTGCTCTGATCAAGACACGTTTGAGGCTATTTTGCTTTCATTACGCACACCTCGATTCACAGCTGTGTCAAATATCGCAGAACGATGGAGACCTACTTTACTGATACAAGCACCGAGTTTGGTTCAAGACTTTGAGCTAATAATATCCAGTGCTGCTAAATCACACGACTATGATACTCTTTTGATGCGTGTGGCTGAACACTTTCCTCTCATCTACCGAGTTTCTTGTTTCCTTGAAAACGATCTTCAACTTGAACTGTTTGTACGTTGCCTTTGTCTGGATAGTACAACGCCTGTCACTACACAAGAGGTACAGGCTACTGTACAACAATTCCTGCAACAATTGCCACAAGACAGCCAAGAATACATTCAAGCCATTTTAAAGCAAGATAGTCATGGTTATTATACACAGACTTATGATGGCTTTTTGGATCTCGATCGAGTGTATGAGATTGTGAATGATCCTTACTTGTTTGATCAGTTCATGGCTATTCTCCAGACAAATACAAACAATGGTGTGATTTGGTCACAAACAATTCAAGAAGTGTATGAATTAGTGCATGGCAGGAGCATTTGGGAGCAATTAGCGCCTCTTTTACAACAGGCATATTCCAAACAAGGTAAATGTATTGATTGTAGTCCAAGTATATTGAATTAGAGTGTAGATACACAGCAGTATGCATCTTATGAAGACTATGTACAAAAGAACTTTTTAGATGATGGTGGGCAACAATACTTGGATGAGGAAATCAACCGTGCTCAAGTTGAATATATGCTTGATAGTTTGACCATGTAACATTCTTATAATAAATTATCTTGCGCCAGTCGTCGATTTAAGGCACCGTCTGGCTTGTATTTTTTTTTTTTTTTTTGTATTTTTCTTTTCTTTTAAGGAACTCAATGAGAATCACAAGAACACCCGTAAGAAAATCACCTCCTTTGGTAATGTAGACTGTCACTCATACTTTATTCTAATCACCAGTGATAGCCTTCACCTTTGGCAGATACTGTAGAGCACCTCATAAACGATGATCAAGATCAAATCAAAGTGTATGCTAATCAATTGGACTCTTGGATCTATCCTCGAGGTGATTTATTTCAGTTTGTCTCTGTTTTGAATCGCTTTGATGGTATCTTGGAGCGTATTTGTGAAGATTACCAACTCAAGAGCATCCAGCGAGTACCTTTTGATTCAGAAACAAAGCTTTTGCTTTTGGCAATACTACGCTTTTCAAAAATGCTTTATGAAAACTGCACCAATAGAAATTTATATAACTCTTATGAAGTAAGTAGATACTGTCCTTATCTTTTTCTTACTCTGATTAGCATCTGAACGCTTTGTTAAATACCACTGATATCGATATCTTGGAAGCAGTATTACGTCTGATGTTAAAACCAGCTCAACGCGTCAATAACCCCAAAGCAGTACAATCCAGCTTTTTGGCTCACCAAGACAAAATCACAGAACTAGCCAGAGGAGGTTCCATCAGTGATTTGATTTCCCTCGAAAAGGGCAATGATGAAATAAGCATGTCATTTTATAAAGAAGAAGGATTACAAGTGATTCAACTTCATACAACACCATTTCAAAAGACCGACAGCGAATTGTTCTGGCAATTAGTGGAAGAATATCAAATAGCAGATGACTATCACTTTGAATTGTTGAATCGTATCAGAATTGCCAATCACCCCACACAAGTGTCTGTCAGGAAACAATTGCTTGTGGTTCGCTTTATTGCACTTGTGATCATGGGTATGTTGATCTTGTTTGACAGTCAAAAATAACCTTTCTATGATAGCACATACCATGTCGGAAACCATTGCACAGAACAGAGTGTTTATCTATGAGCCACATTTAGTGCCTCAGATTGCACAGCTTGTTTCTTATGATCATAGTGTGCCTGTAGATATTCAAACCTATGCCCTTTATGCTTTGGATGGTATTGCGAGGCATAGAACAAAAGTAACTGAAGTTTTGTCAGCATTTAATGCATCTGCCAACCATGGTATTTTGCTTCATATCTTGCGACAATTATGTCAACCTGACTCTGGTATAAACATCTATCCTGGTTGTGTTTTATGTTCTAACCCTTCTCTTTATAGTCTATACTGTGGATTTTCTTGATGCCTTATTTACTTTACTTTCATTCTTATTACAGACAACTGCTGGCAGTACAATGCTCATGACTGCAGGTATCATGTCTACGCTTATCGAAGTCTTACATCACCCAACAAACACCAATAGCATCTATAGAAAAGTCCTGATTAAAGTTGTGGGCTTGTTAGACACCATCATGAACAATGTACAGACCTCATTTTCTAGTTTTTACAGTGCAAAAGGATTAGAAGCATTACTCCAAATGATTCAGACACAAGTAGACGCATCTATTGCTACAGAAACCAGTCCAGACACATTGACACTGATAAAGAATGCATTGCGTTTCTTAATTCGCATGATGGAATCCAGCGATACAGCCGATGGCTTACGTAATCTTGTGGAATCCAGCATACCACATACGATGAAAAAAGTGATAGAGCACCACAACATCTTTGGCCCAAGTGTGTTTTCGCTTGTGGTCCATGTCATCACTACATTTATTCATTATGAGCCTACATCACTTTCTATTCTGCAAGAATTGGGTTTACCTCAAGCATTTCTGACGACGTTTTTAGCGTATGAAGAGCCTCATGTTGAAGTTCTGATGTGCTCTGTACATGCATTTGGTGCTCTCTGTCTTAATTCAGCAGGTCTTGAGATGTTTAACCAATACAACCCTTTACCTCACTTTTTCAAGTTAATGGCACACCCTAGCTTTGTTTCCAACTCATTTGAGGTGGGAAGTGTTACTGCTTTAGGAACAGCCATGGACGAATTGACCAGACATCATCCTAGTCTCAAGATGGACGTATTCAAGTGTGCTGACCAATTATTGCAGCAAGTGGTTCAAGTGGGTCATTCAGAAGATGGCAAGCCAAAAGACAACAGTCATGTGTTAGTGACAAAAGCCATGGTAAGCAACACAGTGGACGAAACAGACTGTCTTGTGTTGGGATTTGTGGAATTAGTAGCAAGAGTAAGTAACGATAGAACCCTACATTTTCTTAACTCATCGCATAGTTTCTGGAGGGATTTTTAAGCAATTCTGAAAATATCAAAGAATTCGTCAAATACGGTGGTCCTGAATTACTCTTGTCGTATTATGCATTGCCTATGCTTCCTTATGATTTTTCTATTGCCAGCGCATTTGACTCACTAGGTTACGTGTTTCGAATCATTACTGATGTCTCTCCTCTACATATCGCTGCCTTGATTTCTAAAAAAGTTTATGAAGCTTCAAGATTTATATTTACAGATTTTGATATGAAAAAGAGTGTGATTGATGACATGATTCAACACGCTGGTACGCCTGAAGGAAACGCATTGTTTAAAAAACTCAGTATTCTTTTTGGTTATGTCGGTATGCTTTCTACTGTTTTTGCATCTGCTATCTTGACAAACGCAAGACATTCGGTCAAAGTGGTTGAATGGTGTATACAAGAGAAAGAATATGGTGATATGATGTTGCTATTAGGTGATATCCATAGGTAACTAGTCTGAATAGATCTCACTGTGCATAACACTCGATGTAGAACTATGGTATGGCAAAACATTCTGTTACGAGATAGTGTTCCAATGGCCTGGTATAACAACAAGCCATCCAAAGAGGAGGATACTGTAGATCCAAAAGACCCTCAAGTGATGAATGTACGCAGGTTTAAATTGTTATTAAGTGAGATACCTCCTGCATTGATGCCTATCTTCCAAGGTCTCATCAAAGTCTCTGTCAACCGTCGCCATGTTCCTTCTGCCAAACTATCGTTACGTACGCGAGCTCGACTTGTTGCACAAGCGATTGCCTCTATCTTTAAGAAAAATCTTGAATACATGGAGCAAGATGCGCCTAGTTGTAAATACGACTATTACGCTTCTATGTTTAGTATGATTTCCATGCTTATGCTGGATGACAGATCACGTATGGCATTAGAGACTCCCATTGCATTTGCTTTTGAAGAACAAGGCAATCTTGATTTGTTGCTCGATACATTTCTACCTCAATTCTGGAAAGATGCTGAAGCACATAGGGTGACTCCTGATGACTCACTGCTACAGCGTATCAATACGTGTACTGAACTCCTGCTTGCCATCATCAATCATTTGGGTTGCCCTAAACTCTTTCATAACTCACCTCATACACAGTTGCTTACACAGTGTGGCACAGACGACGAAGATGACAAGACACTAAACCCTTATTATTGGATGACCTATATGCGACTTCGATTGTCTTGTTTGTTTGATTATTTGTCGAGTCCTTTATTACAGAAGCAGTCAAGACATGTCTTGCATTCCCTCTTACGGTGTATGACACAAAACCTAAAGCAAGAAGGCGAACGTGCCATCAAAGACACGCCAAAGCATTCAGAACATCAAGCGGAAAATAGAGAAGCCCTTATTTCGATGGGATATGGACCTGATCTTGTGGACCATGCCCTTCGTATGTTTCCTTATGGTCTGTGCGCACTTGATTATCTGTTCAGTCGCCACCTTGTCCAACGCACAGCCCAATCGGGTCCTCCTCAGCTTGAGATTTCGCCCTTATTGCATATGTCGCAACCGCTGAGTACGGCTGAATTTGATGCTGGTATTCGTATCTTGGTCAATTTGTGGTACAGTCCTAATTTAGCGACGGCCTCTTTGAATGAACATGATGATGTAACACAAGCTATTGCCAGTTTATCAGCCTTGGGGCCTTCTGCTATTCAACCGCCTTCAACGCTGAATGAAGTTGCACAGGTACAGACGAATGACATTGTGGATGATGATGATGATGACGAATATGAAGATATTGATACTGAAGAAGAAGAAGATGTAGAACTCAATGGTTATTATGGTCACTTTTCTTCAAAAGATGGATCAAAACAAGCTCAAAAGATACATGAAGAACTTGCTCAAAAGCGTAAACGTATTCGTGAGGAAATGCCGCAGGTCTTGGCTCATCTTGTAGACGAACGAAGCGATATTGATCTAGAGATAAGAGACTTGATGGCTGTTTCTTGTTGTGGTGATCCTGATCATCTCTCTGAAAACACATCGCAAACAATTCGACTCTTCTTTGGTGATACGTTGAAGGAACCTAATGACAAACGAGCCGTGTTTGAATCGTCTATCAATAAGATTCGCATCTTTGCGCTCATGTTGCGTGAGCCTGCTATGCAAGATGTATTGTCATTGTTGATCACGATTATGGCAGACTATATGGACTGGTTTGAATTCTTGGCGTTGATTGTGAATCATCCCAAGTTTCCTGATCCCAAGTGGTTAACCACCCTGTTTCTTATTCTTGAAGTTGGCTTGGCTCAGGCTGATGAACCAAAAGATGATCAAGATCAAACGACTGCACCATCTATCGTCACGCCCGATAACCGCACAACGTTGTTAAAATACTGCATTGATTTGCTCAAGTTGGATACACTCCCTCAAGACAATCTGATTGCTACTTTGCGCATCATTGTCCGATTAACCAAACATCATGAAGCTGCCTTACAGTTTGTTGAACTGGGCGGTCTCCTTCCACTGTTTAAACGTCCTCGTACAAGTTTTGAATCTTTCAAAGTTCAGCAATCATACATCATCATGATTCTAAGACACGTGATTGAAAGCAAGTCTGTGTTAAAGAACTGTATGCGTGAATGGTTTGATTTCTGGGTTACTGTTCCCAATGCTCGCTTCTTGGATGTCACTACGTTTATTAGCAACAACAATAGCTTGGCTTTACGTGATGCCAATGTGTTTTTGGATGTGAGTAGCCAACTGTACGATGTATGTGATCCAAAGAATGTGTCTATCAAAGATCCTAAGCGTCTCTGTTATATTACCATGTCTTCCAGCCCTGATATTGTGCAGGATGTAGACAGTGCTGAATCTACTCCTTGCTCTTCCACTGTGATCCATTTCTTGTTAAACGAATTAGTTCAGACACAAGCGAATGAGGAAGAATCCGATATCAAAATGGCTTATACAGGACTCTTGCTTCAATGCTTATTTGAGCTTGTCTCCTCCTATCCCTCATGCAAGCTTGACATGATAAATTTCAATACACCCGATACAACCCATAACCACCATCGTATACGCCAATCGATTGTCTACAAACTTGTCAATCAGCTCTTGCCTTACAATGCTATTCATGCATCTACAGACCAAGAACGTAAAAAGCAAGGTGTTTCCATGTGGGTAGCTTCTTTGCTGGTTGGCCTGTGTTACAGCGCAACACGAAGTGATCAACATGCCACCGTGTTAAGCCATATTCGTAAACATGTCCTTGATGTGGTTGCCTGCTCTTTTAAAGACGCTCTACAATCCACGGCCTCCATGAGTACCAAATACAATCGCTATTTTGCACTGACTGAGCTCTGTCATCGCCTGTTGAATGCTCGCCCTAGTTCTATTCATCCCAATGTGAATGTCAAGGAAAACACAATGATTGCTATGGCACATTCCATGTTAGAGAAAGGGTTTGTGGCCCTGTTGATATCTGTCATTAACGATGTTGATGTGAATTACCCTCATGCCAAACTGATTCTCAATTCCATGTTGAGGCCTTTGGAACAGTTGACTAAACTGGCTATGAAGAGTGATGTATTCAAAATAGAAAAAAGTACATTGGATGATGCTTCAGAAGCCGTGGCTGGAGCACAACGTATCCTTAATCCACCTGAGGAAGACGAGGACGATGTCTATATTCCAATGGATACAGATGATGATAATGAAGCTGAAGAAGAGGAAATGAATGATTTGTATAGAAATTCTTCTTTGGCCATGTTTGATGGCACTGCCTTGGAAGAATCCAGCGAAGAAGAATCAGATGAAGAAGATATAGAAATGGCAAGGTAAGTTGACTTTTTTTTTTTTTAGTAGATCATCATTGACAAGTCTATAAGTTCTGGTGAAGAGATTGTGGAAGATTCTTCTGATAGTCAAATGGAATATGAAACTGTGAGTGAAGAAGAAGAGGAAGAAGAAGGAGGAGAAAGTGAAGATCAAGAAATGGAAGATTTAATGAGAAGCCATCGATATCATCACTCAGATACTGAAGACGATGAAGAGGTATGTCAATGTACAATGATGGTCAACTTAACCATTGTTCCATAGACCGATTCAAGTGAAGGTGATTCAGAGACAGACTCTGATAGTGAGTCAGAAGGATCCTATTCCTCTAGCGAATACGAGTCTTCCAATGAATCTTTAAACAGTGATCGTAGTGACTCTATTCACTCAGAAGCAAGTCGAGATATTGGCTGGCATTTAGATGAAGATCAACGTGCAGAAGGCCGCCATCGTCGTCGTACAGAGAGAATCACAATTGAACAAGTGGTATGTATTCCATCTGCAAACCAAGAATTGACTTGAGTATGGTCTAGGATACGGATCATGATGAGATGGATATTGACTTTTCTGATTTGGAAGACCAAGATTCTGATGAACTTAATCAAGAAGAACTAGAAGACGTTGAGAGAAACCGTAAGTGAAGATACATTTGTTTAATAGATACTGACGCTGTTTAGTTGAACTGTTCCATAACCAAAGAGAGGGTAAAAAAAACATAAAATGCGAATATGTTCATTAACATACATTTTGTAGGCAACCAACTGATGAATTCTGCTATGCGAGGATCTCTCAATAACAATACAAATCGCTCCTTTGATAGAGATAACATTATTTTGCACCCACTTTTGCGCAATACAGCTACATCAAACGTAGATATCATTGCTACAACAAACCCTTCTTCTATCACTCCTGAAACTGCTTTATTGTCAGGTGCTAACAGTCATCATTTACAAGCTTATGAAGACATTATTGGTGGTAGTGCTGTTCGTATCTTGGAAGACTTACTTTCTCAACAACGAAATCAACAACAAAAACAAGATGAATTACAACAACAAGGATCAGATAAGGATAACAAAGAGACATTAAGCATCCTTAAAGATTTTCAACCGTTGCAAACAACCGACCGATGGTCTCAGGAAGTTCAAATGGTTTATATTTCCTCTGTCGCTTCTGTAAAAGCAGCCAAGTTAAAAAATGCATTGATTGATCTATTGACAAAGAAAGCCTTACAAGAAGAACCCAAAGAAGAAGAGCCTAAAGAAGAAGAACCCAAAGAAGAACCCAAAGAAGAACCCAAAGAAGAACCCAAAGAAGAACCCAAAGAAGAACCCAAAGAAGAAGAACCTAGACAAGAGGAGGTTATCATAACTGATCAAACTCCAACTGAAGACCGTGTTACTGTCATGATCAATGGCGAGCAAGTAGATATTACGGGCACTGGTATTGATGTTGAATTTCTAGAAGCCTTACCTGATGACCTTCGTGCAGAAGTGTATAGCCAACAAATGGCAGAACGTCGTGCCTCTGTTCAAAGTATGGAAGAAGAAGAAATCAGCCCTGAATTTTTAGACGCTTTACCTAGCGATATTCGTCAAGAAGTATTGGAGAGCGCTAGCCGTTATCGCCGTCACCAGTCACCACCAGCAACAAGCCAAAGAACGCTGTTCGACATCACTGCTAACTTGAATGATCAAGAAGGTGTGCAGGTACATCCTAATTTAGGTATGGCCACATTGAGTTTGGCAGGAGGACCAAATCCTTTACAGAACAATAATACCACCTGGCGCATTGGAGGCGGTGTTACAAGAAACACCAATGGTCAAAGAAACGAATTTACTACTACTACTGCTGCTGCTGCTGCTGCTGCTGCTTCTAAACCAAAGCAAACAGAACGAAAAGCCGTCATTCATCGTAATGCTCCTCATCTTCTCGACCGAACTCAACTTGCCTCTTTAACTCGTTTGTTATTTGTGCCTCAATCGATCTCAAAGACCCTTTTAAATCGCTTATTGCTTAATTTGTGCGAGAATGGCAAAACACGAAATGACTTATTGGCGCTTTTAATATGTATTTTGCAGGATGGTAGTACAGACCTGGCTGCTGTTGATCGTATTCTTATGCAAAAGAGCAGCAGCCGTCGTACAGAAGAAAACAAAAACATTACTGTGACTGAAAGTGTGCCTAATCTTATTACTCAACGATGTTTGGAAATTTTATACTATGTTATCACTTGGAATGATAGATCTTTGGCTTACTTTTTGACTGAAGACGATCACTGGAGCCCTATGAAGCGCCGCCACTCAACAGGTGGAAATAGCAAATCTTCCAAAACAAAAGCTACGCTCCCGATCTTGGTCTTGATTGGGTTATTAGACCAACCTGTCTTTTTAGATAATACGACACTGATGGAACAGCTTATGAACTTATTGGCCGCTATATGTCGTCCTATTTCTAGCATTGTCAAAAAATACAAGGAAAAGAAAGACAATACAGACGAGAAGAAACATCATCATGCTCCTAAACCTCCATGCATTCCAGAAGAATATCTCGAAAAAGTAGTTCATGTCTTGTCTATTGGTGAATGCTCTAGTCATACATTCCAATACACACTTAGTGTACTTTCTCATTTATCTCATTTGGATGGTGCACTTGATATCATTATTGAGCGCCTGCAACGTATAGCGAGTACATCGGGTAAGCAAATCATTACTGATTTGGATCAACTACAATCTATTTTGAGCCATTTGAAAGCGGGTGCTGAACTAGAGGGTTCTGCATTGACTCAATTCTCTGCAACGACATCACATCAAGCTAAATTATTGCGTGTCTTGAAAGCCATGGACTACCTGTACACTCGTAAAAGAAATAATGCTCAAAAGGCAGAGGAAAACGAAAAAGCTGTTGTTGAATTGTATGCCAAACTTGACTTTTCACTCTTATGGAAGAAATTGGGTGTATGCATGACATTGATACAAGACCGAGAAGATTTGGTAAATGTGGCTTCTGTCTTTTTGCCTTTGGTAGAATCGTTTATGGCCGTCTCAAAGTACTCCGCTCTCAAGGGTCATCATCATCCTAAGGCACCTGAGCCTGGTTCAGCTGAAGATTTCTTTTATACATTTACAGAAGAACACAAAAAAATTTTAAACATCATGGTGCGCAACAATCCATCTTTGATGAGCGGCTCATTTTCACTTTTGGTCTATAATCCCAAGATTTTAGAATTTGATAATAAGCGCAAGTATTTCAATCAACAACTACATAAGCGCACAGAACCCCGTGAACATTATCCTCCTTTACGTTTCAGTGTGCGTCGTGCTCATGTCTTTGAAGATACGTATCAAAAACTTCAAGGCCTTACTGGCAACGAGATCAAATACGGTAAACTCAATGTTGAATTTGAAGATGAGGAAGGTGTGGACGCTGGTGGTGTTGCCCGAGAATGGTTTTCTGTGCTTGCTCGACAAATGTTTGATCCTAACTATGCGCTTTTTATTACCTCGGCTGCAGATAAGCTTACTTATCAACCAAACCGTGCTTCTGGTGTAAACCCAGAGCATCTCAATTACTTCAAATTTGTGGGTCGTATCATTGGCAAGGCCATTCATGATGGCCGATTGTTGGATGCGTACTTTACACGTTCTTTCTACAAGTTGATGTTAGGGCGTTCAGTGGACTATCGTGATGTGGAGGCTGTCGATCCTGCTTACTACAAGAGTTTGGTTTGGATATTAGAGAATGATATCACAGACATCATTGACTTGACATTCAGTGTTGAAACAGACGATTTTGGTACCAACAAAATCATTGATCTCAGGCCAAATGGAAGAGATATTCCAGTCACTGAAGCTAACAAACATGAATATGTATCACTGATTACTGAACACAAACTAGTCTTGGCCATCAAGGATCAAGTCAATGCGTTCTTAGAAGGCTTTCATGACATTATTCCATCTCACTTGATACAGATTTTTAATGAGCAAGAGTTGGAATTGTTGATTTCTGGATTACCAGATATTGATATTGACGAATGGAAAGCAAATACTGTCTATGAAGGTTACAGCATTAATTCACCTCAAATTCAATGGTTTTGGCGTGCCGTACGTTCTTTTGATCAAGAAGAAAGAGCTAAACTCTTGCAATTTTCGACTGGTACCTCAAAGGTTCCTTTAGAAGGCTTTGCTCAGTTGCAAGGTTCAAATGGTGTGCAAAAGTTCCAAATTCACAAAGAATTTGGCGATGTTCATCGACTTCCTTCAGCTCATACTTGGTAAAGTGTATTCAAGTGTCGTACTCATTTTTACTCATCTATCTAATATAGCTTTAACCAAATTGACTTGCCCGCTTATCAGTCTTATGAAGACCTTCGTTCCAGCTTATTTAAAGCTATCAGTGAATGTTCCACAGGATTTGCTTTCCAATAAAATGTAAAGTTTTACGATTCAAAATAGTGAGTTGTGTTAAGATTGTTTGAATGCATTAAAGTGAGGTCCATTCTATAAGAAACAGAAGAAGACTTATGACTCATTTCAATGGAAATTTTACTACTATGCTACGTCCATGGTGAAACTGACCATTATCATCAAAGGAAAACATGGTGTCCTACCTTCATTTTGTTCATGTTTAAAATAACTACTTTTTGCTTAAGGCTTGAGTCATGGAGAGATGGCTATCGAAAAGCGTCTTTGAAGCACTGCATCATAATAATAAAAAAAAACACACCAAAGGACCATACAACCTTCTTGTTCTCTAGTTTAAGCTCAATAATCACATCGGGGCTAATATACACTGTGCATAATGCACTGCTATATTAGGCTACATAAGCCACCACATTATTTCTAAATGCAACAATAAAATTTCTCTGTCTTTTTTAATTTATTTCTGATCGATTCTTCAGCATGGTCGCAAAGAAATCATTGACAAGTTCAAAAAAGCCAGTTTTGAATAAAAAGAATGTCAAAAAGCAAGATCAGAAGGATCAAGAACCAGTTAAAAAGGAACTTTCTAAATCTAAGTTAAAGAAACAAGAGTTCCAACGTAAAAAGTACAACAAGGACAAGAAAAAGAAAAAGAACAATACAGAGGAAGACGATGATTCAGATTTCGAGATTGTACCTACAACTACTTCAAAGAGCATTATGGATAGCGATGAAAGCAATAGCGATGATGACTCTGATCTTGAACAAGACATGTTTGGTAAGTTTAAAGCCAAGAAACCAGTCGCTGTTCCTGTAGCTGCCTCAACCGCTTCAGTAAAGCAACAAAAGCCTATCACTATGAATGACAGTGAAGACGAAGATCAGGAAGAAAAATTCATTGCATCCGAGACCTTGGCTGCAAACAGAAAGAACAAGAAATCTGGTGGTTTCCAATCCATGGGTAAAGAAGAAATCATTCTTATAAGATCATATATGCTGACTTATTTGTTATAGGCTTGAGTAATCCTGTATTTAAGGCCATTATTCACAAAGGTTTTAAAGTACCTACTCCTGTTCAACGTAAATGTATCCCTCTTATTTTACAAGGGGATGATGTTGTTGGTATGGCCCGTACAGGTTCAGGTAAAACTGCTGCTTTCTTAATTCCCATGCTTGAGAGACTCAAGACTCACTCTGCCAAGACTGGTGCTCGCGGTCTGGTTCTTTCTCCCTCCCGTGAACTTGCTCTTCAAACCCAAAAAGTATGCAAAGAACTCATGAAATACACTGATTTGCGTAGTGGTTGTATTGTGGGTGGTGATAGTTTGGACGAACAGTTTGAAATGATTGCCTCCAATCCTGATATTCTAATTGCTACACCTGGTCGTTTATTGCATTTGGCTGTAGAAATGAATCTAGATATGCGTACAATTGAATATGTCGTGTTTGATGAAGCTGATCGTCTTTTTGAAATGGGTTTTGCTGTTCAACTCCATGAAATTTTATCTCGCTTGCCACCCACACGTCAAACACTCTTGTTCTCTGCCACATTACCTAAAATGCTTGTGGATTTTGCTAAAGCAGGCTTACAAGAACCTACTTTGGTACGTTTGGATGTGGATACAAAGATTTCTCGAGATTTGGAAATGGCGTTTTTCTCAGTCAAGGACAATGAAAAAGAAGGCGCTTTATTGTACTTGCTAAAGAATGTGATCAAGTTGCCTAAAAAGACACAGAACGAAGACCAAAGCGATATCAAAAGGTATAAGAAAAAGAATAAGGAGAAATCAGGCACTGAAGCAGATCACCAAACTATTCTTTTTGCCGCTACCAAACATCACGTTGAATATTTGGCCAATGTCTTGCAAATTGCTGGTTATCAAGTCTCTTATGTTTATGGTTCTCTTGACCAAACAGCCCGTAATATTCAGATCAATCGCTTCAGAAATGGTGTGACCAACATTCTGGTGGTCACTGATGTTGCTGCTCGTGGTATTGATATCCCTATTCTTGAGAATGTCATCAACTATGACTTTTGTGGTTCTTCTAAAGTGTTTGTACACCGTGTAGGTCGTGCTGCCCGTGCTGGTCGTCGTGGTTGGGCTTATTCACTTGTGACATCAGAAGAACTTCCTTATGTAGTGGACCTTCATCTCTTCTTGACCCGTCCTCTTGTTCTCGGTGGCGAAAAAGATGAATATGACTATACCTCTGAGTTAGTATTGGGTGCTATGCCTAAAGATGCATTAATTGACGACAAGGCTTGGGTCGATGACAAGGTTTCCAAAGACGCTGCTTTAGAAGGTACTTACCGTACTGCTATGAATGCCTATAAGCTCTATAACCGTACCAAGCCTCGTGCCTCTCCTGAAAGTTATGGTCGTGCCAAAGAATTCCTTAAGAAGACAGCTTACAATAACTTGCATCCACTTTTAGTGAATGAAGAAAACTCTAATGCTGCAGAATTAGAGCGTGTCAATATGTTGAATGCTATCAGTGGATTTAGACCTGCTGAAACTATCTTTGAGTTTGGTGTAAGGGGCACTCGTAAATTGACGCCTGCTACTTCTATGATGCGTGAACGTCGTCAACATGTAGACAAGATTATCTCTGCTCATAAATCAAAAGTACAAGCTGAATCTGCTGTTATCAATAAGCCTGTCGAAATACGTGATGAAGACAAAATTGTGCAAGAATTGGGTGGTGATGTAGAAGAAGAAGAGTTAGCAGAAACCTTTAATATACCAGAATCAAAAGAAGGTAAGAATAACTGGCCCGCAAAGATGATGTTGACAGTGTTTTAGATAAAAAAACAAAGAATTTCCGTGACGAAGAATACTACATGTCTTACACTCAAAAAGACGCTAACACCGAACGAGGCTATTCCATGAACAATGAAGGCAGCTTTATGGAACAAGCCAGCAAAGCACAACTTGATCTGACAGGAGATGATAATGAAGGTATTCTTAAGAACAAGAACATGATGCGTTGGGATTCCAAGAAGCACAAATTTGTCAAAGGCAGTGGTATTGGTGCAGACAACAAAAAGATGATTCGTACAGAAAGCGGTGCTTTGATCTCTGCTTCTTTCAAGAGCGGTCGCTTTGATGAATGGGCCAAAAAGAAGCGTATCACATTGCCCCGTGCAGGTGAGCGTGAATTAGCTGGCGCTGGTAATATGAGCAAGAAACGTTTCCGTCACAACAAGTCAGAGGATGCAAAGCCTTTGGATCCATTATCTTATGACTATGACAAGAAGTTAAAGAAGCGCAAGATGAATGAATCTGAAGGACCCAGTGTAGATAAGAGTGGTTTGGGCAAGAAGCGTGTAGGTAATGCCAATGCCAAGAGTGAACTCAAGAATGCTAGTCAAATCCGTAAGGATCGTATTGCCTATGAAAAGAGAAAGGCAAAATCTACTCGTCCTGGTCGTAAATCAAGCCGTGGCAAGGGTCGCAAATAGATTGTTTATATAAATTTGTAACATAATAAACTGCTTAGATAAAAATCCATGCTTTAAACATTGAGTCTGAAGTTTGAAAGGTAGTTGTGCCAATCAAGTTCAAACAACAGAGGCAATAAAAACGCTAATAAAGCTGAGCAAGCAAGCAAGATAAAAAACCATTTTAACATGGCTTCCCAAGCAGTACCTCTGGAATGAAAATAACTAGTAGAAGAGACATTGTTTCTTACTCTAACTTCAATACGAGTGAGAGAAGGTTCTGTAGTTTGATTGATAGGTGATTCAATAAGAAGGTAATAAAATTCACCATTCTTGGTTAATTTGTCAGGTTGAGAAGATGGTTCAGCCTTAGTGGCAGGTTCTTTTGGTGCATTTTTCTGATGAAGTTTGAAGTAAACAGCTGGGTGAGATGGTTCTTCGTCTTCAACCATTTCATAAGTCTTGACTGATTCTTCAGATGCAGTCAAGTTGATCAAAGAAGGCACTTCTACATCCTGTTTATTGCATTTTTCTTGTTCTTCACTAGAACACTTCTGGTTTTTATTGATGCCTTGTTCAGGCGTAGTAATGTCTTGTTCTTGATCATCAAGGGAATCTGAGCTAGTACTATCACTGTCAGTACAAACCAAGTCTTCTTTTGCTGATTCAGGATCATCATGCTCATTCATTTGTCTATCCATTTGCTTGCATTAGCAGTACATTTCATGTAGTTACTTGCCTTGTTCTTTCTTCAAACATTTTTTTAGGCAGAAAAGAAAAGAATAATGCCCTTTCAAACATATAGTTTTATCTCATTTGAATCTTTTATCCCAATTGAGTCATACATACGTATGACACTGATAAAATGCTAACAACTTGTACCTCTTTTATTATTCAAAATATCATGCACATAGAAAATGGGTGATATCGGAATTTGAAATACAAACTGAAAGTTGCTCTTGGTGCCTTAAAAAATTTCACCTGACACATCAGAATCGAGTTCTTGTTGAAAACTGTACGAAGATGCAGTTATTTGGCTTTGGTGTAGTGACAAAAGTTCTAGGTCTTTGCTTTCTAAGTTTTCTGATGTAAGTAAAACAGCAATTTTATTACTAAAAACCTGAGCAAATGCGCATAAATGTTTTGATGTTTGTCGCTTATATCTCATTATTTTTGTAGTATAAATGGTAAAATATCACTTTAATCAAAAACTAGAGCATTGGACACACAATCCAAGTATTTAAGCCTGCCAATGGTTCTATTCTTCGTTTTTTAGCATCAAAAAGGATATTAAAAGTTGTCAAATGAGCTTTTTTGATGAGTAGTATCCTTTGGATTGAAGTGATTTTTGTCCGTTTTTTTACAAGTCGCTTGTTTCTTGTCGAGATCAACTATAAAAACGCCATGTATGTCAGTAAACACAATTTTCAGGTACTTAGAGTAGTTTATGCGGGTATAAGTTGCTTTTATACCCTCCCTTTGTGTGCCCATACCTGCCTAAATGTCTGTTTATTTTTTGAATGGTTGGTTAGCCAAGTCAATGCATTCAGAAGAAATAGAATGAGATCAATGACACTTTGCGTCTAAAAAAATAAAATCAATTTCTCTCATTTTTTGGGAATGGACAGCAGTATTTTTTTTTTTTTAATATAATCTCTGGCTTTGATTGTTTACTTTGAAATTGGACATACTGAAGGCATTATTTTCAATAGTGAATATTGTCTATCCGTTAACCTGCAAATCAATGCTCGTGGCGCAACACATGTATTCTTCTTTTATCAACAAGACATTGATTTTTATCTATTGTTTGCACACAGGCAATGCACTAATTAACAGCAATTAATTCAACTTTATAGATTTATTGTATGAATTTGAGTGTAGTTTTTGGTGAACAAACATTTTACAAGATGTTCAGTGTTACTGTGTCAATAATAAAGTCAAGCTGAGGATAAAAAGGGGAAGGAGAATATGTTTCCCCTTCTTACAGATCAAAAAAAGCATGTCATAAATAACCCATTTTCCTTTGAAAGTAACGGTTTTTCGAGATTCAACGCTGTAATAAACTGAAGACCTAAATTTAGCCTTTACATTCAAGGTGTAGCCCCAAATTAAGATCAGCAAGTTGGGCTGTGTTGTTGAATGCTAACTCTACACGTGATTGGGTTTTAACTCCGTCTCGGTGGGGGGGGGGGGAAGGGGCTATATGATTCTAAACACGTATTCTCTCTTTTTTTTTCTCTTTACTTTCTTTATTTTTCTTAAATATATACAAACATGTCTTGGCAAGCTTATGTAGACTCTAACCTTCTCGGTACTGGTCAAGTTTCTCAAGCCGCTATTTACGGTTTGAACGGCGGTGAATGGGCTAAAAGTGCTGGTTTCCAGGTAATAAGATGAGAAAAAAAGTTTCCCGAAACTTATGTTCTGTATTTTAGTTGAGCTCTAATGAAGTCAAAGAAATTACTGATGCCTTCTCTAACAGCGAGGGTGTTCTCGCTAGTGGTGTTCATGTAAACGGTGTCAAATATCTCACTATCAGAGCCGAGGAAAACCTCATTTATGCTAAGAAGGTAAGGGCAATAAGGTACACGTGTGTGTTATGATAGACTAATCCTGTTTATTAGGGTGCTGAAGGTATCTGTATTGCAAAGACCAACCAAGCCTTCTTGGTCGGTACTTACAAGGAAGGTATTCAACCTGGTAACTGTAACAAGGTTGTTGAAGGTTTAGCAGACTACTTGAAGTCTGTTGGTTACGTATGTACTTTTAAAATCCAGTGCACTAAAGAAACTAACGCGTCTTTTATAGTAAAATATCCTCTTTCTCTTGTTAAATAAACATATACACCTTTTCATAAACATCAAAGTAGTCTTTTATTATTATTATTATAGAGAACTTAATTAAACTTTCTTCTCTTTATTATTCTGTCAGCTTCCTCATGAAGTTCAGCCACTCGTCCTGCTAAAGACAAGTACATCTTGTGTTGGTGATTAATAATCTCACCAACACAAGCAGGAGAAGGCTGTCCTTTATTTTGTAACGCATCGACGGCCTTTTCAATGCAGTTTACTTGACGAGAAGACAACTGAGCACGGTGTTTCATGTTTGAGACGGTATCAGCAAAAAAATTCCAGTTTTCTTTGGCCCCCAATGTACGCCAGCTCTTTGTATCTTGTTCTTGTACTTTACCAGCTGACACTGCATTCAATCTTTGTTGCTTGTTTTGAAGAATAAGGTCGTCTAAGGATTCACTTCGAGCTTCTAAACTCTCTTTCAAAATGATGGCATCCTATTTCAGCCAAGTTAGCTGTGACTCTAGATAGAGATGACTTACTGTATTTAGAGTATGAGCATCAGCATTGATTTGATGAAGTGTGGAACCGAATGAAGAACTAAGTTTTTCTGCAATCTTGTCATGCTTGTCGTTTTGTTCAGAAATGAAATGAGCAAGCAGAGCAATTTCATCGCGAGCATCATCGGGTAATTCCCAGAAACGAGTCTTGTATGTGATTTGACTAGGCTCAGTAACATTGGATTGTAAGGTGGTTGGGTAAGAAAAGGTAGTACTATTTTATATCAAATAAGTTGGATGTGTTTGTATCGATTGCTTTACCTAGAGATGTCTTTTTTGTCATGAGGGCGTAGGCCTAACACTGATTGTGAAGAAAGCGTTGCAGAACTAGAAGCACTGGACTCATCTGAACCTGTCTTGCTAAATGCAATACTGACACTGCCCTTTTCTTTAGGGGTACTAAGGCTGGAGCTAGAAGATGGTAAATCAAAAGTGACATGTTTACCAGAAGATGGTTTAGCTTGTGTATCGTTTTCCTTGGGTATGCTGAATAAAGAAGGAGCCTTGTCGGTTGCAGAAGGAACTGGTTTGCCAGTAGCAGCAGCAGCAGCAGCAGCAGTAGTAGTAGTAGTAGTAGTAGTAGTAGTAGTGGGAGTAGTGGGAGTAGTGGCAGTATTGAGAGCAATGTTTTTAGAGGTAGCTTCTTTATCTGAGACAGTCTTTTCTTTTTCTTTTGTTGAGGATCCAAAAGTGAAAGAAGGTGCTGCTTTACCATCATCTTTTTCAGTAGAGGGCTTGGAAGGAGGAGCACCAAAGCTAAATGAAGAAGCAGAGTCTGTAGGTTTAATTGTTGCTGATGTGGATTTATCTTTAGTAGATGGTGCTTCACTTTCGTCTTTTTTCTTTTCAGCAGAAGCTCCAAAAGAAAATGTAGGCGTAGTTGATTCTTTTGTAGCAGGAGCAGCAGTAGCAGATGTGCCAAAACTAAATCCAGATGAACTCTTTTCAGCACTAGTATTCGTATCGCCGCCAAAAGTGAAAGGAGTGCTTGCATTTTGATTTCCAGCATTACCAAAAGAGAACGTCAATGGTTTATCAGAAATAGCAGGAGGCTTTGTGGCAAATGAAGGAAGTGTTTCAGAGGATTTGGACCCAAAAGAAAGCGTCTTCTTGCTACGACCATTGTCTTCTTGCTGAGAATCTTCATCATCGTCGCCATGGTGTCTTTTTTTAGAGGGCGTAGACGGTGTTGTGCCAAAGGTAAATGTAGGTTTTTCTGCTGAATCGGCTTTATTGGTGGGGGTGCTGAATGAGAAAGGGGAAGGCTTGTTTGCAGTAGCTGATGTGCCAAATGGAGAAGGTTTATCATTGGAAGTAGTACTGAAACTAAAAGGAGATGGTTTGTCTGTAGAGCTAGAGATAGTGAATGGAGATGGCTTGTCAGCACCGGTAGAGGGTTCATCAGCAGCTTTTGGAGCTCCAAACAAAGAAGTTTTATCAGCAGCAGAAGCACCAAATGGAGATGGCTTGTCTGTGCTAGAAGTACCAAAGGAGAAAGTAGCAGCAGGCTTGGAAGTAGTTTTGTTCCCTTCTTCTGGTTTTTTGTCACTATCTTCTGTACCTTTTTCTAGTTGAGGAAATGCTTTCTTGACAGGAACCAACGCACCAGCAGCAGTATCCGCGGTATCTTGCTTATCATTATTTGTAGGTTCAGTTGGTGTGTTTGCCTCTGTAGGTGTTGCAACAGCTGACAAAGGAATAGGGCTTGAAATATTGGCAACAGTCGAGGAAGGACTACTGACTTCAGAAGGTGTTTCAACAAAAGATATAGCTGTCTTTTTTTCTTCTTCTTGCTTAGATGCTCCAAAATTGAAAGTGGGTTTTTTCTCTGGTGTTGTTTCGATTGAGGTTGGTTTAGCTGCTGTTCCGAATGAAAATGAGGGGGTTGTACCAAAGCCAGTAAATGAAGAAAGAGGCTTATCAGATGCACTCTTTTCTGTTGATTCACTAGCAGCTGGTTTTCCAAAACCTGCAAAAGGTGATGGTTTTTCAGTAGATGTAGATTCGCTGATAGCTGACTTTCCAAAGCCTGTAAAAGGGGATGGTTTTTCAGTAGATGTAGGTTCGCTGGTAGCTGACTTTCCAAAGCCTGTAAAAGGGGATGGTTTTTCAGTAGATGTAGGTTCGCTGGTAGCTGACTTCCCAAAAGCTGTAAAAGGAGAAGTTGTCGTAGATCCAAAGCCTGTGGTTGCTGGTTTGTCGATAGGAGTACCGAAAGTAGCAGGTGCATTGAACGTAAAAGGCTTATTGGTCTGTGTACTTAAATTGAAGCCAGTAGGTGGTTTTGCAGGCTCTGATGCTGACACTGTGTTGCCAAACGTAAAGCCACTATGGGTAGTGACAGGCTCTGCGGATGGAGCGGTGCCGAATCCACCAAACACGGGTTTCTGCTGTTGAGTGTCGTCTGAATCCATGTTTGAATCTGTTGCTTGTTGACCAAAAGAAGCTGTTGTTGTTGTTGCTCCAAATCCAAAAGAAGTATTGGATGTATTGCCAAATCCACCGAATGGCTGGCTGGTCGTGCTTGACGAAGGAGGCTGTCCAAACCCGCCAAATCCAGTCGTGGAAGAAGTACCAAATCCAGTACTAAAATTAGCTGTGTTTGTAAAATTGGAGGCAGGAGGATTAACGCTTGTTGGCGTATTAAAAGAGAATCCAGCAAGAGGATTTGTATTTCCAGCATTGACACTGCCAGTACTTCCAATAGAATTTCCGGACGATTGTCTACCCAAACGACGTCTTAAAGGCGCGATGGGACGGTCAGGATGGGGATTACTATGTAGAATAGGTTTAACTCGCTATTACAGGAAAACGCGTTTTTCTTTTTTTTCGATCAAAGACAAAAGTACCTCATTGAATAGTTTTTTTCTTTTAAAAAAAATCTATAAATGTATGAAAGAAAAAGAGAGAAAAAAGAGAAAAAATTGTAATGGAATCAAGTGTGACTTGTTGCAAGTTCGCGTTTCGGGTGTTGAATGGATTCAAACTCGTTGTTTTATGCAAGCTTACAGCTTATTATTATTTGTACTATCAAGACAACCAAAAGGAACTTGAACGGGAAGCTACACTGCATCCATACATAGACTTTATCAAAATGATTCTTTTCAGAAAAGCAAGATTTGTTTATTATGCACATACTTTACAAACAGTCAATTACCTCAAATTGAACTCAGGAGTAGATCTGCCAAGTCAATAACAAAGCAGCATAGTCCACTCCTAACTTGTTTTCATATAAATACATAAACTATTCTCATTCTTTTCTCTTCATTCACTCATGTCTTTAAATACCATTGTTTCTTCTTTGCCTTCCTCTTTACCTATTTTGCCTTTATCAGATTATGTCCTCTTGCCTTCTATAGTGACTATCTTGAACTTGTGTCCTTCTGAAGCTCAGGCATTTCTCAAGTCTCGCTCTTCATATCTTATCTGTGTTCCCTTTGCAAAAAAACCAAAGCATCGCACTGATCTAAGCCAGCTTTTTAGTTATGGCTGTGTAGCTCAAGTTATTGATTATGAACAGTCTATACCCGACAGATACTCATTCAGAGTCAAAGGTATCTGTCGCTCACGTGTAAGAGACATTTCTTCATTGGACGGTAGCATATTTGAAGCCTTGTTGGAGCATTATCCTGAAGAAGACAAACTGGATCCTCAAGACGTTGTGGTCTTTGAATCCTTGTGCCATTCTTTTATTACCAAAATGAGAGCTATTGGTGTATCACCAAGTGTCTTGGACCAGTTTCGTCGACGTTTGGAACGTTGTCATGTCTCGCATGCGGCTAACTTATTGTTATGTGTGACAGATGTTTCTAAGCAAGATAAACTGCGTGTGCTCGAAATAGCAGACATGAAAGAAAGGCTCTATCAAGTCAACCAGACCATTCGTGATTATTTGCAGGTAAATTGGATATTTGTAGCATGGTGTTATTTCTCTAACACAATGCATTAGACAATCAAGATAACTGCTTCAAAGTCAGACAATGATATGTTATTTGATCAGATACGCAGAAAATTCTATCTCCTGCAAGAGGTATAAGAAAAAAAAAGGAGAGGGCTTCTATATATAGACTGACAGGTTATTTAGTTAAATTCGATTGCTGTGGATGATTTGCATGTCGAGCATGATGGTCACTTTAGTACATTACCAGAAGACGATGAAGAAACCATTGATTTAGTGATCAAACTCAACCATGCAAAATTACCAGAACATGCAGCTATTGCTATCAAACGTGACTTGAATCGGTTAAGAAAGCTACCACCTTCTTCTTCAGATGCAGCCGTCATAAAGACGTATATTGAGTATGTGAGTGAACTGCCTTGGTCCACCACAAGACACGAAGACATGCAGGAACTGCATATTTCTTCTGTAAAGCATCAGTTGGATGCTGATCATTTCGGGTAAGCCAAAGAAAGTCATATCCAGTTGGTTTACAAAAAAGAGAATAGGATGGATACAGTCAAGAACAGAATATTAGAGTACCTTTCTATTTTGAAGATCAAACAGGATGCAACACCACCTATTTTATGCTTTGTTGGACCTGTAAAGTAAATGGCAAATATAGACAGTAAGGACTGATTGATGTATGATAGCCTGGTGTAGGAAAGACCACGCTAGGTATTTCAATTGCAAGAGCTTTGCAGAGAAAATTCCATCGTATTTCACTTGGCGGTGTTCGTGATGAAGCTGAAATAAGGTAAGAAAGGGACCGTCAATACAACAACTTGTCTAATTTCTTTTTTTTTTATAGAGGACATCGACGCACTTATGTGGGAGCACTACCAGGTTTATTGATTCATGGTATGCGGCAATGTGGTGTACAAAATCCAGTGATGCTACTAGGTAAATATTCAAAGAAAGATGTTGTATTCACTCCATTCTAGATGAAATTGACAAACTTGTCACCAATTCAAATCAAGGTGATCCAGGTAAAAAAAAAATCATGCTAGACTTGTCTGTTGAACTTACTTTCTTTTAGCTGCTGCTTTATTAGAAGTCTTGGATCCTGCACAAAATGCTACCTTTAACGATCATTTTATCAATATCCCTTATGACTTGTCTCAAGTCGTCTTTATTGCCACTGCCAATTCATTGGATACGATTCCAAGACCTTTACTGGACCGTATGGAAGTCATTCAGTTAGACGGTTATACGTTCCATGAAAAACTGCATATTTCCCAAGCCCACCTTGTCCCTAAACAGATCAAAGCGCATGGTTTATCTGATGTAGGAGGCATTGAATTATCAAAGGAAGTATTACTACACATTGCAGAAAGATATACAAGAGAGAGTGGCGTGCGTCAATTAGAAAGATTGATAGCTAGTGTATGTCGATACAAATGCAAAGAATATGCAGATCTCATGGAAGCCAGAAAACTGGATCAATTCTCCAAGACAATTCATGTCCATCAACTAGAGCATATATTGGGTGTAAGTCATTTATATATATATATATATATATATATATATATTGTTGGTTTTAATAAACGCTTAGGTAGAACCATACGAAAACGAAGTGCTTGATGCTGAGGAAATCCCAGGCATTATTAACGGCTTAGCCTATGCTGGTAGTGGCAATGGAGGCGTGATGACCATTGAAGCCAACTGTATGCCTGGCACAGGTCAATTAAAGCTGACAGGTAAACAACACTAGAGAAACACGGCAAGATACTCACTCCCTTTATTCTAGGCTCTTTGGGCGATATCATAAAAGAATCTGCACAACTGGCTGTCTCTTGGATCAAATCAAACGCTTATGAACTCAAATTAACTAATTTGCCTAAACAAGATATATTGAAAGATGTGGATCTTCATATCCATATGCCAAGTGGAGCTATTCCTAAAGATGGACCTTCTGCTGGTATCACAATGACGACATGTCTTGTCTCTTTATTATCGGGTCATTATGTGCCTAAAACAACAGCCATGACAGGTGAAATCACACTTCGGGGCCAAGTAAGGCCTGTCGGTGGTATCAAGGAAAAAGTGATTTCTGCTCATCGGGCGGGTGTCAAAAAAATACTGCTGCCTATAGCCAACCGACGCGATGTGATCCATGATGTGCCTATCGAAGTTCAAAAAGAAATACAGTTTGTGTATTGTAAATCTATGTGGGATGTAATTGAAGCTGCTTTTGATCAAATCCATACTTTCTTTGAACCTAAATACAGGTGTCGTTTATAAAATAAAATAAAAATAAAAGACTGCGAATGATATCATTTGGCTTTTTTTTCTTCCTTTTATGCTACAGCAACTTCCTCTCGAAATAATCACCCATATTGCAAGCTTTATTCCATTAGAACAGATGGCTGAATTTGCGAGTACTTGTCAAATGTGCTATTTTGCTGTATTGCCTCATGTATGGCATCACTTGTCTATCCATAACCTAAGCGAATTAGACTCAGTAGCTCAGCACCTTCAATCCAATCGTGTATGGGCTCAACGAGTTATTCAGTTTGTACGAAAAATATCGCTTTGTAGTGATCAATGTAGATACTCACCTAAATTGGCAGCCACTATGTTTGGCATGGTGAGCACACCACCAGAAACAAAAGAACAACAAGAGTCCATGGTTCGAAAGCGACTGTCTACATTTGGCTGCCAAATTCTAGCTTTGTTTCCTCACGTGTCTCATATCGTCTTTGATTTTGTACAAGCTATCAGATTATTTGATATGGATACACCCATCTATCGTATTCTTCCGTTTTATGGCTCTGTGTCTCTTGTGAATTATGCATCGGACCATACTCTGCTCATGCATTATCTGTTGAGTCCATTTAGAGAAATGCGGCAATTAAAAATACAAGCTACACCCGTTGTTTCCTTATGTGATGACTTGGATGCATCTCTACTTACAGAACAAGACATTCGAGATATAGCATCCTTAAGCTTGACTTGTCTACAAAGACTCGAACTATCCTATTTAGATGCAAATACACGCATAGAAACACTACAAGCACTGCTGGAAACATTGCCCCACTTGGATTGTCTGCAACTGACATGGCTCTTTCCTCTTAAAGATCAACCATACAAAACTTTATGTCAAGCATTCAAAGAAAAACGTTTTGCCTTAACTATGGATTCACACCATAGCCAACTTTGCTTTCGATTTCAATAAACCAACCAATCATGATCAGGTCAATCCAAAGTCACTTCACCGTCCCAAAGTTGGAATAATACAAATTTTTGACACTTGCAATTTTTTTTTATTTCTTTCTTCCTTTCATCATTATGGAGGTTCACCGTTGTCGCTTTGTCGAGTATCAACCAGCTGCTATCAATGCACTCGACTTCACACCTGTCACTGTTAAGAACACACGTCTAGCTGTAGGCAGAGCCAACGGCAATATTGAGATCTGGGATCCTACTTTTAAATACCGTCTTGAAAAGACAATACCCGGTGGAGAAGATCTATCTGTTGAAAGTGTTGTATGGGCACACCAATCTGCGATTGCCAATCCTGATCCTGAAGACGAACCAGAGGAATTAGCCAAAGAACTCGAATTGCTTTTACAGAAACCACCTCGTCTTTTTTCTTCTGGTCTTAATCCTTACATTATCGAATGGGACACTACGACCATGACAGCCAAGGTAAGTGTTCTGGTTGGCATCCTCATGTCTTGACAAACAGTAGAAATCATGCGACTCCAATGGCGGTGCTGTTCGATGTTTAGCTGTGAACAGTAAAGGTACACGTTTAGCAGCAGGTTGCGAGGATGGTTGTGTTCGTTTGTTTGATATTGCCGATGGAAACCTTGAATATATTCGCAGTTTTGAACCACAAAAAGGCCGTATATTGTCAGTTGCTTGGGCACCTCATGATGAGTACATTGTCTCGGGTGGATCTGATTCAGCCATTCGTACCTGGAATCCTCATACAGGACGCACTATACATCGGATGACAGTAGCCAAGAACCCTAAAGAGCAAACGTTGGTGTGGGCAGTGACTGCTATTAAGTGAGTCGACTATAGAGAAAAATAGTAGGATCATTAATTCAAATAGGGGCGATACGATTGTATCTGGTGATTCTCGAGGTGCTGTCACTTTTTGGAACAGCAAGATGGGTACAGTCAAACAAAGCATTCGTGCTCATGGTGCTGATGTACTTTGCCTTGCTGCTTCTAAAGACGGCACTCAAGTCTTTTCGGCTGGTGTGGATCGTAAAATCACTGTGTTTCGTCGTTCAACAAAACAAAAGAAGAAAGACACGATCACAGACTGGATCAATGTGGGCAGTCGTCGATATCACTGGCATGATATTCGTGCTTTAGCCTTGGATGAAAGACCCCATGTCAACTCGATTGTGTCTGGCGGTGTGGATGTTGAACTTGTCTCTTGTCCTGCTGTAGAGTTCCCTAAACTGATTCAGAACAGACTGCCTCCTTTTCCTCAGAAATACATTGTGTCTATCTCCAGATCACATCAACTTGTTATGGCTTCTTTCTTTAATTCGCTTTCACTCTGGCGATTAGGTAAAGCACAAGATGTAGACACAGCATCCAAACATCCTGCACTTCCTGAGATGGTTGAACCTCATCAGCTCGCCTTGGAACTCAAGTTAAATCCTGATTGCAATATCACATCCAGCGCTCTCTCTGAAGATGCCAATTGGATTGCTGTTTCTGATGTAGAGCATGTTCGACTCTTTCGAATCCATAAAGGCGTAAGTTGTGTATCTGTCTATGTCTGACGCTCACTCTTGATAATTAGTCTGAACCAGGTCAATTGGAAGTCAAGAAACAAAGAGCATTTGAAAAAGAATTGTTTGGTTATTTAGGTCAACACCATGCTGCACCAGGCGCTCACCATGTAGTCTTTACGCCTGGGTCAGACAAGCTGATTATAGTGACACCTGAATCACGTATTCTAGTGGTAGATTTAACGCATTGGGAAGAAGGTGCTTTTGAAGTATTGCGTGAATTTGGACATCACCGTGGACTAGACAGTGAAGGAAACTCTTCAGATGATGCGGCTGTCTCTACAGTGGTCTCTATTGATGTCAGTTCAGATGGTCAATGGTTAGTGACTGGTGACGATGAGAATCGTATTCATGTCTTTAACTTGGATAATTTAAAGGTAAAGCGTTGGTTGTATAAGACAAAAGTACTTATTCTGTGTTGAATAGCATCATCTTAAATTACCTCAAGGCTCTATTCCTCATACAGCCTTGTCATTCAATCAATTCAGACCTTCTGAATTACTGGTGGCTTTGGCAACCAATGCATTCTATATCTATGACATTGAACATAAACGCCTTACAAGTTGGTCAAGTATACACCAAGACATGTCCAAATCACGACTTTTAGAACAAAGAGACCGTATTCGTGGTGTCATGTACAATCCCTCAGAAAAAAACAAAATGATTCTCTATGGCAGCACATTCATGTGTCTTGTCGACATTCAAGATAAACCCACAACAAAAAAACTAGGCAAGCGAAAATCACAAGAAGAAACTCGACCCAAAGAAGAAGAGATGTCGATTAGTATTTCATTTCAATATCAACAGATTTTATCGTGCGATTTCATTGGTGAGAACCAAATGGTCATGATAGAAAGGCCCAAGTTTAGTGTGCTTGAGAATTTACCACCTTCGTTCTACAAAGCTCATTTTGGTGCTTCATAATAAACCTAATTGTCTAACAAAACCAATGTCTGCTTGTTCAAACGCTGTCTTGCCTTCTGAGTCTTTCAGGGTTGTATCGCACCCATCAGAGATCAACTGTTGAGCTGTCTCTAGATGCTCAGCAATGCAAGCTAAATGTAAAGCAGTGTCTTGGTCGTCTGTCTTTTGATTGATATCAGCACCAGCATTCAGTAATACCTGGAGTGCATCTTTGTATCCTCGATCAGCAGCAATATGAAGAGCAAGAAGTCCTTCTTCTTTTAAGTGAATAGCCTCTGGATGTACTTTCAAGTACGCTGCAAGTTTGTCCGTATCATTCAGACGTGTGTAGCCAAAGATATCTTCAGATTCTCTAACAGACAATCAGCCCTAAGCAAATCATCATTTCCACTTACTCTTCTTCTTGGTAAGCCATGGCGCTGACAGCCACAGTACGAATACCATCTGCTTCTTTCAACTCTTCTGCAGAGGGTATATATTCATATTCACCTTGACGCGACCAGCCTACTTTTAGATCTTCTACACTCTCAATGTATTGATTACGCGCTTCTCTGAAACTGAGTCCCTTGAAGCCTTGCCAAGCATCATACTTGGCGCGTGCTACAAAATCAAATAAACCTGGCTTGTCTATATTGCAATCGCCAATCGTTGCTTGTTTAAAGAGGCCATAAAACTAATGAAAAAAGGTAAGACAACATTGGCATGAGGTTTAATTACATGAAGTTTCTTGTCATTAGGTAATGGAATAGCATGTTGGTTCATGTAAGTAAAGGCTTGTTCAAACCACTTGTCATCTTGACACATGTCAAAATCATCATCCATCATGAAATAAAAAAAAAAGAAAGAAAAAATATAATTTTCATTGTTTTCATGACACAAACTATCGCCGCCATCTCTTTTACAGGTGGAAAGGACTGTACGTTAGCGCTCCATCGTGTCCGATCCCAAGGTATGCAAGTGGCTGTCCTGGTTACATTCAGTCCACCCTCGACAGATCCACAGTCATTCAAGGCTCATTCGATCGAGATCATTCGACAACAAGCCAAAGCACTGGGTATTCCACACACCATCTGTATCATTGAGGGTCCCAACTACTTGATGAGCTATCAGACTCAAATCAAATGCTTGGCTGCTACCTTTGGTATTCAAGCCTTAGTGACAGGCGACATCTTACCTGTCTGTTCTGACTTTATGGAGCGTGCGGTGGAAGGGACAGGTGTGGCCTTGATAAGACCTCTTTGGCAACAATCACAACCTGCTTTATTGCAAGAAATATGGAACATGCCTTGCACGACACTCATTACCTGTATCAATCAGGATAAAATACCATCTCATGTATTAGACAAAGTACAAGATGTCTATGATGTGGGCAAACCATTGACTCAAGCTGGGTTAGATGCCATTGCTGCTCAACAGATAGATATCAGTCCCACAGGTGAATTTGGTGAGTTACACACAATGGTAGTGGATTGTCCACTTTATCATCAATACCGTCTTAAGGTAGAAGGCCAAAAAGCAATTGAAGGCTCATTTGTTTATTTAAAAATCAATTCTGCTGAGCTTGTGAATAAATAAAAAAGGGGAGGAGGGCATACACTTAAGTTCTAGGAGGAAGAACATTGGTTCTGAAGAAACGGTTAGGGTCAGTGCCACCCCAGATAACATTGCCTCGGGGAGAATATTCACAAGCATAAAAGTTACCATTGAGGTTAGGACAGCTAGTGACAGCACAGCCTACTTGGGTGGTGTCCTTCCAGACAACTTGAGTAAAGTGACCTGTGGAAGAACTGAAGCCAGGGTTATTGTAATCGTAAAGAGAGACTTCGTTGTACCAAGCAGAGACAGTAGCATTCCAATTAGCAGTTCTGAGAGCAAGGTTTTCACCATAAGGTCCCTACACGTATATGAGTCTTATTGTCTGATCTATAGATTTACTTACACCACTATGAGCAAATTGACATCGGAGGGTCCATTGATTAGCAAAGTTAGCCAACGTAGCATTCCAAACCAAGGGAGGAGAACTGTGTCTAGCACGGAAGGTATTGTGGACATTTAAAATAGTTTGAATATCGCTATTGGATGGAATAGCTCTCTTGTCAAGTGGTTGAGCTTGAGTGGCAACCCAGAAAAGGACAGCAAAAGTAGAAACAATAGACTTGAGCATGATGAATAATAGCTTTCACTGACTCGAATTCAATTCCCTTTATATAGGAAATTCTTATTCGGTAGTATGAACCGAAAGTTTTTTATGTTTTTTTTTGTTTGTCAGAATAAAGTTGCATCAAGCTCGTCCTAATCCTTATGATGACACACGGTTCATTTGAGCATCTATCAAACAGTGTCTTTCATTGGCTTTTGGCAACTTTTTCTTTTTGCATAATGTCATCTGTCATTCGCTGATATTTGAATAAAAGCGGTTTAACTATGCACAAGTCCAGAATGATGTGACATGAATCTATGTTTCCATCTGTCATACATTGTGCTTGATGTATTTTATTGTTGTCTTGCAATCGGCAATTTTCAAAATATACGTCTTAAGCTTATTTTAAAGAAACATAGAAGGTCCTGCTTGTCTCAAGAAGGTATTGTCTTAGTTTGTTTGGATCAAACAAGAAAAAAAAAAGAAACCTTCTATGTGCTCTTATTCTACATGGAGTGTATATGAAGAAGGAGAGGAGAAAAAAAAAACTGAAATGGCTATTCTTATGTATAAACATACAAATGGCTTCATCCTGTAGGAAACTACCCTACATGATTCTCAGAATAAAGACATTCGGTTATCGCTTTAAATCATTTTAGACCTCTAAATTTTCCTATGTCAATAGAAGATGCGCTGGATTTGACAAGAGCTTATTTTCTGTTTTGGAAGCCTTTCAAATAAGACTACATTTGTCTTGCTTCAAAAGCTTCTTTTCAACAGATATTAAATTAGTCATTTCTTGTCATGTGCGACTATTTGAAGCGATCATGTAAGTAGCTCTTGAGTGAATATTTATATATATTCATTTGACAGTTGTCCTTATGTTCCCTCCCTCCTCCCTCTTCTTACTACTCGAGCATACAATAAAAAAAAAACATTCTCGAAATGAAAGTCTGAATAAAGCTTGTTTTTTTATAGTACTTAAAAACCTGTTCTACTGCTAACAAAAGGTCTTTCTATATCTTTAGTCATGTTTTTTTTTGAAATAAAACAATGAACCATAACACATCAAGTTTTAAGCAAGTGAATATCAACCTCCAAAAAAGAAAATAAATAAATAAAGCATGACCATTTCAGTATTACAGACAAAAGTTTATTGTCCTGAATAGGCTTTCGTTTCTATGAATTAATGTGTTATTAAGTGAACTAAAATACCTGCTGCTGCTTAAGAGAAAGACACATGCTGGACTTCTTTGTCCCATAATGATCATCATGAGTCACGTTGGTATTTAATGATCGTATTTGACAATTCATATTGACCTTTCTTTCTTTTTTTCACTTTATGTACAAACTAACACTTTCTAATTCAACTCTTTCCTTTCATAAAAAGATCACATCAAGCTTAAATGAGTGCAAGAAGCCTAAAGAAACGGACCATACGATCGTATCATCTGATAACCCTAATCCATTTGTAGAGACCCGATCCACACCCATCTTGTATGCCATTCCTTCTTCTTCTTCTTCCTCGGTTCAAATCAAACCCAAGGATAGTTTATCGCTCTATTCTGCCCACTCTTTCCCGCATGGATCGACCCGAAACCATACATTTCAGTTCGACACACCTGAGCCATATCCACCAAGAAAACCAGCCACACCTCTATCTTTTCTTAAAAAGCACACATTCATACAATACAATCGCCGATCAAGTACAACCAGTGTCAGTCTAAAAAGTGCAAAAAGATCATGGCGACAGATGAAATGGATGCCAAAACAGACATTACCTGATTTTGAAACAAAGGCTTTCTGTCAGGGTTGCGAGAAATATATTCAAACAAGGTTAAGGTATCAAAATGGATCTATGGTTTGGCTTATGTCATTTATCTTGTAAGTATAAATGTTGTGTATCCACTCTATTCATATCTAGCATAGGCTTTTATGTACTGTATTTTTATTCTGGGTACCATTTTATGTCAAATACTTTAAAGGTAAAGAAAAAAAAAAGAAAAAAGGAATTATGCTAATGTTTTTATTTAGATGTAGCACATTACTGCCCGGGTTGTGGAAGGCGTCTTGGTGTATCACGTCCTTTGTAACACAGAATTTTAGTATCGTGCGCATATCTCTATATTTATCGGATCCCTCTTTACTCATTAGTTGGTGTTCTTTATTGTTGTATGATTCAACCACGATGTATTTGTACTACAGACAAATACATTCAGGCTGTTGCTTACAGGCATTGAGTCGAAAATCCAATAAATTAAATTTGAAACACCGGTGTACCTTTCCCTAATTGGTATTGCTTTTTTTGGGAGTTCTCTTTGATTTTGAACTCTGGAACTTCTTTCTAGTAAATGAGGTAATACGTATTTCTTTATTTGCCTATAAGACTCGCTTCTTTTTTTTTTGATGTTCATTAAAGAAAAAAAAATCAACCCACAAAAAAATAAAGTTTAAGCCTAAGAAGCCCCTCCTCTTTCCTCTTCACCAAAAATAAACCATACGTTTTGTTTATCTGATTATTTATAGCAACAAGCTAGTTGTGATGATAATCAGGTACGTATAGCCACAAGGAGCCACGAGCAGTCAAGTAGCTGATATTATTGGGAAGTTTACCAAGAAACACGTGTGAAATGGGACAAAATAAAGGAGTGAAAGATATCACTAAAGGATCGCCGTTCGACTTTACAGATTGTATACTACAGTCGAGATTAAATCGGAGTTAAATATATTTATATTTATATCTCTATGGTGTAAACAACAGGTTCCTTTTTTTCATTCTTTTCTCTCTTTCTCGAAAAAAAAAAAAAGTTATGGTTGCTGTCAAGAATATCTGTTGTGTTGGTGCTGGTTATGTTGGTAAGTAGCCAAAAAAGAAATGGCTGACTTGAGTCATTTTGTCGCGTCCCTTTTTTTTTTTGTTTGCTCATCTCATCTGTAGGTGGTCCCACCTGTGCTGTCATTGCCTACAAGTGTCACCACATCAAGGTGACCATCGTGGATTTGAACCAAGCCCGTATTGATGCATGGAACTCTGACAAGCTTCCTATTTATGAACCTGGTCTGGAAGAAGTTGTCTTTGATCGTCGTGACAAGAATTTGTTCTTCACTACTGATGTGGATGCTGCTATTCAAGAAGCTGACTTGATCTTTGTCTCTGTCAACACACCTACCAAGAAGACTGGTTTGGGTGCTGGTATGGCTGCTGATCTTGCGTAAGTATATCATTTGGGCTTCAATACCAACAAACTCACTCCCAATAGTTACATTGAAGGTGCTACTCGCCGTATTGCTGAAGTCGCCAAGAGTTCCAAGATTGTGGTCGAAAAGTCCACTGTGCCTTGTCGTACTGCTGAAAGCATGCGTACTATCCTTGAAGCCAACTCTACTGGTGATGTTCGCTTTGACATCTTGTCTAACCCTGAATTCTTGGCAGAAGGTACTGCTATCAACGATCTCCTCAATCCTGACCGTGTCTTGATCGGTGCTCTTCAAACCCCTGAAGGTCTTGCTGCTCAGCAAGCTTTGGCTGAAGTTTACCAAAACTGGGTTCCCAAAGAACGTGTCATCACAACCAACCTTTGGTCTTCCGAACTTTCAAAATTGGTAAGTTGAATTTTATCTATTGTACCACTGACCTCCCCTCCCTCGCGCTCTTTCTTAGGCTGCTAATGCCATGCTTGCTCAACGTATTTCTTCTATCAACGCTCTTTCTGCTATCTGTGAAGCCACAGGTGCTGATGTAGATGAAGTTGCTTATGCCTGTGGTCGCGATACTCGTTTAGGTTCAAGATTCTTAAAGGCCTCTGTTGGTTTTGGTGGTTCTTGTTTCCAAAAAGATATTCTCAACTTGGTCTATCTCTCTACACAACTCAACTTGCCTGAAGTTGCTGAATACTGGAAACAAGTCTATACCTTGAACGAATATCAAAAGAAGCGTTTTGTCAAGAAGATCATCTCTACCCTCTTCAACACCATCACCAACAAGCGTATTGCTGTCCTTGGTTTTGCTTTCAAGAAAGACACTGGTGATACCCGTGAATCTGCTGCTATCACTTTGATTAAGGACTTTATACAAGAAAATGCTCATGTTGCTATCTATGATCCCAAGGTTGAACATGAACAAATCTACATGGACTTGACTGAACCTGGTGTGGTTGATACCCGCAAGCAAGTCGAAAAGAGCATTACTATCTGTTCCAGTGCTTATGAAGCTGCCAAGGATGCTGATGCTGTTGTTATTGTGACTGAATGGGATGAATTCAAGGCTGAACACCTTGATTACCAAAAGATTTATGATAACATGCATAAGCCTGCTTTCTTATTTGATGGTCGTTTGTTATTGGATGCTACTGAAATGCGCAAGATTGGTTTCAAGGTTCATATCATTGGTAAGAATGAACTTGCTGGTACTGCTTAATTCTTTTTATATATATAAATATTACATATCCCATTTCAAAATTGTGCATAAAAAATAAAGACCTTTTTTTTTTATTATTATTATTATTGTTATTCTATATTCTACGATCAGGGGAATCTTCACAATCATTGACAACAGCAACAATCACACTGATGTCGTCTGCTTTACCTCCTTCTATTAAAAACCCTTCTTCCATTGCCCTTCTTTGAAAAGGCGTATCTACACTCCGCTTGGCTTCACTCACTTCTTTGGCTGCATTGGCCAACACATCAGCCAACAATTGAGGTTCAAGATGATGGCGTATACGCGGGGGTCTTGCTGCTGTGCCTGGAATGGTATATGCATCCACATGATCTCGTACTAATCTCAAGATATGTTGATCAAACAAATTATCAAATAAACCATCTGTGCCCATAATAATCACATCGTTCTTTTGGACCTTGATGTTGAATGACTGTGCATGTGCAGGTTGGTCTCGGGATCGCATGCCTAATTGATAGGGGAAATTGAATGCATGTTGTTGTTCTTCGCTTCGAAACAGGTAATGGTGGTTGCGAATGATAGAAATACCACAGTCACCAATATTGGCCACACGTAATTCATCATGACGCAGCACAGCGATACAGGCTGTAGTAGAACCCAAGATATTGTTCTTTTTAGCAGCCACTAGACTTTTATCGTAAGAGCGTTGTAAGATATCCATAGGATGAGCATGATTGTATTCAAAGAACAAGGGGTCTTCAATATCTTCAAACCTGTCCATTTCGAGATTAGCAAAGTGCATGAGTTGAGTTGAATACAAAGCCGAGTCTGAACCTTGATATAGAAATTGATCTTAATGCGGAAAAAAAAATTTTTTTTTTTTTATATTTTTACCTGCAGTCTCTGACCAACCACCAATACCATCAGCAACACCAATCGCATCTGAACGTCTAAAATAAGCATCTTCACCTACTTGAGCACCCATAGAAGTATATGAATTGAATGTATGAACAGATATGCTCTTTTGTCTACGCTTAGCAAATCCAGCTGCACCATGACCCAGTTTAAAAGAAGGTTTGGGTTTAGATTGAGCAAAGAAGTCAAACATAGGTAATGGTTTTGTATATTCAATAGGCATTGAACAAGTGGATTGAAATCTACATTGTCTAAAGTGTGTCTTGACCACAAATAATCGAGGTGAATTAAACATGAAAAAGAAGAAAAAGAAATTTATTTTCATTCCCAACATTTCTTTCTTTTTTAAAGAGGAGAGTTAAAAAAAGTAATAACGTAAAAGAAAGACAAACAGAATGACAGTAGCAATGATAACAGGTGGACCATATTTACGATACAAAGCCTGTAGATTTAAATGACGCGCTTTATCCTTGAACATTTTTGCACTGTCCTTTAATTCACCTGAAACAGTACTCATTCGGTCTAAACTGTCTCCACGCCATAATAAATCCTCCATATTCTTGGTCATGATACGAGTAACATCTTGTAGATCTTCATTCAACTTGGCCAAGTTACTTTGGGTGCGTGTGTCTTGATAGATACGTTTTGTCTTTTGCATAAATGTGTCTAAAGAAAATCAAGTAAATACTACTTATGCATGTGTTGACCACTTACCAAACTTGACAAAAGCATAGGGTCTTAATCCTGGCTTATCTACTTCATTACCATAACTCATGTTGAATTCTTTGGCTAGTTCTTCCAAGTAACTAAATGCCAGTTTACGAGGATAAGATTGATCACAAATACAAAGATAGCATACACTTCCTTCAATGATATAACTACAGTAGCATAAGTTATTGTTATTAAGGGAGGTAGTCATAACTTACTGGAACGCGTATTTGCCAGACTCAATAGAACATCTCGGTTCAGAGTTGATGTTGAGACGCTTAAAGATAGTCTTTGCTTGTCCTTTATATTCAGCTAACTCAGTTTCAACCTAGTTTCAATATTTAGCACACAGATAGTAGAAACGATGACTTGCCTGTTCATCATCCATACTAGCAGCTAATGGAAGACCATCTGAAATACGAGCAATAATAGTTGTCTTTACCATCTTGTTTTATTTATTGCGAAAAAAAAAAGAGAAAAAAAAAAGAAAAGAAAAAGTGTATACTGTGACGTGTCAACCAAGTAAACGAGACGCGTTCAAGTTGTGTGACAGGATTACTGAGCTACCAAGTAAGTCAGTGCTGAAACGACATCGCCCTTGTTATTTCTCAACACTTGTTCAGCTTCTGTCTTTGCAAGTTGCATTTCATTCATTAGCATATCCACATCGGCCTTGGAAATAGGTTCATTAGAAGTTTTCAATCTCGATTCAGAATTAGTTTTTTTTTTTCTTTTAGTGTTATGCTCTACAACTTACTGATATTGCTTTTTGAATTCATTGGACATGGTTTGTAGTTCGACCAAAGACTAGTTGACTGTGTTATCACGCATCATTCAATGCCATGCTTACCTTGGCTAATTTTTCAGCTGCTTGTTGTCTAAGATTGATTTCGTCGTTGGCTTTCTTAAGGCCCTTTGGAGAGCCATGAGAGCCATGATCGTGATTACAGTTGGAATGGTCGTGATGATCGTGTCCCATTGAAAAAAAAAAGTGAAAGAAATACAAAAAAAAAAAAAAAAAGCCCTGCCTGAGAGCTGCTTGTTAATATTTTAATCTCAGTTTTACTTGTGCCTGAGTCACTTTGAATTAGTTAAGATTTTAGCAGCCATGTCAATGCAATAAAAGCACTTGGTGATATTTTCAAGTAAAAATACATTGAGGAGATAGTTAATGATTTTATCTATTACTTACAATTTTCTTAAGCTTGACTATCATAATATTTATAAGATCAAATTAAAAAATGATAAATTAATGACATTTGATAACTGTATATTTTCTTTTCTTTTTTTTAATCAGTATTGTCGTTGAATCATTTGAATTTTTATAACAAAAGGTAATATCTTAAAGAGATAAATCTGCGCTGTAAGTATGAAATACGTGGCTTAAAGAAGAAAAAAGCCAAAAAAAAGATTGACAATGACCTTCTGAAAGTCAAACATGACTTTACAAGTAAGACGAGGCCCACTCATGGAATTGTGGCAAATGCTGTATATTTTGCTGCTCTGGAGCCTAGTGTGATGAGGAGCTTCATGAGAGACAATGATAGTAAATGAATAAATAATATGGAAGGATAATGTTAATGATCATTCTGACTCCATTGCCAAAATCCTCAGGAAAAGAACCGTTTCCTTTTGCAAAAGAATATCCTTCTTCTTTATTTGTTCAATCAGGCTCAAGTGATAAAAATGTTGAAGAGCAAGATAGGACATTTTCTATGTCATCAAGAAAAGAAGGATGGAAAGATGATTAAAGGATCAACAAAGGGTAGCTTGATGTGCGTCAATCCTAATTGTGTCTCTGTAAAGCCCTCTCATCCTTTACAATAGGTCTATCTGGCTTAACCTTGTGCTTTCTCGGAATATCTATCCACCCAACATCAAATCAGTCAATACGACACTGAAGAATTTAAGCATTTGTCCTTCTGCAAGAAGAGAAAAATAGCCATAATTATGAAGATTTCGTCTAATCTCTAATTTTGTAATTGTCGCATTTAGTGTCATTCCTTGTACCTTAGAAAGATCACCATAGCATAAGCAAAAGGAACTTGCTATAGAGTCACAAGAGTCGCATATGGTCATATGTATGTGTTACCATGAAATGCAATAGGAGGTACCTTTTCTTTTTCTTTTCTTTTTTTGATTTATAAAAATGGAGTTTGAAGAAGTGAATAATTATATTAACAGAGAACAAGGTCATTCAACCACTTCATTAGACCAAATACCTTCATTTGAACATGTACTTTCAAATCCCTACAATGCACTTTTTCAAACATCAATCCAAAAGAAACCAACACTGTCTAACTTTGTTCACCGTCTTCGACAACAGTCAAGTAAGACACGGTTTGTAAGAGAGTATAAAAAGATGGCGAGTTTGTTTGATACAGTCCATACACATGAATATGACGAGTCCAGCGATGATGGTAAACCATACTCCACAAACATGATAAAACTGACTAAAATATAGCTTCTGTTCGTATCATTGATAAATCAGTCATGGATAAACCATCTGATCCAGATGCAAATGACTTGGAAGTACTTGAATTAGTCGTGCCTAAAAGACAAAAAGAGAAAAAGAAGGTGATGATCAATGAAAGCGCAAATCAAATTCGACATGCCCATGAACCACAACTGGATCCAGATCAATTCATGTAAGTCACTCCTGCCTTGTGAGGAGTTGATTGATAACTTTGGTAGTTCTATGGATCATGCACTTGGTTTACTTCATCATCATGTCCAAACCATGCAAGACAATATCGAAAAAGAAATCAAACGCATTCGTGTCTATCAAGAAGATATTGTCAAGTACAGAGAGCATATGATACTGATGGACACACAACTCGATACCATGCATTATTCACTCACTATGATGCACAAAGATATACCAGAGATGAAGGCACAAAAAGAGCGTGTACAGGAGAATGAAATCAAGGTTCGATCCAATCAAAAGAAGCACAACATACAAAAGCATCGATTTGAAAAGTACAGAAAGGCTATCAGTATTGACACAAGGCTTGTTGAATTGAAAAAGAAGATTGATGCTGCTTGGAAAAGAGATGAAATATGGGCTAGTATTCGTGACTGGGGTTTATTGTCAGGTAGATGGCCATATCAAACATTCAATTGTCTCATGAACTGATAGTTATTTTGATGTTGCTTGTCACGACTTTGGTTCTTTCCTGGTGGGGGTGGTAGAACTTGACAGAAAACCACAGAAAAGAGGACTGTTGTTTGTGACTATGTCTCTGAGAAAATTTTTTAAATATCTCTCACATAAAAATAAACCAAACGCGTCTTTGGATTTCACTCATCTTCTTATTTTTATTTATTTTTTTCAACAAGGTAACTATCTTTATATACGGAAGAATGTTCTGATGATCATAATTTGCGTCTGACTGTGGGGGAACAACGTTGGTACCTCGGTAAATTTATTTTATCTGAGGGGACCCACCAACGCCTTGCAAATGAAGTCAACATGCACACGTCTGAATACATTCTGGTTGTCATTTATTTTCTATAAACAAACTAATCATTTTCTATAGTTTTTCTTTATATTTATAAATATCTAAATAAATTATTATAATTTCTCTAAATTTTCATGTTTTTATTGTGTAAAAATGCAAGTGTATATAAAATGAGATGATTAATTGGTGGCGGTGGTAGTAGTAGTAGTAGTCTTGTAACGAATGTTGTCTGTATTAGAAGTGATGGAGAGCTGTCCAAACATGCTAGTATGTCTTGGTGATACAGAGAGTTGATCATATGAAGGCAATGAAGTAGAGAAAGGAGCAGGGTCTTGTTCAGCAGCTGTTCTATAAGAAGGAACCCTGGATAAATTGGTACCATGCCACCACAAGGGTTCTGAAGGAGAAGCAGGCGGAAGTTCATCTACATCATCATCATTGTTATGATGACGATGAGAAACCATTGCCATAGGGGAAGCATGTTCGTGTGATGGTGTACCAGGCGTAGAGGAAGAAGGGGATTCTAGACACAATACGGATTGCCATGTTTGGTTATAAGCAGGCAGGGTATTAAATTCAGTTTGTTCGGCAATAGAAGAAATGATAATAATAGGCACAGAGCAGCGTAGTTCAGATAAATGGCCATCCGCATTGATCAGGCAAATCACAAACTTGAGTTTGTGGCGAATACGGATCATTTCATTGTCAGCATCACAAAAGGCAGCTGTGGAAGACATGGGAGGAATATCCAAGTTGAGTAATTTAGTCCAGACAACAGGAGGATGGCTTGTTTCATGTTGATTCAATGTAGAAAACGGATCTTCTTCTCTTTTGAGTTTGACGATACGTGTATCTGTCTTGGTGCAATCGTTGGCTGTATAAGTGCAGTATTCTTTTAGGGTGACTGTGAGTGTTCGGACACGTAGTCTGTTGGCAATAGGCGTGATATGAAATGTAATAGGCACTGGTTGTCCTCGTGCATGAACTTTGGAAGGCAGCAAAATGTCGTACATCATTTTTTCAGCCCATGTATTGTGGATCTCCAAGGACTGCACGAGGTCAAATTCAGAGGGTAGCATGCACCGAACAATCTGAATCACTTGTTTCTTGACCAGGTTGTGCAAGAAAGCGGTGCGTTCCACCACGGCTTTCAACCGATATAACACTTGACCCCTTCAGCTTCTAAGGATTGAGGAAGATCACCAGGCAGCAACAGTTCAAAATCCCATTTATGTTGACCCGCACCTAACGTAAAGGCCTTTTTATGATCCACCACAGGCAGAAACTCCCAGTTATGTTCGATGATTTCTTTCTCTTGTTTATGGTAATGTTGATGGTGACCGATTCCTGTAGCACAAAAAGATCAATACCAACACAACTTCAATTGATGTGTTTACCTTCAGACCAAGATACTTTCATCTTGCCTGTAAAAGTCAAATTAACTGACCTTACTTTTATAGGTTCAGTAAGCGATAAAACAAGGGAACCCCTCAAAAGTTTCCCGGCTGATTCTGAAGCATGGCCCAGTAACACGATCTCCTTGTTGTCTAATTCAATCGACAAGTCTGTTGTTTTGTGACGTATTGCGCTAACCATGATTTAAACCTCTTGTTGTAAAAATGCATAGATAGAAGAGAGAAGAAAAGAAAGCGTAAAAGAAAACTAGTCTTTATAACCATGAAAAAAAAAATTGTGAAACCCGCCTAGAGGATGAGACAACATTTGCTTTCATTGGATAAGCTGACAATTAAAAAAATGAGACGCTTTTTTTTTTCTATAAAAAATTATTTCATAGTGTAGGACAGGATCAAAACAATAAATAATTCTAAACTTAATAGGGTTGAGCAAAATAATGAAATTTATCAGCATAATCAGTATGTGCACCAATATAAAAACCACCTAAAGAGGAACTGACATCAATGGCTTTGACAGAAGGATCGAGCCAATCTTTGTCAAACCCTACTTGGGTCGGTAATCCTATTTCCCCTACAGCTTGTTCGCCCTTGAGTAAAATACGCAGTAAAATACCCAGAGTAATATCCTTTTGCGAATAATAAATAGCTGTTTGTTTACCTAAACCACCACTGTCTTTTTTGATTTGATCGATAATATCTGGTGCAACCAGGGCGGGTGCACACAAATGGACCGAATCTGGCCTTTTTGGTATTTAAAAAGCCATTTTTTCTCTCTCTTTTTTTTTTTTTTTTAACTTACCTTTCATTAGCGTCCATAAGAGAACATGCTTCTACAATATGTCGGCAACCTAGTGAATGTCCTACCACTCGCAAATAATCATATTTCTTTCTCAAGTCTAATAAACGCCAAGCCAACATTTCAGCACGATCATGGCTCGTGTGATTAGCTATATTAAACTGGTAGGCCAGGCGAGATGCATGAAGACCAATATCGACTACTAAGGCACCTGCAATGGAAGCAGGTGTCGGTAACTTTAAATTCTTCAACTGTCTAAAATTTCTAGCTAAAAGATACGCAGTAGATCCAAAAGAAGCAATTGGGATCGGAACATGCGATAATGAAGTGCCAGAAGGCCAAGAATAACTACAGAAATGAATAAGTGCGCCTTCTTTTCGACTACTAAATTTACCCTAGAGCCGAGGAACCCCATTTGTGTGTTTGAGAAAGTACCAACAGACGATGCGAGTGCATCCAATCACCAAAGTTATCGGGTAAGTCACCTTCAGCTAAGAATCCCTTGACATAAACTGTCACTTCAGATCTGGCATGAGGGGGTCGAGACAAGACTTGGAGTGAAGGAAGTGGAGTGAAGTATTTCTTTTTCTTGAGTAAAGTCGAAACAGTCTTTGTCATTATAAGAAAAGTAAAAAAAAAAAAAAAAAAAAAAAAAAAAAAAAAAGGAAAAAGAAAAGGGCGTCATGACAAGGTAATTCGTTTACCCGCTTTCATGTATCTTATCAAAAGCCAATCATATTCTATTATATTACAAAGAAGGGTATATATACTAATTGGTAGGACATATAAGGCCATGGATAGGTATATCTCGCATAGGGGACCAAACAATACCAGCAATATGAAAAGTGACATGTAGTGTAACATTCAAGACATCCTGTTGATTTTCAAAAGGCATACTTGACGTGACTTGAACACCACACGCATTATAAAGGTCTTGAAATGTAGTGTCATTGGTCAAAGTCGTTTCATAGTGAATGTCCATAGGTATGGCAATGGCTGATTTCTTTCGAGGGCTGAGTACAAGACTGCCAGTAGAACCAGCGCCAAAAGCAAGTTGAGTAGAATCATCCACAATCGTCACATCAATGGAAGAAATACGAGTAGGAACCCAATTGTCTGAATTATCTGCTGTGATGTTAAGTTGCCATTGGGTAGATAAACTCATCTTGGTCGTATTTGTCACTACTTGTAATGTACCCACATTATCCACATCTTCCACAGAGAGAGAAGGTACACGAGGCCAAACAAAGAACCAGACGACTACAATCACTGCTACTGCCAGCAGACTCAAAAAAGCCACTGTTCTGTATCGCATTCCACAACAACGCTTCTTTTTACGTCGTTTGATATCCACAGGTAGTATTTTATCTGTATAGGGTGCATGAGGGGCTTGAGAAGGTCGTCTGTTCATATTGATTTGATCGGTAATATTATCCTGCAGCATAGAACCTACCCCTAGGGATAATGGGGGTGCTATATAGTCTTCTTCTTGAAGATGAATAGGTTCTGTTTTCTGGTTAGGGTCTCTTAAATGATGTGAATAAGGTAAATATGAGTTGGCTCTATCGCTTATATGGCGATATTTTTTATGTGCTTTTGCGTATGGATCCTCATAATCGGGTGCAAGAGGATAAAGTCGGCTCGTACTACTGTCTGAAGCTGTACGGGAATGAACAGCATCAAAATCTGAACTATGGTCGGAATTAGCTATAGAAAAAAAGGGTATTAGGGTAATAGGCAAAATAAAACAAAATAAAAAATTGTAGTTTACCTATACGGGGACTTTTCTTCACGATTCTATAAGGGTCATTATCTTCATAGACTGTAGGTAATGATATTTGTCTTGCATGTGTTTTATGAGAAGGAGGAGTGTGGCTCATATGAGTTCATATATATTAAAAAAAAATTTGGTTTCGAAAAAAAAAAAAAAAAAAAATAGAAAAAGAAAGAAAAGAGAAAAAAGACGACATCATATCTGTATTATATGTTTTCCAAAATGGTCTGTGCGCGCCTTTTCAAATTTGCTTGAAACCCAGGATGAAAGTGAAAAAAAGGGGAGCTTCTTCTATCTATTTGGTTTAAATAAGATGGTGGTTGAATCAATAATTTTGTATGAACCTTAAATTTTGCCAAGAGACAGTTTTTTTAAAATAGAAAATGAAAATTCTACAAGTATTTTTATTGGTTAGTTTAATTTGTTTTTATTTTTCTCTTTTTTTCTTTCTTTCTTTTTCATTCTTTTGGCCTGCGTATTTTGATGGCAACCGTTGTCATGATTTCCAAGTAGGAAGTCGGCATTGCTATACTAACCACAGAATAATGACTTGATGTTTTGTAGAAATGGAGTTGAAAGCGAAATGTTATCATTGTGTAACTATGCTAAACACATGGCAACATTTGTACTTTTTTTTTTTATACCGATTCGGTTTGATTTTAAAAAACTAAACTTGTATATCTTTTTAACCTATTCTTTTGGTAAATGACTGATGATTGGTTCGATTGAATTGTATCAAGCCTATACTGAACAAGAAATAGTTTTTGAATTTTGTATTCAACAGCAAGACAATGATTCCAATACTATGGTTGATGATTGTCAACCTAATAAAAAAAAGAGTTCAGAAGGCGATTAACTTGCCAAGGAAGTTGTTCAGATAAACAGTAATACCAGCAATAAACGAGGAACTAGCAATACAAATTCAGAAGTTATGCAAACCATACAATATCTTTAGGGTGTAAGTCAACCATACCACAAGATGTTCCGTTGGATACAGCAAATATCAAAAAGCTGACAATCAATGCAAGATGATACAATCATCAATTAACAACATATTAAATGTTCAACATACTCAGCACTAGTGGCTCTATACTAATGACTCTGGATTCTCAAAGTACATAAAAATAAAGTCCAAAGCATCAATCAATTCTTATTTCTTTGATAAGGCTTTATATTGACCATTTCTTTCTTATGCTTGTTTGCTTTGTCTTTTGTTAGACTTGGGTTATGTCTTAATCTTTTTCCCTTCTCTTTTATATTTTCCACCCCCTATTGTGACTAATCTATGAAGAATGGTCATAGGGTGTTGAAACAATCATAGCTGAATAGCTCTTTTTTTTTTTCTTAATCATCTTCGTATAGCCATAAATAACTTAGAACTGCTTTTTTTTTTCGGAACCTATCTTGAGCTCCTGCATTTTTCGAATGAAACCTTTATCCTTTCAAGCCGAATGTACTATGTACTCTGCAGCGACAAACTCTGAGATTGCTATTCCAGAGGCTTGGACGTCTGAGAATTTGTTTAGAAGCTTTCAAGCATTACGCTCTATGCTTCACAAAAAGCAGCTTGTATGTACAATTCAAATTCAGTACCTTCCGAAGTCTAAATTGTCCTCCTTGTCAGCTAGATCTGAAATGTAGCAGGAGAAATATTAAAGAAAAGGCACTTAAGGCCATTACACTTGCTATCAAAATTGCCGTTTCCAGGACTGGTAAAGGAACATGACAGAATCGCTAGTTACAATTTTGACATTTTATTGATTATCACTACCTCGCCTCGAAAACGTTACTTTTTCAATAACCATGATTTTTACAAGTTTGTTGCAAGCAGTATTTCACTCCAACTAAAATTATTCGGAGAAATTGAATTTCTTCTTTTTGATTTAAAGATGGCTGGTTTTCACACAGCTCTTGCAAAGTCTTCTTTAATAACGTGTTTTGACACCACACGAAAAAACGTTTGGGTTGTCCACGCCAGCGCGAATCATTCCGACAGAAGCAACCAAGTCTTCAAAGCGATAAACAACAAGATTCTTGCTTACTTCGGAAGCATGTAGTAAACTTGTCAAATTCAGCAGCTCTATTTTGCTTGAACATATAGTATTGTCAAATGGGATTTTGTTTATAATGCTTCTAAATGCCCTCTACACAAGTTCTGAGTTTAAATTGGTATTCTCATCTCATAAACTAAAATCAAAAAAAAAAGGAATTTAATCTGGGGCGGCCATTTCCAACAACACTTCTATGGAGCGCCTTTTGACCCTGAAAAAGTTTCCAGAAAGATTACCAAAGATTTCAAAAATGAAGAAGAAAGCTGATTAATAGAAAATACAAAATGAGAATTATATGGCAAGTCACTTCATTCTGTGTACACTTGACCATCCCCCAATGTTTTTATTTTTTATTCAGTACAAAAAAAAAATTAGATATTTAAGAGAAATGATGAACTAAAAGTGTCTAAAAATGAAGAGCTATCAGAGAAGTGTATTAACAAAGCTGGTAGATATAAATAAGGCACATTGAATGGTGTTAAGAAAGTAGGATGCTGAGTGTCAAGATAATGAGCTGTTCTTTAAAAACATATTTCCTGTTCTTGAACCGTAGCATACAGTTTTTCTAATACTTTTGCAAATGTAATATTCTGAATGTATTTATGGACCTAGAGAAGCATTTTGTACTAAGACGTGTCATGTCGAAAACGTCTCTATGGACCACCAGTCGCAAAATAGTGAAAATTGAAGATTCCGTAAAAGGGTACCGGGCCAAATTGACGATTTTTCTTTATGTTCAAACATAGGAAACTCAAAAAATGGGAATCAGAAGGCAGAAATGATGGTTTATGTTGATAAACACTCTCGCCTTTAGCGGGCTACCGATCTGCCGCTATTGTTGTTATGGCACTAGACTGTTTGCCAAAAACTATTCAGAATAGAAAGGTAGTTTATATTCGAGGAAAACCCAAGGTATGACTTGAGATTGTATCATAAGCTTAATACTCAAATAAGACACAAACTGAGGATCAAAAGCATATCAAGTGTGCCAAATGAAATCAAAAGTTATTTAGGAGTATGCTTCTAATATATGGATAATTAAACTCGGTTTTGACAACTAAAGATGTCAATCAAGTTCTTCCTTATGTTCCTCTATCCCAAAACCGACTATTTTCAGCTGATTTGATTGGATAAAGTGTGCATAAATCAAATAAATACCATATTTTTCTTTCCCCACTGCTTTATATTTAACATGGATAAGCTTATTGACATTTTGCTTACAGTTATTCATTGCTTTCTAGCATAGTGAATAATAAACCCCCTCCCTTTGTTATGACTTGATTTTATTTACAAATGCAGTAAAATAATTAATTTTCTCGGTTTCTTTTTTTCCATTAATATTATTTTCAATGACTGAAGACCAAGGTGCCTCCGCAAGTAAGTGTCTAAAGAATGAAGTACGAGTAAACTTATGAATAGATGAACTCATGCTGGCCTTGTGCCGTGGTGACCAAGAAGAGGAATTAGAAAAATTATTAGATGAAGGTCATTGCGACGTGTCTTTTGTCGATGGAGCAGGTAACTCTGCTGCTCATTATGCGTAAGTGCAAAGAAAATAATACCATCGTATCAATAAGTGCCATAGTGCTAAATCTGGTTCGATTGGTTGCCTTGAAGTGCTTGTGAATCATGATGAAGTGGATCTCGATATTCAAAATACGTTGGAAGGGGCCACCCCACTTCATCTGGCTGTTCAATATGCCAACCAAGATCATGAAATGGCTGCTGCCATGGTGGAACTATTACTGGCTGGAGGAGCCAATCCAAAGTAAGTTATCACTGAACAAACAAGCTTATACAATCTATCTTTTTAGAATTCAAAATAGAAATCAATTAACACCCGCCATGTTGGTTAATCCTCAGTATAAGGATATCAAACAACAATTAGACAGTGCCAGTGTTGCTTATGATATGGTATGTGTGTGTATATATGCGTGTGTGTATATTAACCTACATACAGGATGATTCTGATATTGCTCATGATGACGATATGGATGACAGTGGTTCTGCTTCAGAAGAAGAATAAAAAAGTATCTGTTTTATTTTGAAGAGATCTTTCAATCAATACCAATCGAGTTTTAAAAACTAACATGACCAAGTGCTTTGTTTTTCATCATAATAAAGAAAGACTTGTTCATGACAAGATCATTCAAACAAGACATATCTATAAACTCGACAGTCTTTTCATAGGTAGATTCATCTTTATAAAAAACAAAAGACAAAAAAAAAAAAACTCTATGGATTTGTCAGATATGCGTGACGCGCCCTTGGTGACGTAGAATAAACACCTTTAAGCATTTTTCACTCTCTTTCTCTTTATCTCTCTTTCTTTGCTTTCTTTTATTATTATTATTATGTCTTCTATGCAGTTACCTCCTGGGAATGACTTCAATGCTACCTGGTCTTTTTTAGAAGCAGGTCTTGACCAAATCATGTGTCGTTTTGAAGAAGGTTTAGATCGTACACGTTATGCTATTCTTTATAGGTAAAAAGATATATAGATGACATTTCTTTATACTCATAAAAACTAGTGCTGTTCATAATTATTGTGCTCGAAGTGATACCAACATACAAAGTGCTATCTCAGCTCCAGGTGGTGCTAATTCTCGAAGACGTAAGTTCAGATTGGTTGAACGCGTACTTATTTTATTGTAGCTGCACCTGCACCTCCTCTTATTGGTGGAGAAGTATACGCTCATTTAAGCGACTACCTTAAACATCACCTTGAGAAGATCAGAAGAGAATCTGAACAATATATGGATGAGTCTTTATTACAATACTACACGAAACAGTGGACGAGATATACAGCTGCTGCTCGTGTGGTCAACAATATCTTTATGTATTTAAATCGTTATTGGGTCAAGCGTGAAATTGATGAGGATAGAAAGAGCGATGTTTACGATGTCTTTACTGTAAGTTTAAACTGATCAAACTGACACTCGTTCTTATTCGTTTTACTATAGCTAACATTGGTGAGTTGGAGAAAGTACATGTTTGAATATGTAAGCCATAATGTGATTGCTGCAGTATTAAAGTTGATTACCAAACAAAGAAATGGTGAAGTCATTGAAACAAGCCTTATAAAGAACGTTGTTGATTCCTTTGGTAAGCATCAAAATACATGTAAATATAACTTATAGACTGTAGTGTCGCTTGGTTTGGATCACAATGATTCCTCAAAGTCGAATTTAGACGTGTACAGAGACTATTTTGAAAAAGAATTCATTGAGGCTACTGAAGTATATTACAAGACAGAATCAGAGAAATTCATTAGCGAAAACAGTATTCCTGACTACATGAAAAAGGCAGAAACAAGACTGATTGAAGAAGAAGGCCGTGTTCAAATGTATCTTCACCCTTCAACTCACAAGACTTTGATTCCTATCTGTGAAACTGTCTTGGTCAAGAACCAAGAAGAAAGTATTTGGGATGGATTCCAGTCCTTATTAAATGCTGATAAACAAGACGATCTCCATCGTATGTATTCACTCTTGGCTCGAATTCCTGATGGCTTGAATCCTTTGCGTATCAGTTTTGAGTCCCACATCAAGAAAGCAGGTCTTGGTGCCATTGAACGTATCTCTCAAAATGAATCTGAAGCATTGGATCCCAAGAGCTATGTTGATACCCTATTGGAAGTACACAAGAAATACAATGAGTTAGTGGGATCTGCTTTTAGTGGTGAAGCTGGATTTGTGGCTGCTTTGGATAAAGCCTGTGGTGAATTTGTCAATCGTAATAAGGTCTGTAAAGGCACTTCAAGTAAATCGCCTGAATTACTGGCACGCTTCTGCGATCAATTGCTCAAGAAGAGTGCTAAAAACCCTGAAGAAGATGAATTGGAAGATGTATTGAATAATGTCATGACTGTATTCAAATACGTGGAAGATAAAGATGTGTTTCAAAAGTTCTATAGCAAAATGCTGGCGAAGCGTCTGGTCAATGGTACTTCTGCCTCAGATGATGCTGAGGGTTCCATGATCTCTAAACTCAAAGAAGCCTGTGGTTTTGAATACACCTCTAAATTACAACGTATGCTAACAGACATGTCACTCAGTAAGGAATTGAACGACCAGTTCAAGACCCTTGTTCAACAACACAATGATACTTCAATTGATTTCAATATCTTGGTATTGGGTGCTGGTTCATGGCCCTTGTCTACTCCTTCCACCTCCTTCAACTTGCCTGACGACGTTGTCACTATGTATGATCGTTTCCAAAAGTTTTATCAAAACCAGCATTCAGGTCGTAAGCTAAACTGGTTATTCCAACTCTCTAAGGCTGAACTCAAGACACACTACTTGAAGGCAAGCAAAGTAGGCTACACATTTATGGTTTCTGCTTATCAGATGGGTGTCTTGCTTCAGTTTAATGCCACAGACACCTGTACGTATGAAGAGTTGCATAAATCCACTGCACTCTCTCCTGAAGCCTTGAATCCTGCGCTTGGTGTCTTGGTCAAGGCAAAAGTACTCTTGCTCAAGGGAGATAATGTAGGCGATGCTGGATCGCGTTACGTACTCAACCATGACTTCAAGAGTAAAAAGGTCCGTATCAATCTCAACATGCAGATGCGTGTCGAACAAAAGGCTGAGACAGAAGAGACACACAAGACCATTGAAGAAGATAGAATGTTTGTTATGCAGGCTGCTATTGTCCGTATCATGAAGACGCGTAAAGTAATGAAGCATGTGGCTCTTATAGAAGAAGTCCTTACTCAATTGCAATCAAGATTTAAGCCTCGTGTGCCTGCCATTAAGAAATGCATTGATGTCTTGTTGGTAAGTGTTGATCTCATCTTTTTCGTTTGTTCATCCCCTTCATTAGGAAAAAGAATATATTGAGCGTGTTGAAAACCAAAAGGATATGTACAGCTATTTGGCATGATTTATCAATAAAAGAAAAAAGAGTGTGTCTATTAAAAAGGGGAGGGGGTATCACTCATGTTCATCATCAACTACTGTTTGATATTGAGCCCTTGACTATAAAAAGATGATGAGTAAAGTGGTTATGGAACAATGTACATACACGACGCCATTTATCAACCCATGGTTTGATCAAACTAAACAAGATCAAAGCAAGTGTGATGAACAAAAAAGAGCGCACAATAATCTCATCCTTGTAAGAATCTCGAGCTAAAGAAAAAGACAGAATGAGTACAATTGAAGAGTAAAATAACGTACCAAAACATGCTGTCTTGAAGTCATTACTAGGACAAGTGGCGTCTGCAATACCATCACATAGACCATCCTTGACATTATCAAGACAAAACTGCTTTGTACAGTTAGCACAAGGCTTCGGATCCACTACAGGTATTTCAAATATAGTTGAGTTGGAACCACAAAAGCATTTGCAGAACATTTGGATTTCAGCTGTCTGTGCTTGTGTTGATAACAAACTAAACAAGAGAATATACAAGTTCATAGAATTAAAGGAAAAAAAGAAAAAGAGACCATATTTTGTTAAAAGTGAATGTTGTCTTGATTTAAAAGAGCGCTTTCAAAGCATAAAAGACACACACACACACACACACAATACTATTTCTCTTAAAAGAGAATGAAAGAAAGAAAGACAAAATGAATGCTTTATTCAAATGAGTATATCAAGTCTGATTTTCATTCTTGATGGTTCATATGGCCATTCTCTAAACGAAAGAAAATAAAATAAAAAAGCGGGACTTGAATTGACTTTTTTTTTTTTTTTCATTTATGACAAAAATATGTATTGTACCTCCCTCGTGTAATCCTCTCTCTCTCTCTCTTTCTCTTTCTCTCTCTCTTACTCCCCCCCCTATGACAGCTATTCTAGAGACAGACCATTCAATACAAGAAAAAGACCTTTATCCCCCTTCTTTCTACGAAAAACGATCAAGTAAAGATATACTCATACTTCATGCAGTACCATTGACCATTCTTAGATATAGGTTCTTATTCTTCAGTGTCTTCTTCAGACGACTCAGATAGTTTTGATAAACGCACACTATCAGAAGAATTGACTGAAATCAAATTAGAACCACTAAAAATATCAACTGATCGCCGTAATAGTACAGATAATGCATCTATTTCATCAACAAAATCTATTTTCGCACTTTGGTCTCCTTTTCGATCCAATACAGCGCCTGCTTCAACAGGAAGGCCTTCTGCTCAATTCGCTGCTCGACAGTCTATCAACAGGCCCATCAGCATCATTTCACCTCTGCCTGGATTTCAAGAAGCCTTGTTGGCACAAATGGAACAACTAAACATTGCCAACACCAATGATCCAAAGTCAAAAGTAATTAAAAACCTGAAAAGACAGTCTATAAGACACCACCTTGTCGCTCAAAATAAAGGCAATGACTATGATTGGGGTAAAATTTAACTTTAGTCTACAAACCATGCTAATCCTTCGTATAGACTTTTGGGCGAGTATTATGTGTGACCCACAGCATTTGGCCAAGGTCAATAAAGATTTAATTAAACACATTCGATTCGGTATTCCGCCTTCTATTCGCGGTATGGTGTGGCAATTATTAGCGCACTCAAAAGATGAAGCACTTGTGGCACGCTATATAGAATTACTCAAGTTAGTCAGTCCTTATGATAAAATGATTCAGCGCGATTTGGCACGTACATTCCCTGGCCATACCTACTTTAAAGAAAGCGATGGACAAGGTCAAGAAGGCCTTTATAATGTAGTCAGAGCCTATAGTTCGTATGACCATGAAGTAGGCTATTGCCAAGGACTAGCTTTTATTGTAGGACCCTTGTTGCTTAATGTAAAGTTAAACCCCCCCCCAAAGATTGACATATGCAAACTCACCTAGTTGATTAGATGCCTGAAGAAGACGCTTTTTGTGCGCTTATTCAACTCATGAACAAATACGGTCTTCGTGGTCATTTTACACCTGATATGGATGGACTTCAGTTACGTCTTTATCAATTTGATGCCTTACTGCAGGAATATTTGCCTCATGTAGCACGTCATTTGGTTCAGCAAGGCATTAATTCAACCATGTATGCCTCACAATGGTTTATGACACTTTTTGCGTACAAGTTTCCATTGAACCTAGTGTTTCGTATTTACGACGTGATCTTGGCAGAAGGCATCAGCACCATTTTCAAGTTTGCCATTGCACTCTTGAAAAGAAACCAAACGACTCTTTTAGGGCTTGATTTTGAACATGTATTAGATTTCTTAAAGAACGGTCTGTTTGAAGAATACAAGGTAAATTATAATACCAAAAAAAAAAAAGAAGCTGATGTCTGTTAGGATGATGATCGTCGATTTGTGAGCGATGCTTGTGAACTGGAGATTCCTGCTAGAAGGTTATCCCAATTAGAAAAAGAACACAAACTACAGATTCAAAAAGAACAGGCAGACGCTAGTTTGATGGACGAATTACAGAAATCAAACGCATCCCTCAAGAAGAAACTAAAGACCTTAGAGGCCAAGGCAGCCACATTAAGATCAGAACATAAAGACGTATGTGAACAACTACAAGAAACACAGCACCAATTAAGCCAGTTACAAGACGAAAACAGTTCTATAAAGCAACTGGTGTGTTCTTTACAGGTAGAAGTAGATAGCCTGCCTCAGACAATAGAAGCCAAGACAAAAGAGCCCTTTGAAGCACTCTGTAGTCAAAATGGCTCCTTGATTGGGACCAATTCCTCGCTTGAAGATCAACTACAGAAAGCAGAGTCTGTCTTGATTGACATGAAAATTCGTTATGCACAGAGTGAAAACGAACGAGAAGAACTAAATAGAAAACTACATGAATTAAAAAAACTAATCTTATTTAATTAAATCTGACAAGATTGTCTCGATGAATGACGCATTCAGCATCCACATAGCCTAATATGCTGGCAATTTCAGTACTTCGACAGCGTTTGATACGGTTAATTTCAATGCTTGAGTAATTCACGATGCCCTTGCCAATCACTTTGCCTTTGTCTAGTGCAATATTCACTGCCTGATGAGCTACAAATTGTCCCTCAACTTGGACAATACCAGCAGAAAAAAGACTGCCTTTGGTACGAGGTCCCAAGATACCATTAGCAGCACCTTCATCCACATAGACTGTGCCTGCTGTATGTAGACCATATTGAATCCACCATTTACGATCCAACAAAGGGTTGTTCTTGGCAATAAATCGTGTATGCAATGGCTGTTCTGCTTGAGTTTGATCTGCCTGAAGGATCTTGCTAATGTTGCTTGTTTTTGATCCATGTGTGATGATGGTTGTCACACCAGCAGCGGTAGCTAGTTCAGCAGCAATCAGCTTAGTAGCCATACCACCTGTGCCTAAAGAAGACCCCATACTAGCCACAGAGACTTGTTCGCGCAACTGAACCATGTCTTCACATACAGTCACAGGTTGAGCATCAGGATTGGTACGAGGATTATCGGTATAGAGGCAATCGACATCGGTCAAAAGAAACAAATAGTCTGCCTTAATCATACCTGCCATGATAGCAGAAAGTGTATCATTGTCACCAAAACGGATACCTTGCGTTGAAATGGTATCGTTTTCATTCACAATAGGCACAACGCCCATATCTAACAGTTCTTCTAGACAGTTGACTGCATTGAGGTATTGAGAACGCTATCAAAGGATGTGGGGTTAGAGATGGATTGATATCGATAAATAGTTACATCAGCAAGATCGTTTTTGGTAAGCAGGATTTGTGCAACAGGTTGATGGAATTGACCAAACAAGTCGTCGTACAAGGCCATCAATCGACCTTGACCTACTGCTGCCACAGCCTATTCATGAGATAAGTAAAATTATAAATTAAAAATTTGTTCACCTGTCGAGCAGATAATTTGGAAGGCTTTTCAGACATGTTCAGTCGACGCAGACCTGTGCCTACAGCAGCACTAGTGACAAGCACCACGCGATGACCTTGAGTTCGTAAACTCAGGACACTTTCAACCAAGGCAGAAAGGTTAGACAATAAAGGAAAGTGAGTCACTTCATTACAGATAGAAGAAGTGCCAATCTTGATCACGATCGTTAACGAACTTGACTTGTTCTGTTGGTTTTTATGAAGCATAAGAAGAAAGGTAAAAATATAGAAAAAAATGACCTTTTTTTTTCCTTGTACATATCATGACTCACTTTTCTTGCCAATAATAACTCGTCAATGTTAACCCATTGATACAATACAAGTGATTCTCTATTAACAGCAGCAACAAAAGACTTAAAATTGCTTGCTTAAACATTGCTTTTTAATCATTCGAAACTGTGAATTGATCGTTCTTGGATAAAAAAAAAAAGTGCTTGTTTTCTTGAAAAAAAAAATGTACAATTTGAGGTTGAGCAGAATAAAGAGAAACCCGCCGATGACGATAAAATACTCTTTCTTTGTCCTATTTTGTGTGAGAATGAACAAAACTGGATGAGGGGTTTGACTTGATGTCTTAATGACTTATGCCTTGTATCGGAGCAAATTTTTGCGTATATAAACATGATAATCCAAGGGAACAAACAAAAAAAAAACTTACATCAAAAAAATGAACTTCAAATTACTTATTGCTCTCTCTTCTGTCATTGCTCTTATTCATGCTCAAAACCTGGACTCACCTGCTCTTAGTTCCCTTTCCAGCAAGTAAGAATGCCATTGTTTTTGTCTAATATTACTAAACTTGTGATTTAGGATTGAATCTATTGCTACTTCTGTCACAGGAGATAACAGGACTCCTTTATTGAGTTCTGCTTCTTCTGCTTATAGCCGTATTTCCTCTGCACTCGCTCGATCTGCTGCTACTGCTACTAGCTCAGTAACAAGTGCCCAAAGTTCTGCCTCTAGCACTCAACAATCGGCATCCAGTGCTCTTAGTTCTTCGGGTTCTACTGGTAGTGCTACTGCTTCAAACACCCAAGGTGCTACTAATGCTGCTTCTGCCTTGGATTTCTCTAATACTCTTACTGTTCAAATATTGGCGTTGGCTGCTCTCTTCATAGTCAGTTTTGTTGCCATGCTTGCTTAAGTAAGCCCAATAAACATCATCATCTTTTTTTTTTGGGTACTCGTCTCTGCTTGTAATAAAGAGTCCGTTTAAATATTATTAAATTTGCCATGGATTATCGCAGAGAATGAAGCAAGACTCTAAGATACGATTAGCAACATTGAATCTCATACCTATTTTTTATGCTTTAAACACTTGATGTATTACACCATAGCAACTACTTTCTCAAAACAAGATAATGCTGAAGGATAGTAACAGTTCTATCGAGAAATCACCTGCATTCAAGCATTTACAATAAGTCTATAAGGTTGCAGTTTATGATCACTCGTCTTTACCTTCATGCTATACGAAACTGACTAGCGTACCACAAACTTTTTTAATGCATTTTTTTTATCTTTAAATTAAATAGCTTACAGCCAAGCACTGAAACTATCATTTTCAAATTAGACCAGTAACTTGCTCAAAACACTACTTTATTATGAGATCAAGATATTCTGGTACTTTGGGATAAGGTGTTTCTTGGTTCATGAGGCATTTTTTTTTTTTGATACAAGCCATTTCTTGACATTTGGACCCTGCCATATGAAGGCTTTGTACTCTTGAACACCAAAATGCTTGGATTATTTTACCCAATTCTCGGTATGAAGAAAGACATCATCCTGTTTTATTCAGCACTCTAGACAAGATAGTCTTTCATGAACAGCAGTTTGTGTATATGATCTTATTCCACTAACCTCACTAATTTCTATGAAAGCTATTGAGGCACTAACAGAACTAATTGTTTCTCTTCAAAGCATGTATTCGTATTGATGAGGTCTATATTTGAATGGCAATGCGTCAAGGTCAAATAGGATCCACTAATGTTGATTGCATATCGTACCTTCAAAACCAACGAATGAATACTACTATTTCATGATATTGGGTCTACCCCTATCTTTCATAAGCTATTGGTAGTACAAACATATCTTATTTGAACTTTAAAACTCTATTTACATGAAGACTCAATGAAGTAGACATTGGTTTAAGTAGGGTTCTTAAGATGATCATGAACCATTCTATGTGGCACAGTAAGACAAGCATAGTAAAAGACACACATGCTTTACCATTGCAAGTACAAAATAGAGATGAAACTTGTTCAAACAGAGATCAACTAATTTAAAACAATGATAAAGATATTTGTAACATAGTAAAACACTTTTTGGTTGCTTGTCATTCGGGAAAGCTTCCGGTGAATATATTTGATAATGATCTGAATTTCAAGTTTATATATATATATATATATATAATACATGCTGAAAACAAAAAAAAACAAAAAAAAAGAGCGTACAACGTACAAACTTATCAATTCTTGACTGAGTGTGGACAAAATGTGCTGGTCTATGTGATATTGTCTACATGATATGTTAGAAAGGGCTTACTGTGACTCAGTGACGTCGATTTAGAATTGAACTTCCGACGCTATTGGCTATTTTGGATATCAAAAGAAGTGAAAGAAAAATGAAAAAAAAGAGAGAGAGAAAGAGAGAAAGAGAGAGAGAGAGAGAGAGAAAGGGAAGAGAAGAGCGAAGAACACAAGAAAGGAAACAAACAAAAACTATAAGGAAAACAAGGCTAGAAAATGCAAGAGAAAACAATAAGAGAAAAGGATTTGGCATTAAAAAAAGGAATTGTTTTTTTCTTCTTTTTCCAACTATTTATATATACACTAGAAAAGTTTACAGTAGCTTTTTTCTCTTTCTTTCTTTCTTTCCCTCTTTCTTGCGTAACTCCTTATCACCCCCTTTCTTTATTATACTCACTCCCTCTCTGAATTTAAGAAAGGATAAGCCAAGTTAGTAGCAACAACCTACCTCACCTAAAAAAAAAAACGGAAGCAATAGAGTAGCACAGAGTAGCTTGCAACCCCTTAACTTTCATACACGATTTTGAAATGGCTCAGTCGCAAAACAGGAGAAACACCTGGGAAGGGTAACATTGTTTTCTTATATGCGTATAAAAAGAGAGAGTGGAATGACATAAGGTACAAGATGGCGTTTCTTAACTCATCTTGTCCATTCTTTCTCTCTCTTTCGCGTCTCTCCATGCTTTGATACTGACTTATTGTTGTTGTTTTTTTTTGTTTAGGCCAAATGGCCGCACCATTGAAGCCAGAGCATCCGAGCTTTTAAATTTGTATATATACGATTATTGTAAGAAGAGAAAGTTCAACCAAGCAGCACGAGCATTTTCTTTAGAGGCAAATGTGCCAACAGACCAACCGCCTCCTTTTGATGTATCGACAGGTTTTTTAGCTGATTGGTGGAACGTATTCTGGGATATTTATTATGCAAAATCTAAAGAAGCTGAAGCTAGTAAAGAAGCGACCGTTATTGATGAGGTAGGAAGTTTTTAAAAGAAGTGAGCATATTAACATGCGATTAGTATCATAATTATCTTCGGTCTAAGCGAGATGAGGTATTGCAGCAGCAAAGAGCATTTAATACGCATCAAGCAGCACAACAACAACAGCAACAACAGCAACAGCAACAGCAACAGCAACAGCAACAACAACAACAGCAACAACAACAACAGCAACAACAGCAGCAGCAACAACAGCAGCAGCAGCAACAGCAGCAACAACAGCAACAACAGCATCAACAACAGCAAGCACATATTCAACAACGCCGTGCCTCTGAAGTACAAAGAGTACAATCACCTCAACTATCCATGCATCAACAACAGCAACCACAACAGGATCAACAAGCACATCTACAACAACAATCACAACCATTATCACGAGATCCGCGTCCATCACCAGCAAGTAGTACAGCATCATTACCAAATAATCCTGGTAATCCTACAGCGCCTGGCACAGCGCCTAACACCAATACGACACCTTCCGCTGCCGCTGCTGCCGCTGCTGCTGCTGCTGGTGGTGGTGGTGGTGGTAGTGGCAATATGCCTCCCCCTAATAACCTTGTAAATACACCCCAAAGTATGCCTGCTAGTTTGCCACAACAACATATACCAGCAAGACATACGGCCTCACCTTCTTTTTCTCCTCAACAAATCCAACGAGGAGATACTATGGGCCCTATGCCTGCTGACATGATGAATTCACCCATGGTAGGTCAACAAATGCCCATGCAGCCCATGATGACGCCTGCACAACGCGCTCAACAAGCTCAACAACAACAACATGCGATTGTCAATGCAGCCATGAACGCCGTAGGGTTGGGTGGTCGTGATCAACAGTCACTTACGCCTGAAGAAAAGAATATCCTACAAATGCAGATTAGAAAAATACAAATGAGTCAACAGGTGAATATGATGCGAAATAATCCGTAAGTACGCTAGACATGTTGGGTGTATTTATATCTCTATAGTATGATGGCAAATAGTCCACAAGCGCAAGCAAGGTTTCAAATGCAACAACAAGCAATGCTTCAACAACAACAACAACAACAACAACAGCAGCAGCAGCAGCAACAACAGGCTATGCTTCAACAACAGCAACATCAGCAATCCATGCAACAACAAGCTATGCAACAGCAACAACAACAACAACAGGCTGCTGCTGCTGCCGCCGCTGCCGCCGCTGCCGCTGCTGCTCAACACCCACAACACCCTCAGCAGCCTCAACAAGGTACACCACAACAGCAACAAGCACAGCCTCATAATCCACATGCAATGAATCAAAGTCCTCAAGTAGATGGATCTCAACGTGGTATGGTGGGTCCAGTAGGACCTAATGGTAAATAAGCCGTTTGTTTATTGGGTTACTCATCAATTAAAGTGAATGGTCAACCGAGGCCACATTTAATAGGTCCTGGAGGTCAAATGGGCATGAACTCCAATATGCAAAGTCCGAATTTAATGAATGGCGGTGTTCCTTTTAATGGTGAAAGTAAGTGATGAATATGTGTTAGATTCTTGCTATTGACGTTACGCAGTGAATCTGATGGTTGCTCAACACATGATGAATAAAGGTCAAATGCCTGTAGGCTTAACTCCTCAGCAACAACAACAGCAGCAATTGGTAAAGAAGTCATTCCGAATGATAATTTTTTTTTAATTCTATTTTATAGCTACTGGCCCATCAACAACAACAACGTGTAATGATTGCTCAACGAAGAATCATACAACAGCAACAGCAACAGCAACAGCAACAACAGCAACAAGGTCAGCCGATACCTCCTCAACAGCAACCTCCTCAACAACCTCAAGGCACACCACAACAACAAGTGCAGAGCTTACCTGGCCCACCTCAAACACCACCTGCACCCATTGGTAGTCCAAACCCCAACGTGCCTGTAGGAAGTGGATCCCCTGAAGGTGGAGATAAAAAGAAAAATATAGCCATTGCACTATACCAACGTCGCCAAGTTCATCATGCATTACAACAACAACAACAAGCACAACAACAGGTGCAACAACAATTCGTTCATCATCCTAAACGACAAAGAACGACAGACGATACTGTTGTAGGCACACCTTCTCAGCAACAGCTATCACCTCAATTACAACATAAAATGAGTCCTCATATCATGAATGCTCAAGCACCACAAAATCCAAGTGAGTCGCCCGTGATATCCATGCAACAAAGACTTGTAGCCCAACAAAGAAACCAGTTTGATCAACAATTATCACCTACGATGGGACGTAATAGTCTCCCTGGAGGAACACCTCAGCAACAGCAACAACAACCACAACAACAACAACAACAGCGTATGTCTTGGAATCCAGTCAATGATTTAGGCTCGCCCATGAACGATGTACAATCGCCTGCTGCTGTGAACATGGTCAATCAACAACAAAGCATGAATAATAGTGTGCTTTCATTTGATCTGGAAAGATTTATGATGGGTGATAGTGGTGATTTTGGCGAAATGTTTGCTTCAGGAGATGAAAACACAGACCAGAATTTACTGATGAGTGGTGATGGAGGTGATTTGGATCCTTTTGGGGGAGGGTTCCTTGCTAGTATGGGTGGCAGCCTTGACTTAGACAATAACATTCCTGTCACGTCTTCAGCAGCTCCTCCACCAGGCCATCATGGAAATGCCTTATCTCATCCTCAACAACAACAATCACAGCAACCACAACAACAGATCAGCTTACAACCTTATGCTGATCTGTCAGGCCATACAAACAAAGTATCCACTGTCTCTTTCTCAGTGGATGGACAGTGGTTAGCCAGTGCTGGTCATGATCGAAAAGTCATGATCTGGAATGTACAGGAAAAAAAGACAGTCTATACATTAGATGGTCATACAGCCAATATTACCTGTGCACGATGGAGCCTAGATAACCGACATTTGGTAGCCACATCTTCATACGACAAAACATTGCGTATTTGGGATGTAGGATCTGCCATTGCTTGCAAAGAGAACGAAGGTGTTGTCGTTAAGGAAGAAGGCGAGTCAAAGAGCGATGCTAATGCAAAAGCTAGCATGATACCTAAGCAGTTGGTCAAGTTGGATTGTCGCGCCCAAGTTACTGCTGTTGATTTTGCACCTGATCGACCTGATACCATTTGCTCTCTTGATGCTGAAGGCGAACTCAAAGTTTGGAACCTAAACACATCGAATTGCGAAAAATCATTCAAGATGGTAAGCATTCAATACAACATATTATATTGACACTCTTTTCTATTATTATTATTATTATTAGACACAATCCAAATCAGGATTTTCACCTAATCCTATGCGATTTCACCCAAGAACAGCGAATATTTTAGCTTGTGCAGTTGGTAATCAAATCTACATCATTGATATTCTGTCCGCCAAAAGTAATACAACCAATAATAATGATAATATGGGCATTCGAACAATCACAACAGACCATGGCAAGAACATTTGTTCATTCGATTGGTCTCCCGATGGTAGTTTCCTTGTCGCATCCTCTGAAGACAAGATTTGTGTCTATGAAACTTCACATTGGAAATGCGTTACAAACCAAATGCCTCAATCCAAAATCTCTGGTTGCGCATTTATCAATGGTGGCAATGACAAGCTCCGATTACTTTATGGTGGATATCAAGATATCTTTTTATGGCAATGTGGCATTCCAGGCGCTCAACCTAAAAAGGCAGGTTCACAGTCAGGCATGGTTGTGAGCATTGCCTGTTGTCCTGTAGCAGGGCAAACTGTGGTGGCATCTGCAAGTCATCATCCAAAAGAAAAGAATTTAGTGTTATGGACTATTTAAAAAAAAAAGATGTTTACATTACCTTACATATATACTCTTACTTCAATATCTTCCATTATATACTTTTTCTTTATTCACTCTCGCTCTTTTCTTTCTTTTTTTGTTTCATGTCAAAAAATTCTATTCTTTATACATATAATAACAACAACAAAAAAATATGCTTTCATTCTCTCTCTCTTTTTTTCTCTCCTTTTGTACATTGTATTATTGAGACTCTTTTTCATAAAAATAAAACTGGCACAAAACGACTTTAAACAACGAGAAAAAGTGCTGCTGTTCCCACATGGTTTCTATTTTTATTGTTCAAACTCACTAATGATGGATACGTTTGCTTGTTTGAGGTGAATCTGTTTTCTGCGCTTTTTTTTTTCGGATAAATATGCTTTCAAAAAAGTCTGGTATGCCAAGCACAGGAAGAACTTTTCTTTTTTTATTGTATACAATGACAGTAAAGAAGGAGAGAAAAAGGGAGAAGAGCTTCATAAAAATAGTCTTGTATACATATATATATATATTTAACTGACATACAATGACTTATCTGTATGTTCTTGTTGTTCTTGTTGTTCTTGTTGTTGTTGTTGTAAGTAATGCATTCGATAAAGATGACGAACATAGTCATGATGATAAAGAGACGATTTTTTACGTACAAGACTTTGACGAGTATGATCAAAAGACCAACAACGAGTACAATACTCGGTATCATTTAGAAATCGATTGCATAGTTCACATCTTGTATGACAATCTGAGCAATACCAATCATTTGAAAGAGGTTTATCACAAGATCCACACATTACTTTTTCACCTATGCTAGTATTGGCAATGATAGGGGAAGAGGGAGGGGAAGGGAAAAAATTCATTTTCTGTGTTGTATAAATGAGTGGAAAGACTAAAGGAATGAATAACAAAAAGAGGAAGAAGATGCAAGAATAAAAATCACTCAAAAAGAATAGTATTTATATAACACTACATGTAATATATGTACGAATTCTACTTTGCATTTACACGGTCAAATTTATGCACAGACACCTTTTTGTTATTGTCTCACGTTTCAATCATGATGACACTTTAAAAATGGTATTATTATATAAGGAGATCAGACTGGAAGAACATAGAGGCATGCATCCCTTGTTTTGATGCACCATTCTCAAGTAAAATGTATTTTATGTACAATCTTCGCATTCCATGTCGGTTACAATCAAATAAGAATAGCTATCGTTTTTTGTATGCGCGGTGACAACCAACCGGGATTTGGCCTTGTCATCTCCTTATGATTGACTCGTGCGACCATGCCAAGTTGTAGGAGCTGCCTTGTTGAATGGTAAGAGAAATAAACTTTGATGACACATAGTCTAATTGCATAAATAAAAAGGAGACAAGAGGAGGACAATTAAATATTTAATACATGCTGCTTAATACAACAATGTTTAATAGAATCACTTTTTTTCAATTAAACAACTCTATTTCAAAAATAGCATTCCTTTATGATAAATGTGCATATTACTGCTTCATTCTTTCGTTATGACTGTCAAGAATACTATCTTTTTTTTATTATTATTAAAAACCATGATCACTTAACTGCACTTATTCCCCTCGTTTGGGAGAAGAATGCATTGTCAACAAGTTTTGGCAGTTTGAAGGTTTGTTTAATCAACACGTCCTATGATTGCCATGTGTACGACATAAATCTGTGCAAGTAATAGATAAATTGTAACATAATATATTTAAACAATATTGTTGTATGTACTAAGTAGGTGTTATTTTGTTATAAAACGATTTACAGTGAGAATGGACAACAGTCCTAAGTATATCTATATATCAAACAAGGAGTAGAAAAATAAAAAGAGAGGAGAAAAGAAGGAGGTATTTACACAGATGATTTAAAAGACTGGCTTACAAGGTTGAGGTTGAATGATATTACGAGGATCACCTACACTGAGGGATCGAGGGCGTCTGACCGTAGTATCGCATACATGAAGCTGAGAGACAGCTTGGTGAAGTGGAATAAAGCAAGAGTCTTGAATAAGAGGATTACCGGCACGAACGATAAAATGTTCATGATGTTGATTATTTTCTTGTAAGATTTGTTGGAGTTCCAAACAGGCATTCTCTACATCTTCCAAGTCAATGAATTCTTTTGTGGGAAACCAGCTATCGTTTTGAGGATAACTTCTACCAGTAGAAGTGGGTTTTTTTGGACAAGGTGCAACTAAATCTGTTTGCATGCTATCTATTTACAGAAAAAAAAAAAAAAAAAAAAGAACAAAAAAAAAAAGGACAAAAGAAACGTTTCGCCTTTATTTATTCCAGTGGGTAATACAAAAAATAAGATCACACTAAAAAAGGACAACCTGCTTGCCACTGGCGAAACCTGAAATTCCTTGGTCAACAGACCGTTTCATGCTTTCTTCGCTCCATTCAACTTGAGCCCATTTGGGTTCCTTGAGTTGACCTTTGCTCATCAATTGAATGATGTCTTCAAACATGGCATAACGTTCTTCTTTACTATGAACATCAGACCATTTGGAAACCCAAAAGCCATGGAAAGAAATGTTCTTGAAAATAAGTAAAGAAGCAGGTAATGAAAGTGGACTTTTTGACATGGCACCATAAGTTACATGATGACCATTAACACTATATACAATATCAGTAACATATCAACACTTTTGTTCTTTACCCAAGATATCTAGCCATGTCAGTTGCATTCTTGCCACCAACACAATTTAAACCCAACAAAGGAGGGTTGTTGCCTACCCAACCCTTGATTTGCTTCCTCATATCATGGCTTCCAAGAACATCGTCTGTGATGACATGTGTGGCACCCAAGTCCGTCAATTCTTCAACAAGTTGATTGATGTTTGGTCTAATACACAGTCAGATGACTTTACCTCCTATTTATTTGTACCACCCCACTTTACCTATTACGCACAACATTAATTGTGTTCAAGCCCCATGCTTTAGCAATCTGTATGACAGCTTGACCCACTGCACTATTGCCACCATTCTGAATAACATAGTCGCCTATTAGACTGTGAGCAACAAACATACACAAACACATGAGCTTACCTTGTTTTAAATCAACAAAATCCTTGAGCATTCTGTAGGCAGTGCAGGGATTGACTGAAATGGTTGCCTTTTGAATCATGGAAACATTATCTGCTTCAGGAAGCAATTGGAAATCCGAAGCTGGACCAGCGGCATGTGTACGCCAAGTGCCATAACCACTTTTAGCCATGACAACTTGATCTCCGACCTTGAGCGAACGCACATTGTCACCCACAGCTACGACTTCTGCCAAACCTTCATTACCACCGACGGCTAACGATTCTTCCGTACCAAGCTGCTGAAAGGTAGGCTTGATAGGGTAGACCCCTTGAATCATATTGACGTCAGCTGGATTGATGGGCGATGCAAGAAATTTGACATGGACTGTATCAGCCGTCAATGCAGGCAGACGATAGGAGTGCCATCTACAAAATATATCAACGCCATGCTCTACATGTTTGGTTTCGTTACTTTAAGACTTGAGAAGGTTGACCATAGTCCTTAAAGACCATCGCGCTGGCAGTAATGTCGGATTGGGCTGAGTAAGCGCGACGTACAACCCATCGAGTAGGTTGTTGTGTCTTTGAAATCAAATGCAATAAGAATCCCATGCTTTATGATAAATAAATAAAGAAAAAGAACAAATGCAAAACAATGAAGTAATTCTGATAAAGTAGTCACAGTGTTAGGGACCAAGATTTCATACAGTGAGACAGTGCATGAGGTAGTACGCGCTTATTTCCTAGGCCGTACATACAAAAAAAATATATATATATATATATAAATACAAAAAGACATTGTGTGGAACAATACATCCACGTGTAGGGATTAAAAAACGTGTCTATTCTAATTTACAACATTGTCTTTACAAAAGCAGTTGCAATCTTGACACCATTTGGCACTTTTCTGTCTATTTTATCAAAAGTCTGATTGGACACTACTTCTGAATGTTGGTGTAGTAAATCCACTTCCTAAGTAAAGTAAGTCATTGTCTGTCTATATATATATATATATGTATGTGTGTATAAACTGGTCTCAAACCTTGTACAATGCTTTTCTTAATTCAAGGTTCTCGGTGACAACAAGGGCCTGTGCTTCTAGATCACGTTCACTGGATCTTTGACCAAAATTAGGAGAACCAATCATGGTAGCAGATGGCCACTTTTGATCCGTAGAGACCCATAAGCCCTTAGCATGATAGGTCCAACCTTCTCTTTTGTATTCTTCAATTGAAATATCGTCTTGTCGACCTGCTTTCTTCACTTGGCGGTAAAATTGGCGTTCAATAAAGGTATAGGCAGGTGGTAAAAATCTCGAAACACCTTTGGAATTAAAGAATCCATTGGCTTCAGGTGAAGCTGTCAAGAATCGAAACCGAGCCTTGGTCTGTAAAATCACTTGCTTGTATTTTTCTGTAAAGTTGAAATAACCTGAAGTCAAATGAATGGTCCATTTAACTGGATAATGGTTGGCTAAATTAAGTAAAGCCAATGTAAGGCGTTCATCTTGTCGAACATAAAAAGGTCCCATCTGAATGACAGGCAGAACAACTGTATCGGAGCAAGGTGGTTGTTGATGAGAAGAGGTTTGATAAGCATCTTCCATAAATTTGACAAGTTGTTCATTCACTTGTTGCTTATATTTTTGGCTCTCGTTGACTGGATCTGCCATACCTTGGGTTCGTACTAATGCATACGGTTGATCTTTTGAATTGGTACTGAGCTGATAAGAGCAATTCGATATTAACTTGACAAGATCGTGATAGTAAGCACTTAGGTGAGGTTGATTATTAAACATCATATAACGGTCTTGACGATTGGTAAAATAGTCTGTACTAAGATTGGCTCTATCCCTCATGCATCAGTTTCGCTCTTTTTCTTATTCTATGTGCTTACCCACTCAACATGACAGAATTGTCAAATCCATATACTTTTAAATGCATTAAACCAATGCTCTCATTAAACCGCGGTGGCAATGTCTTTTTCAGTATACCGTTTAAATCAGGTGTATGGTACATAGCAATGTTGATTTGATCAGGAAAGTCTCGAACAAGAGGCAACAGTAAAGTGGCCGAGCTTTGTCCTTTAGAGACACGCGTACCACGCAAACAGTCAATCAATACACTCACTTTTAATGTGGGTGTCTTTTCGAGTGCAGTGCGTATTGTGTCCACCTAAGATATAGATATATGAGACCCACTATCTCCTCTCTCAGTATATCAACTTACTAATTCTTGTTCACTTTGTCCGATATAAAGAGCTGCAATAAACACTCGTTCTTTAGCAGATAATATATTTGCCTAAGAAAATACGCGTGAGTCATAGAATGTATTCTTATAGGCTTACTTTGAGTTGCGAATAAAAGTCAGTAGGTTGATAAAGAGGTTTTATGTTCTCTCCTTGTGTATAAAATACAGGTGCGTATTGCTGTAAAGGTTCAAAGAGTTTGATAATACCTCGGTCTTTTGTCAACGTAGTTAAAGAACGAAAAGAAGACTGACAAAAGGCTTTTAACATGATCGAAAAATAATAAAAAAAAGGAAGAAAAGTTTGCATTACAAACGCATGATCAAGGGTCGTTTGTGGGCAGTCACCCTATGCAAAAAAAAAAAAAAAAAAAAAAAATTAAACTATCATGCAGCCATTTTGATTGTTTGAAATGACAACTTTTAGGAATTAACAAGTGTTTATATATCCCAAGTTAACTGTTTCAGGCAAAATTACATATTCTCAAAAACTTGCCTTGAATGTAAATCACTGTCATGAATTATTGATTTCCTTTTTTGTCTTTAATTTTATCGTTCCTCCTTGATTATCGCATGGCAAAGTGTCACCACCCCCCATTGTTTCTAAAACAAAAAAAAAGAGAGAAATTCTCTCAGAGTAGAAACAAAGAAACCAAAGGGGGTCAAGTACGTTTCTCTCTTTCTTTCTTTCTCTTATGATCTTCCTTGGTCATTTAAGTAATTTCCTCACCCCCTCCCTCTCACTTCAAGTGCCGTCATTGACTGAGTTAAGGAACCACAAAAGTGGTGAGCACTGGCTAACACGAGTTCAATTTTTCAGGGCAAAAAAACATGGTTTTAATACAAAAAAGAACCAAATACAGGCGGGTGTAACAAATATTTATTATATCACTCACTATTTTTTTTTACACTTCGTCTCCTCTCTCTCTCTTTCTCTCTCATCTTGTTTATTCTTAATCTCATTCCAAGATGATTGACTCACCTATTGCAAACGACTCTATTACCAATAAGCCAGCTTCACAAAATGCTTCTATATATCATACGTGTCGTTCAGTATTAAACGCTCTTCAGTTTGTTCCAGGCTTTGAAGAATTCATGGACAATGCTTCTATAGTGGGCACTGATCCTTTAACCAAGCTATGGCATATTTGTAGACAAGGAACTAGTCTTTGCTATCTATTTAACGCATTGGGACCAGAAAAACCAATTACGGTCAATACTGCCTCCGCTCCAAATAAACCAAAGGTCTTTATTTATCATTTCATTATTGGCTGTCGAGATCAATTGCATTTTCCAGAAGACACCTTATTCACAGTAACAGACTTGATCCAGAATGATACCAATGGGTTTGTGAAGGTGAGTTTGTGCTTTTTTTTTTTTTTAGATGAGATGATTTACGTTGTTGTTTTTGTTGTTGTTGTTAGGTTGTAAATACAGTCAAGCGCATCTTGGACATGTTAGAAGAACAAGGCATCATTGAAGTCATTTCAGTTCAATCAGGCCTTACTTCTGACTCACCCAAAGGCATGAGAGACAATGTTGTGTTTGAATTATTGTCGACTGAAAGAAAATATGTCCAAGATCTTGAAGCCCTTCAGGTGAGAGCACAGGCCATTGTTATCATGGAGACTAAAGCATCATAATAGAATTACATGAGAGAAGTATCAGCACAAGAAATTCTTTCTCAAGACACAATGCATTATCTCTTTGGTAATCTGAATGCATTAGTAGACTTCCAACGTCGTTTCTTGATCCAAATTGAAGAACAAGCTGCCAATTCCTCACAAGAACAGCGCTTTGGCCTACTTTTTATTCAGTTTGAAGAAGCTTTCTCAGTCTATGAGCCCTTTTGTGCCAATTTCCAGATCGCACAAGACCTTGTAGTACAAGAATCTGCCAAACTTCAAAAGTTATCAAACATCATGTCTCCTACTTATGAATTACCGGCCATGTTGATCAAACCCATTCAGCGTGTCTGTAAATACCCTCTCTTGATTCAACAATTGGTCAAGGCAACACCTGAAGATTGGCCCTACGCTGAAGAAAACAAAATTGGTCTTGAAGCCATTCAACGTGTCACCAAGAACGTCAATGAAACCAAGCGTGTTCAGGAAAACTTGGGTGTTGTTCAGGACCTCAAGAAGCGTATTGTGGATGACAATTCAGCGAATCCAGTCATTATTGTCGAGTCAGCAGGATCCTTGTTGTTGCACGACAAGTTTACACTTCAAAGACATGATACAGATCATACCCGAGAAATGACTGTCTTCTTGTTTGAGAAAATGATTCTAGTATGTAAAGAAATCAAGGATGTCAACAAGAATGCCATGTTGATCAAGAAGAAAAGAAAAGAAGGTTCTCTAGTGGTTCGAGGCAAAATTTTGCTTTCTCGCGTAGAGCATGTCAAGGGCTCTTCTAGCCAGAATGGTCATTATACATTGCACATCTCTTGGGTAGAAGGTGAACAACAGACCATCTTATTACGATGCCGTAATGATGAGCAGTTAAGACAATGGCTTGATGTAATCATTAACCTAAAGGAATCAACGACCAAAGTGGATTTGATCTCAGCACCACAGACACCTCGTATGGAGAACAGTAATCCTTTGCTTCATTATGATGATGATGAAGATTACGATACTGAGATCAACAGCGAAGATGAAGATTCACCTACATTTATTCGAAACAGATCTTATAGTTACCAACACCATCGTTTCCCTACAGAAGTCTCAAGTCGAAAAGCATCCCTCACGACATCCAACAGTGCTAGCATCCGCCACTTTATGAATGGTGTGCCTGGTATGAACTTACCCCCTTTGCCGAAATCGCCCACACATTTAGTCCACAGTATTGAATATGGTCACCATGGTCTCCTGCCTAACTCGCCGCCTATCAGTGATCCTTCTTCACCTACTGCTTTAGGTCAAGCTAACAAGAATCATGCCAAAATGTATAACAACATCTCTCCTTCAGGATCATTATGGCAAAGAAGACAGCAACAGACCTTACAAGAGACAGAAGAAGAATCTGAAGATATTCCTCCTTCTCATCCATCTTCTATTCACCATACTCGTCAACGATCTCAGAGCAGTCCCAATATCCAACACCTATTAGATCATCATCAAGGTCTGGTACCCGAATTACCCAATACTGGCAATCCTTATAAACGTATAAGCAATGGCTATTATGATCAAATACTTGAATCTTCTGCACCTCAATTTTCATCTCATGGAACTGATATTACCAAGGTTAAGATTCATTACTTTGGTGCTATTTATGCTGTGGTTGTGCCTACTGAGATTGCGTTTGAAGAGTTGCTATATCGAATTGAAAGCAAGATCAAGGCCAATGGCCATGAATTCGATACTAGTCTGGGTTTAAAATATGAAGATGAAGATGGTGATTTAATTACCATTAGTTCGAATGAAGACGTTCAAATGGGGTTTGAAACCAAAGGAGATAACAATGCTGTGAATCTTTATGTCACATGCTAAGTATTTCTCCGGTCTTGTTTTTTGTAAATAGTTTTTTTTATACATATAGATTTTAATACGTCAATGAGCGAATTTTTTTTTAAGAAATAAAAGAGGTTTTTTTATTCAGCTTAGAATGAATTATGTTGACAATGTTTAGTATGGGGACAATTTATTTAAAAACCCGTCAGATATTTTTGCGCTTACTGCATTTTGCAAATTCATGCTTCTCGACGTAATGTTTATTCGGACTAACAATTAGAGCTGCGAAAAAAAAAAAAAAAAAAAAAAAAAACAAAAAGCATCTTTTTTCTTTTTCTTGATTATTTCATCATGTCCTTACAAGATCAAGAAAAAATTGCCTGCATTCATTCTCAATACAAAGATAATGCTGAACTTATCCAAAGACTACATGAAAAGCTTTTCAAAGATATTTTGCTGCTCCATCTTTCTCAAAAAGATATGTCACACACACAAAGTTATCTCGAAGACAGAGGTATGTCAATGCATCAACAAAAAATAAGAATGCTAAGTTGTGTTAGTCAATTTATTTCGATTCCTTAAAACATCGAATTTTGATCTAGATAAGGCAGCTTCAAGACTGCTGGAGACAGTTCAATGGCGGATTGAATTAGGTATCGATGATCTGTGTTATCAAGATTGTATGGACTTTTATCAGACAGAAGGATTTGCTTTCTTTCATGGCACAGATATGCTGGGAAGACCTTTGATCTTTGTGAGAGCAAGATACTTTCCTAAAAAGTTTGTAGATCATGCGAAATCCATTACCGAGAATATAAGGCCTTATGCTTGTTTGATGATGGAAATTGCTCGTAAATTGACTTGGGATTTGACACGTGACCGAGAAATAATAAAAGAACCCATCGTCACTCAAATGACAGTGATTGCGGATATCACTAAAGCACCCTTTATACCTGTCGCAAGTATTCAACAGACACCATCACTTTTTTATATTGACCATTAAGTTAGGATGTTGAGTTGATACGTACCATGTCGCTTATTTTAGAAGAACGCTTTCCTGACTTTGTTAGTTCGATTAATGTACTGAATTTCAGTTGGGTATATCAAGGCATGTGGTCTGTGATGAAGTATCTCTTAGACGAAGAAGCCAAGCAGTCTATTCGATTTACCAACATCAAAGAACTCATGCCAATGGTACCACCCGATCGCATTTTGGAAGAAATGGGTGGTACTGATAATTATCATTGGACATTAGAAACAGATGAAATGCTACATAAATATGGTTCTGGTCAACAGAAATCACCAAGGACACCCTCTTTATCAGATCAAAGTAGAGCAAGTAGCACAAGTGATTCTATTAGTGTTTTCAGTAACCGTGACCATAATGATCAAGACGATACTGAAAGTGAACTGTTTTTCGATGCAACAGATAATTTATCCTTTGTACAAACGCCTTCATCAGAAAAAAGCCTAATTATACCACCAACACTCTCTATTCAACAAGACCATTTTACTAAACCTCAACAGCATCAAACATTATCTTGGGCTGGATTACGCACAGGTGTTCAGTTCCTAACTTCATTTATGGATTCAAAACCGCCACATGAGATGCTACCTAGTATTCCAAAAGAGAAACTGTCTTCTCCTCCACGTCGTTCTTCTTCAGTCATTATAGTTAATCCAGATATAGCCCCAGCTCCCACTGTACATCAACAGCATATACTGGAGTCTTCTATGATCGAAACACACTTTCAAAGAATAACCGCATTCATGAATCAGTTGACACATCAATTCATTCAATTATCACTTGGACCAAGAAGCGGTATGTTCTATTGGATCTTGGTCTATGTGTTCTCAAGAGGACCTGTAGAGAATATGGTACGACGAGTATTAGAACACTCTTCTTGGATAACAGAACCTCAAAAGATATCAAGAGCCACGATTGGTGTCACAGCTGCTGTGGCTGCCTTAGTGAGTAATTCATTGTCAAGCACTCTAGAACGCATTCGAAATTTAGAATAATAAACATCTTTTTATTGTTCATCGTTGGTAGGTGGTTCAAATGACCTTAAGGGTACATGTCTTCTTTTCCACACTTGTTCATACAAGCGTCTTCTACAGTCAGAGTGATACCGATTTCCTCTTTCGCAATCACAATCACCTAAACCCTTTAAAAATCCACATGTATATTTTTGCGTGCTTATCCAAAGCATAGGCAAATCTTGATCAAGCCCATATTTCTCTTGAATGGCTTGATTGACTTTAGTTTTAAGCGCCACTTTGTGCGACTGATAGCGTTGTGCGCTGCCATTCACAATATCAACATGCGTGAAAACAAGCAAAACATTGTCCCAGAAATGATGTTCTGGTGTGACAAGAGGGGATATGAGATCATAAAACGACTGTATACTCTTGAATACTGTATCTGAGCTATTCACATTGAGCATACATCATACACAACGTATCTTCTTACTTTGTTGTGATCTTGAATACCATAAGAATACAATGAATGCCACCCTTTTCATTCGCTGCATCCAACAAAGCCTGTTGGATTAAAGAAAAGAATTCTTTGTCTCGCATTTGCGAATCACCAAATCCCGGTGTATCAATCACTCGGATAGGGCACCCAAAATCCTTCTTGTTGTGCATATAAGGATGTAAAGGTGCCCAAAATCCTTCGCTGCTTTGAATCTCTTTTGTTTGTGACTATATTACATGTTAATACCAACTCACAACAATATACGAGGTTTACTTTAGCTGAGATCTTTTGTTTAAAAGCTTGATGACCCAGAAGATCATTCAACAAGCTTGACTTGCCGTCTCCTGTTCTACCCAAGGCGATCAGATTAAGAGGTGATTCAGTTCGTTCGCGATGAACTGAAGGAAAAACACCTTCACTACAATATCGCCATTGAATTGATATTGTTGACGAAGAAAGACTCTGGCTTTGACGACGAGCTGCAATCATGATAGGATCTTGATCATGTTCAAGTGAATGAAAAGGATTATCCTCATTGGCCAACATGGTATGTTGATCAAGAAAAAAAAAGAAAAAGAAAATGGCTTCCAATGAGCATGTAGTTACACAAAACTCTTGTATGCAAATATTGTCACGCGCAGTTTTTGCCTGGAATTCTTTTACAATAGCATAAGCTTGTATCGCTGACAAAAAGACAGTTTTATCGTTTTGTGACACTTTGCTTTACTACACCTGAAGGATTTTTTTTGCGTACGATTGTTATTTACAGCACTTGTCATTTGACTTGAGTTATTTATCTCGACATGTTTTTCCTGTATGTTTCTACAATATACTTAAAATAGCTGTAATATTTAATGCTTCAAGATGCCCTCTACATAAATTCTGAGTTTAAATTAGTATTCTCATCTCAAACTAGTAGCACAATGCACGTCTGTAGCCAGGACTTTGGAAAAACAGTTTTAGCAATGGCATCATTATGCACTCTGGTAACCAGGTTTTGATAGTCAGGATGTTCAACAATGAGACGCAGAATGGTATAGGGTAATCTATCCCTACCAGGACTGCTCTGTTTGGGACAACGTTTTACCCCTTCAACAATGTCATCAAAAGGGATAGTAGAACATATATCGTTTGAGGCTAAGTTGCTTGTCTTTGTAGAAATGTTTGATATGAAAAAGTTCAGGGATCGACGCTGTATTGGATCTGCCGAGTACAAGTCCTAGTAGAATGCTTGAACTGCTTCTAATTTGTCGTGCGTAGATGTACACTCTACATTTGTAACCGAATGAACAATCGTGTTGAACTGACGCTCAGTTGATCGATCTCTGGCTATGCGCTTGAAGTATCCAATATTGCACTCACTGTTCTCCGTCCATATTTTACTTGCCCTTAAGGAGGCTATGATATACATTTCATTCTGAAGATATGCAACCTCATTTTCTACTTCTGGCAAGATGGTGTTGAGAAAAGATTTTTGCTGTTTGTAAAGTCGACATAATAAGTTGCGTCGGCTTTGAAGTTCCTTCAAGCGTTGTTTTTGCCAAGATGCCCTATTACTATAGTAGTTCTGCGTAATCTTTCGCACGCAACCTTTCAAACGGTCCCATTGCATTTGAGGTGAGTCTGTGGTATCTGCCAAAACCTTTGTCATGAAGTGTTTGATACTTGTCTGAAGCTTGTGACGGTAGGATTTCTTGATTGCTAGGCGAGGATCAGCTCGCCATAGTCCTTTGCCAGTACTGGTACACCCAAAACGAAGCGAAGTGGTCAAGAGTGCGTGGTCAGTCAATTTAGGAGAGAGAAACCCCAGCTCACTGCCATGAATATATCGACGTGTATTCCCACCTGCAAATATATAACCAATGCATGACATTGGCTTTCCCCGTCTGAAAGTAGCAAGGTAGTTGTAAAAGTCGTCGTCATCTTTCGACTTGAGACAATTACTGAAATTTGCAGTCATGAAGGACATAAACTTCTTTGGTCGAGAGGAGCGGGACCCAGATAGGTGTGTTGGCTCAAAGGAGAAACTGAAGCCCCCTACCACCATCATATTAGACATGATGTCAAGAGGAGAGTCAAGTGAGTCAATGAAATCCATAAGACTTTGAAAGAAACGAATAAGGGTATAATCTATATTCGAAGCCAGTGCGTAAATGTTTAAGATGTAAAATGGCTAGATGTCAGCTTCTCCAATGATTGTAAACTTCGCAAAGAGTATACGGCTATCGTCTAAAGTTTTTACATGATCCATTTGAAGGTGTTTTTTGTTATTCACGAGACCACATTTGGTAGTCCATATTGATTGATGAGCTTGTAATTTATAGTTGAGTGGAACTGTCGAATTTTGAAAATCAGGGATTGAGAGGTTTGTTTCTTGGAAGGCATATATGCCAAGTTTTTGTAGCTTTAAATAACGGGTGAGGTTGTCTGTCAACTGTTCATTGTACCGTTTGTGAAGGGTACGCCAATTGAGTGAACCCAGCCTGATATTTAAGCTTTTAGTATTATTATTATGATTATTCATACTAATAATTATGTTAGAGAGTACGATTCAAAGGGATAAGAGGCTTTAGACAACACTTTCCCTCCTTTTGGCCGATGTAAACCGGAACCTTTAAGCATAGCATTCGTTTTGTCACCTGTTAAGTCAATTTCCTTTTTAGCACGCTTGGACCGAATAGTGGCTTTTCGCAACTCGTTCTTGTATTTAATAATGTCTGGTAAGTCTCCCTCGTCGATGTTGGTTTGGTCGATACTGAAGCCTTCTTTTTCACGCTCTTTCATCAATTCGTCCGAGGTGACATCTTCGGTTTCGACTCTATCTTCCTTTTCTTGCATTTCCCCATCCTTAAGCTGATCCTGTTTTTCCTGCTCCAAAACCTCCTCATCTGCCTCAGAAGAAACTGGGATCACGGTTGGTTTGGCTTCAGTCAAAGACTTTGTGTTTACTTCGATATCACCCATAAAATCTTAGAGGGAAACAGTCATTAGTTTGGCCTAGTGGCTAACTACTGGCTAGTTTTTGCAACCTTTCTCTTGCGGCTTCAAGGCGCAAGGGTGTATTCGGCTCTCAAACGCTCCGTGCTTCCGCATTGATAGCAACTCTTCTTACGACTGTTCAGGACTGGGCAATTGGCTCGATGTGATCATCCACATGACAATAGTTACAAATAGGCTTCATATTGGAATATACCAAATGAAGCGTAAAGTCGTCATCCCAACCGGGAATCTGGGGTGACAATGCCTTATAACTGGCATTTTTCTTCTAATTCAAAGTAGCAAATCCTTTTCCTGTAAACTAATAACCATCTGTGGTATGGCGGAGACCGATTTCCAATTTAGGCTTTAAAAAAACCTCATCCTCGAAAGGGATGTTGGAAATGCTCACTCTGACAATAGTAGGGTCTTTCTCGAAAGTGCGGTTCACTTGAGTACGTCGGTCATGTAGGACGAACTCTTTGTTCAGGGCCTCTTCACGTTCTTTGGTGGTTCGAAAGTTAATTTCGAAAAAGTGCTGCTTTTGACCAACGTTTCTGGTACGAAGACCGAGTTTATTAGGATACTGATCTTGAAGGTGCTTGTTCAGACTTTTCTCCCTGAAGTTCATTCCGTTAAATTCACTAGTAGCGATGACGATGGAGTTTTTGGCTGTAGCCTCGAGAAATCATTTACGAAACTGAAGCGATTGGCGACCAGCTGTTTGATCATCGAGATCGAAGGCATGTCGACTTTGAGATCGTACAGTTTGTGCGCAGGATTGAAATGTAAACAGTTGGTTGTTGTTTATGGCGTGAACTGTTGGTATTTCCACCAATCAAATCCCCGCTTTCAGAAAAAGTGTTGATTAGTGGAAAACCCATGATTGAAGATTTGTAAAAGGGATCATAAGGGCAAAATAACTATTTTTTGACTTTTTCACAGCTCGCTATATTTTTGCATAGATGGGTTCTTTTATGTATGTTCAAACATAGAAAACTCGAAAAATAGGAATCAGAAGGCAGAAATGATGGTTTATTTAGAAAACCACTTGCGCCTATAGCGGACTACCAAGCCGCCACTAGTGTTATTATGCTTATCAATCTTATTCAAAAATGAGTTGTAAGGAAGATCGTATAATAAGTTTGATATTTGAAAAAGGCATATGTTGAGGACCGAAAGCATTTTAGGCGTAAAATGGAATTAAAAGCCATTTAATAATCGCAAGATATGTATGTCTTTAATTATATGGACATGAAGTTCTCTACTTACTGGCAATTGATGAATGCCATTTTACAGAGCTATTCAATAAAGTATAAAAGAGCCTGCTATTATTTTTTAAGAAAATAAAACTTGATAGAAAATAGCATTGGTCTGTTGTCCTTGTTGAAAACTCAATATGTTGATGTTTACTCTCAACTAAAATCATACTGCCAAGTAATTTATTCTGTTTTTCCGCCGGATAAAAAGCCGAAAGACTATTTTTATATAAATTATCGGAGCATCGTCATGTTTATTTGTTTCTTTTCTTTTAACAATGGCAGAATCCGCATTTGCACAACACATTATCCAATCCATTCGTAATGAATTGAGCTTGCTAAAGACTCACAATTACATTCAACCACAAGCCTATAATGACATTCTAAGATTATTACCTACGGATGCTAACCGTAACACATCCTATCCCCCTTTTGAAAACAGTATGCCTACACCTGGTTCAAAAGTAGCCACTCCACTACCTCCACCTTCATACAATGAGTCCAAACTAGGCACTGTTGAGGCATTGTATGATTATCATGGCCAAGACCCTGTTACTGACTTGAGTTTCCGCTCAGGCGACATGATTGCCTTGACTGAACTTGTCAATAATGATTGGTGGAAAGGCACGTTGAATGGGAAGACAGGTATTTTTCCTAGCAATTACGTAAAGAGATTAGAGTAAGTCCTTATAGTATACGATTTGATCTTAATATCTTTGTTAGACCATCGCGTGAAAAGGTAAACACACCACCCCCACCACCTGCACGTCAACCCCAACGTGACAGTTATGGCTATTCTCCTTTGCCACCCAAACAAGATAGTTACAGCTATCCCCCTCCTCCTCCTACACAGCAAAACTCATATGGTGCTCCTCCTCCACAGCAAAACTCATATGGTGCTCCTCCTCCACAGAACAATTACCCTGCACCACCACCACCACAAGCGAATAGTTACGCACCTCCTGCTCAAAACTATCAAAGCCCTCCTCCTCAGCAAGTGTCTTATGCTCCTCCTCCTGTTCAACAAGTAACAAGTACCTCTTCTGCACCTGCTGCAGTAGAACAACACGAAAGTAAAATGTCCAGTATGGGTAAACAGTTGGCTGGCAATGTGGTAAATGCAGCCACTTGGGGTTTCGGTGGCACACGTAAGTCCAAATAACTTGTTATGAAAATACATACTTACATTTTTCATAGTCGGTAGTGACTTGGCTCATTCTATTTTTTAATCGACATTATCTCCTTGGATGCAATTGAAATGAAGAAAAAAGGAGAAAAATAATCTACCGAAGATAATAATAAAACTCCCAAAATACTTCTTTTCTACATATGTTTGTTTGAGTCCGAGGAGCTTTTGATAGTGTTGATCTAAATAAAAAAAAAAGACCAAGCGCCTTCTTCTCTTTTGTTACTCATGACGAGAAATATACATATTGAAGAACCACCACTGACATTGGTTCGTTCTCAATCATTTGATGTGACAAGAGAAAAATATGACCATTTTGATACACGTCCCTCCGTCAATCGAGCTAGTGTATCGCATTATGGGAGACCTACAATGCATGTTCGAAAATCATTTGCTCGATCTGTTTCTTCTATTTCATTATATTCGCATTTTGCAGGTGAAAGATTTGATCATCATCATCATCATAGATCTAAAAGCAGCAGACCAGCTTCATTGAAAGAAGAAAAAGATGCAAGTTGTCATTCATCTACAAGCGAAGACGAAGAAGATGCTCCTAAAGCATCCGTGAGGAAAGCCATGTTTATGTTTCTCAAAGCCTTCATTGGATCTGGTGTTTTGTTTTTGCCTAAAGCGTAAGTCATGAATCCATTGTCATAGTATTAAGATGACTTAGGTTTGATCATGGTGGACTTGCGCTTTCTATTGTGTTGATGGCTCTGATTGCCCTGATTTGTCTTTATGCCTTTTTACAGTTATTTAAGACCCAGTTAATCATTGGCGGATCTTATGGGGATGTGGGTCAAGCTTTGTTTGGAAAATCAGTGCGATACATTGTGTTGTTCTTTATCGTTATTTCTCAGTTAGGCTTTGTATGTTCTTATTTTGTATTTATTTCAGGAAACTTGGTGAATGTTGCTGATGTCTTGTCTCAATGTGCATTTCAGATTGAAGCAAAGTATTATATCTGGTTTCCCTTGATTGCCATTGCACCTTTGGTCTTGATTCGACATATTACCAAACTGTCCTTTTTAGCAATTATTGCTGATATCTTTATTTTATTTGGATTAGTGTGCTGTCTTTATTTTACTTCTATGGAATTGAAGCAGTTTGGCATAGGGCCGGAAGTTAAAGCAGTGAATCCTACTAGTTTTGCATTGATGATTGGAACTGCCACTTTCTCATTTGAAGGCATAGGATTAGGTATACATAACAGAGCCATTGCCTTATGCTTACTTTGATTAGTCATTCCTATTGTCGAATCCATGAAACAACCTGAACGGTTTCCATTTGTTGCCACAGTTGGTATGGTCATTGTCTGTACGATCTATATCATCATTGGCAGTATTTCTTATATGGCCTATGGTAGTCATATTCAGGCTGCTGTGGTCTATAATTTCCCTCAAAACAATCCACTTACAGTGGCAGTCCAATTATTGTATTCCATTGCTATTGTACTAACGTAAGTATCCTCACAATAACCTATGCACTCATGTTGTTTCAAGGGCACCACTGATGTTATTTCCAGCAACCAAAATATTGGAAAGTGCCTTATTTCAACACTATGCATCAGGAAGCGAGAATATGAAAATCAAATGGCTCAAGAATATCTTTCGCTTATGTCTCATTAGTTTTTGCGCTCTGATTGCCTTTGTGATTGGAGGTGATAACTTGGATATTTTTGTATCTTTAGTTGGATCTGTTGCTTGTGTACCTTTGTGTTTTATTTTCCCAGGTAAGTTATTCTTGCATGCTAAAAATGAATCAACATCATCTTAGGCATGTTCCACTATAAAGTAGCAACCAAAAAATGGGACAAAATAGGCGATGCTGCCTTATGTGTCTTTGGAATGGCTGTCTTGATCTTTACACTCTATGTCACTATTTCATCCTTTATCACACCAGAAGCAAGTAGCTTTGTATTACCCCCTTATTGTGCCATATAGTTGTTTATTTATGAAAAATCTTTAAAAAAATCTCGAGATCCATTCACATCATGTTTATAAACATAGTGTTCACCAAACACACATCCTTCTGCTTCCAATTTAGCCTTTTTATTAGCTGTCTCTTGGGAATCACCGAAACCACCGCTAAACCCACCTAAACCATAATTCGAGGCAATAATACGATGACAAGGGATAGGCAGAGGAGAAAAGGGGTTTAACTTGAGTGCTTGTCCTACAGCTCTGGGTGAAGATTTTAAAGTATCACTAATTATTTTGTAAGAAGTGACTTGGCCTGAAGGTATTTGCAAGACTAGGTCATAGACTTTGTATTGGAAAGGGGTTACAGGTCTACCTGTTTTGTAATTCATGAATGTTATACGATCTTGTTGTGTTTTAGGATATACATGGACAGCTAGCATAAAAGATGAGTAACTGAGTCTACATGATACTGCTTATTTTACTCGAGATGTCTTTATCTTGCGCAGTAAATGTCTGAGCAATCAGATGTGGTTTCTTTACTTTCTTGATAACTTTTGATGTAGCTACCTTGGAAGTCTTTGATTGAGAAATACGAGAACGTAACTGAGCCATAGGATGAAGAGAAAAGAATAAAGAGAATCCGCAGTCTGATGCGTCAATTTAAAAAACAAAACAAAACAAAAACGCGTCTCAAATGATATACGCGTTTTACTGTCGTGTAACGGAATAATTTATTTTTTTTTAATGGGTATGAATAGCTTGTTGTTCTTCATCAAACAAAAGTTCCCATTGATCAGGGGGAACCAAGGAACCAAATAATTTTGTCATGTTATCACCCAACTATCAAAAAAAAAAAGATGAGTTCATCCATACCACTCTTGTTTTCTTCTTTTTTTTTCCTTCTTACTTTATCTAATTCTCGAATAATATCTTCCATCAATGTCACATACGCATAATAAAACATATAAACATCATTTTTCTCTACCAATTGTTTGGACCTCTCCATAGGCATATGAAATAATTGCTCCAACAAACTCTTCCATGCCTTCCTTGCAGGCGGGAAATAAGGCGGCATCGGTGTCTTTAAACGCAAAGCAGAAGCCAACAAATAAAAATACAACAACACATTTCCTACCAGTTCCTTACGCTCGCTTGCTACAGGAATCATAAAGTCATGCTGCACTTGGTTTTGCCATGTGTCTTTTAACATGACCGTACGCATAGATAAGAATCGATCTACAATGTTTTGGCACGATGTCAACATGGTGCGATAGGTATCGACAGGAAAAGGTCCCTTCAGACGAGGCTCATTGGGTGTCTGAGACAACAAGGCCTGCAAGTCTAACAAAGCACGCTGTAATCCCAACTCAAGGTCCATAAAGGACTGTGTGGCTAACTGACGTTGTGATTCAAATGTCAACAGTTGTGTTTCTGAAGCATCAGGTGCAACCTGCACTAGGTTCACAATACGATGCTGAGGCTCGCGTTGGCCGTTAGGCTGTGTACGGTTCTTGACAGGATAATCGATATAGATGGAAACGAGTTTTTGGTATAGCCATGCGAGTCGCAACAAGAAATCAGAAAGTCCCTTTCGGAGTTCAACACGGGCTTCGTAGGGCCAAACATACGCTGTGGCAATCAAACCAAACACCACACCGACCAAGATGGCAAAACAACGTTGGTTGGCTAGTACCCAGACTTCAATCTCATTCGTATCACGGTCATTGTATTTGTTGAGCATGACCAGATTATAGGCCAACAGTGTGAACTGTCCAAATTTACCGTGTTTGTTGTACAGAATCAAGTAGAAATTAGGGATCGAAAACAACCAAGTCAGCAGAGCAAGGACGACCATGTTCCCAGGAAACAGCATATAGAATATCATGGCCACATAACAACCCAAAGCAGTCGAGAAAATACGATAGACTGCGACTAGATTCGTGCCACCTACCGTTGGCGTCATGACCACCATCAATGTAATCAAAGCCCATTCCATGCGATACGTACGGAACCAATCTTGACTATAATTCACAAAGGCAGGTGTAGCTAACAAGATGGCAGCAACCATGGCTTTGGTGGCATATCGGATCTTTTGTAGCTTGAATAAGGAGAAAGTGCGCCAGACACGAATAAAAAAGCGTCGCCATTTGGTTTTGGGTGTGGGTGTATGTAACGTATTGATCGTATTGCGTTCATTCGGCACAAATGGCACAACATGGACATCATGAAGATGATAAGCTCGTTTCTTGGTACGATAAGCAGAAGGAAATGACATGAGCCAAGCGAAAATACCCATCTGTGGCTTTCTGTTCAGTTTCTCGACCGATTCGACCAAAGTGATCAATTCACGAGCAAATTCAGTCATGTTAAACACAAAGAAATACACAAGAATGACTTCTTCACCCAGCACAGAACCAATGGCTTCTGTTTCAGCATGCGCGATTGGGTTGGCTTTGGCTGTGAGTTTTTGAACAGCTTGTTTCTGAGCTGTTTCAAACAAGGCAATGGCTTTCTGCAAATTGGCCTTGAGCAAAGAAAGCGAAGGACTACGTGTGCGTGATGAACTTTGCATACGACGAGGAAGCCAAGAGGAGTTGTTTTTAGAGAAATGATGCTGAAGGTGATAAATGGTCTGTTTACAGGTATAAGCGAATGATTTAAGTGGAGGTCGGATGGTTTGAATAAAATTCACTAAAGGCATCTGTTGTTCCTCTACCACAGGCTGAGAAGTCGAAGGTACATGATTTAAAAAGTCTTCCAGTTGATCATCCGAACGACTCATAAATGTCTTTTGTCGACGCATTTCATCCTGTAGTTTTCGACGACGATACCCTGCTCTTACATTCCAACTTGTGTCTTCATCAAATGTAGACGCAGGCACAAACGACTGTGACAGTTTGCTGGGTGGGTGAGTGTTTGAGCCAAACACGTTGGTTGCTATCGATCGAGTCTGTTTCTTTTTCTTTTTGTTGCGAGACATTTCCTTGTACTGTTTCGTGGCTTCACTGCCCATGATTTCAAACTGGATGCCACAACTACTTCTTAGTCCACCTACATGTTGAGCCAGACGTTGCATACTCTTGATCACAGCATCGTATTCTGCCCCTCGATCTCTGACTTCGGGATTCCACCATGTTTCCAACTTGGCTTCTTTTAACGATTTCTGAAGCGCTGTAAAACTCGCTTGATGCGACTGAATGGCTGTCTGCAACGTACGATTCGCTTTGAATTCAGGCAGATCGTCGTCCAACAAAAACGTCTTGACCAGTAACTTAAGCAACACACGGTACGAAGTCAGTGTGGCATCGACGTCTTTTTTGAGTTTCTTGGCAGCAGAGACAGGCCAGAACACAACGCAACAGGCCACCGTGATCAATGTACCTGTGGCCACGGCCGTAGTGATTTGCTCAATACGTGTGGTATCAAAATCACCTCGGTTTACAGATCCTTCACGAACGACAATGATGAAGATAATGATGAAACAGAGACTGGAAGCGGTGGCCACGGGTGGTTTGTTCCAATGGGCTTTGAGGAAAGCCACAATAAAGGTTGAACCAGCTAACCAGAACAAGAGAGAGATCAGATGGGCCACCAGAAATTGACCACGATCGACAAAGAAATCCGTCGTGAGCATGGAAGCAAAGGACACCAGTTCAGCAAACAAGACATAGCCCCAGCCATAAGCCGCAGCTTCGACCATACCACCCAATGTCTTTGCAGGATTAAAAAACACAGTCGCTGTAGCCACCAAATGACTGGAAGTATGGTTATTGCCAATCAAGGCATTCAGAGCAGGCACAAACGTAAACAATGAGCCCAGACAATAAGCAAAACTACATTTTAAGACAGTTCTTTGTTGGGGTGTCAGAGTGCATATATCATTCAGACGTTTGATCCAAGCTTGGCAACGACTATACCATCCTTGTTCCATATCATCTTGGACTGTTGTCTGGTGTTTACGTTTTGTGTGTTGAACAGGAAAAAAGGGTTCATCTGAGTCACTTCCGTCTGCATCTGAGCTATCGGATTCAACAGTGTATGATGCATGTTTGTGTGACTTTAAAAGAGGTGTTTTGTCATTACTGCTATTATCATCATCATCATCTTCGGAACTTGGAATGAAATGAGTTTTAGGGTGGATATGAAACACTTTATTTTTCCTTACCCTTCTTCTTCAGTATATTCAGGTAGTGTAGAAAGAGAGACTGTTCTTTTCTGAGTTGTACCATCATCCAAAATCACTTCGATTTCGCTTAGATTGGAAGGTGACCGACCTAGTTCAAGTTCTTGTTGGTGAAGTACATTATCGAGTGACTGTGTTCTTTCAATAAAGAAGGATTGTGGTGAACTTGAGAGTGCTGGTAAGCCTGGATCTGATAAAGGAGAGCCAATGATAGGTACAGCATTATGAGGACGCCTTTTTGATGGATCTAAATCCATTGAAAGAAAAAGTAAAGAAAAGAAAAAAAAAATAGGAAAAAAAAAAAAGAACAAGCTTTCATTTTTATTTTGAAGCGGAGAAGAAGATAAGCCTATAGTCTTGCCATTTTATTTCTAAGCTTGCATGGTCAACATCGATTGCAGTCATTTCAAAAAGCATTTTATCTCACTTTGTAGTTTATTGTTTAGACAGAAAAAAAATGACTCATTGACCAGTTTATTATGTTAGTCTATCCACTTTTAAACCTGTGTGGTAGTTCATATAGTATACCCAACCATTCGGTTCTTCAATCTACTCCCTTTTTTTTTTCTTCTTTCTCTTTAATGACCACGTATGATTCGATTTGCAAACAACTTGATGCACTTACGGTGTCTTATTTTAATAAACTAAACGAATATAATCATCACTGGCAAGATGCAGCAGATCACTTCCAACAAGTAAAAAAAATAAAAAAAAGACAAACAACATGACTTAGTTTATGTTAGGGATTTGTTGATCTTGCCCATGCTAAATATACCATGGGAGCACGTACCTTGTCTCAATATTCATACGATGAGCGTATGAAAGCTATTCTACAAGTGTAAGTATTTAGACACAAGAGTGTTGTGCTAAATAAAACCAGAGATATTGATGAACAAGAGCAAATGCACCCAAAACAAGTGATACAGCATACAGCAACAAAGCAACTTGATGATATTGATGATGATGATAAAGAAAGTATTAAACTAAAAGAAAAGAAAAAGAAAAGCACAAACCCTTTGCATTGGTTTGGTTTACTTGTCTCGCCTTCATTACGCCTTTCTCAAGACCATTTCAAAAAAGGTAAACATTTTCTTCTTTACTCTAAATTGAATTTTTGATTAGCTACTACTCAATTGATTTCTCAAGTGAATCGAGTACGTGAATTAAAAGAAATGGAGAAACGTTATCATGAGCTATTAGAAGAGAAACTAGCTCTTCAACTAGAAAAGACACATTTACAAAAAGATGTTGTTTATTAACCAAAAACAAAGAAAAAGAGGGAATAAAAACTAAGAAGCTTGTTCAGAAGAACGCATGGTAGCAAATGTTTCTGAATCAACCAGATTGAGTTTACCATACTGAAAGTGATGGACTTCTTGAGCATGGGCTATTTCTTGTGCATCAGGTATTTCATCACCCAAGACACCCCAATTGGCAGTACCAGCACCCATTTTCTTAATTCCATAACGAGCTTCTGTTTGACCATTTCTGTGAAGTAGAAATAAGACCTATGGAATTTCTAGCATGACTTACCTGGCAATATGTCTGTCATGACGACCAGAATAAATAGAGTCCTTGCTACGAGTCATTTTATGAATAAGAAAGAAAAAAAGAAAAAGAGAAGAAAAAACATGTCTTTATATACATATATTGGATGGGAAAAATCAACTTGGCGTTTCAATTTGATGCCATCATTTTATGCAAACCTTATTTTTGTTTTCTTTTTTTTTTTAATCAGACTTTTTTATTATTTTATCAAATGTTTCAGGTTGCACTAGATTTAGTTTATCAGTAGGTTTTTGAGTATGTTCGTAGCCTGCTTGGTCATCTAAGAGACCCCAGTTGCCTTTGCCAGCACCATTCTTCTTTATACCATAGCGTATCTCAGTATGTCCATCTCTTTAATATAAGTTAAATACAGTGTATATATATGTATATATCTATTTACCTAGCAAGATGTTTATCGTGTTCTTTAGTATGTTTAGTCATAAGAGTAAATAAGAAAGAGTGGGTATAAAGAGATCCTTTTTATATACTTTATTGAAAGAAGAAATCCTGTGAAAAAATAGATAAATGAAAGGGCTCTTAAATCATGCTACCTTTGTTACTGAGTTCGAATAACAACAAACTGGGCTAATTCTTATAATAATAAACAATCAGGCAATCTTCTTACATATTTAATCAGGCAATATTGAATAGAGCCAATCAGTATGCTTTATTCTGAATAACACTGTATTTTGACAATACCATCTGCACCACCACTAATCATCCAAGGACAAGAAGGATGAAATTTAACTGAAAGTACGCCTTCATCTCCCTTTTTACGATGAGCAGAGAATTCTTGTATACATGATTTAGAAGCAACGTCCCATAAACGAATAGAAGAATCATGTCCACCAGAGACAATCGTATTGCCTGTCGCATCAATATCTAAGCTTGTCACAGCATCCAAATGACCAGAGACAGACTGAATACATTCACCTATATCCTAGTATTGAATAAAACAATACACACTACCGAATGAATTACCTGATACCAAGTCATAAAATTTAATATGTCTATCTTCGTGGCCTGATATTAACATTGGTATCGTAGGGTGTGAAATGATATAGTTGATTTGAGTAGCACTTGTGTTGTCTATCCCCTTATGTCAATTGGAATAAGTACTCCTAACTGAACTTACCATAAGAATCATCACTGCCCTTTAATGTCATGATAGTTTGGCCTGTTTGGATGTCATACAAACGTATTTTAGCGTTCGCAAAAGACACAGCCATCTTGCTTGGATCTGTAGGAATAAAGTCTAATGAAGTAGGTGCCACTATAGAGACAGATGAGTACTTACTCCCTATATGATTTTTACCTTTATCGTGCTTCACTTCAGAAGATACACCATCAAATGTAAATGAAGATCGAAGCAAGTTGCCTTTAGACTGTGTATCCCATAGTTTGACTGTACCATCTGCTGATGCAGAAGCTAATATATCCTGTTGTAGTTTAAAGTCCCAAATAGCATCTGTATGACCCACATAAGTTGCTATATTCAAAGATGGATCCACAGGTGAAAAGGGTCCACTAGTAGCAGAGGGTAATTGCCATACACGAATGGTCGAATCTAATGAAGCAGAATAAACACGGTTTTGTGAGGCAGAGATAGAGACTGCTGTCACTACATTCGTATGTCCTCTAAAAGTGATACTTGGATCTGCTTCTTCTAGACCTCTATAAGGGCATCATCAATGCATTATGTTATTATGCCTAAGCTTACTTTTTTGCTGTGTGGTCATCTTTACCAATAGCTCGCTTTAGATTCCAAATCTTGACTGTACAATCATCTGAACCTGAAGCAGCCATCATTTCATTGGGATGGAAACACACACTTCTTACTGAATCTAAATGTCTATCCTTAATGTCAATCCTACTGGTTGACTTGGAATAGATTACCCTTTAATCGTGATGCGTGGTCTCCAAATCTTGGGTTGAGATGTTGTTTCATTCAGCTATATCTTTTTGATAAGCATGCTATTTCCTTAACTCTCGCTTACCATGGTAGGATCCAATTCATCCTTCTTTGTCTGCTTAAACATCTTGAGTACTTTATCTTCTGATAAATGAAACTCTTCTTGAATCTGCATAGACAAGGCTTTTGTGTCTTGTCGCTGTGTAGGAGGTGCATGTTCATTATCTTCTTTGATATGTTGAATCATGGCTACTTCATCCACATTTGCCGGTACTTCTAAATCTATGGTTTCTTCTTCATTCATCTTTGTGGGTTTCTTGACTGGTTTGATATTACGTTGCGTATGAAGTTGAGGGGATGATTTCTTGGCTCGTTCATTGGGCGTACGAGGCATGGTTGTTACTGCTGAGGCTAATGCATTGGTCAATGGAAGTTTGCTTGGTAATGAAGTAAGATAATTGATTTCTTGTAGACAACTAGTATGGACATTATATTAGTACTACTTTCTATAGATTTGTTTTCACTTACGAACGTAATACTTGTCGACTCTTTTCCTTTAGTTTATTGTCTGCTATTGTAGATGCTAAGAATAAAGTGAGTGAATGTCATTTATTCAAATTATACTTGCCTAAATCAACATGGTTTGTCATAACTACAGGCATCTCTTGTTCTTCTGGTGTTTTTGTCCCACTCATATGTCTTTTTCTATAGAAATTGGTTCGAAATACGCTCGATAGGAACAAGCATTACCTTTCTTGTCTTAAAGCATATTCCAGCATTTTAACTCTTTTCATCAATGTCATTTTGATATTCTCTACACCTCTTCTTTCTCCTTCTAACAAGGCAATACGAGCCTTATTTCATTATACGTATTATGGTTTGCATATATCAACTATACCTTTAGTTCTGCTTTTTCAATTATCCATTCATTTCTCTCACGCTCAAACTTTCTCCACTCGGCTTGTAAAAAGTGTAACACACCAGGTAAGTTGTATTCCATAGATGACTCAGACATCCAACAGATGACAATAAAAGACAAAAAAAAAAAAGGTATTGTTATATGTGTGTGTGTGTATAGCTTTACTTGTGTTTAAAAAAGGAGAAATGTGACGTACAATTGTATGTAACTATGCATTCTATGTATATTCTGTTGATTATGTGAGGGGAGTAACATACAAACAACTCAAGAATACAACATAAAAAGAGAGAATCAAACTGGATAGATTGTTTTCTTTAGTATGTTATTAACTACTCTCTACTCTTTAATAACAATATGTGTTGTACCATTTGTTATGGCACAGACTAAACTTGAAATTAATCTTACTGAATTGCGCTATGGTGTTCGCTATGATTTGGAGTGCAACCCTACTCATGGAGAAGACTATCCTGACCCTGATGTTGTATGTGATTTTGTTTATTTTTTGAACGGTGACTTTGATCAAGCCAAAAGCTCAGGTCGAAAGTGTAGCCGCGAATACTTTCCATTCTCAGTGCTTATTTTGGGAGAATATGAAGGTGAAAGGATCAGCTATTATCGACTTTTCTCTAATCAATGTCAAGCTCGCGACTTTTTTGATATTTTGTTTCCTTTTCCTGAAGGAGAACTACCAAGACAATAAATATAAACCATTATCTATATGTTATCCTTGTTTATGATGTCAAAGTATTTCTACCAAAAAAAAAAAAAATGATGTCATAGTTAAAATGGTGCAGAGCTTGCCGATTCTACAGAAATTCAGAGTTTTAATTAGTATTCTAGTGTCATAAAAATAACGAAAAATTTATGGATCTTTCACATAAGAATCAGAATCGTACGTCTCCAACCACAGCAATAAGCTCTGGAAGGAACGCATCTCAGCAAACCGGATACTCTTTTTGCGCAAAAGTAGTATCGAGTAGTGCTCGCAAGACTCAGTCCTTTCAACCTATGATGATTACTCAAAGTGTCCCTGCAACAAATACCGCTACTACGAATGTGCCTTTGGCTTCAGAATCCAATACTCTCTCACCTATTGAGCTTGTTCAATCCTTTTGAAAGGGATCGAGAGAAGCAATATCTTAATCGGCGTTACAAAGTTGAAGGATCAATGAAATCTATTTGATGCGTTACAGAATTTTAATAAGGACATCGAAGTAAATGGAGGTTACGAAGACTCTCTCGGTCGAGTATCTACCATTAGAAAGCATCTTCAGCGCAAATATGTTGAGACTTTCTAGTTCAAAGATTGTCCTGGAAGAAACACTATTTTAAATGAAGCAATTTACTTGGCAGAAGGGACGTTTGTTGAAACATTTCCCAAGTTTATCCTGCTGATGCTCGTATAGCCAGACTCAAGTTGGAAACATTTCCTTATTTGCCTTTCCGCTTACTGAAGTCTGATAAGGAGAGCCAAATATCTCATTTTAGTCAAATGTTGGATTTAGGAGTCACTACAGTTGAAGGATGATTCACTGGATAGGGATATGCCACCCTTAACCTATCTCCAATCGGAGATAAGGATACCCAATTCGAACCTTTGCAACAGGTAATCCTTTGGAAAGAAGATGATGGAGAGGAAAAACATGTTTTTCTCCAATGGGAGGATATGCTTGATTTTTGTCGCATCTGTCTAGCCTTTAATCACTGTAGAACAGATTACCCACAGCATAAAAAGCTTTTAAAGCGTTACAACTGTAGCGAAAGAGGACACCGCATGCGTCAATGTCCATGAAATAATACAATTGATACTGTCACTGCTCCTAGCAAGAAATGCATTGTGAACAAGGAGAGAAAAATACCTGGGTCTACAGTGGCCCAAGAGGTCAAACAGGTTACACTTTCGTTGGACTATCAGGCTAAGGAGGCTGTAATGGAAAAAGAGTTAGAACCCATGATCGAAGCGAATGAGGAACCTATGATTAAGTAGGCTAAAGTAAAGAATACTGTTATGAATCAAGTGGAGAAGCTTGATACTATAATGGTGAAAAAATCAAAGCGAGGTAATGAAATATCGTATGAGAGATACCGAGGATACCCAACAATAAAAAATCGGTCGACAGGATTCGCATGTCTATGTTAGCAATGGATACTCCCTACAAGTTGGCAAGTAATGTATATAACCATACTATACAAAACCTTCTTCAGCAAACGGTTTCCTCTTCCCCGACAATAACTGGGAATAAGGGTGGAGAACAACATCAACTCCTCTTACTATTTTAATTATGATATCTAACACTTGTCGAACATCTGTTACGGCACGTCACTGTTGCAGCCTACGCAAAGTACACTTTCCTTTACAACAACAACAACAACAACAAAATTATACGTTACTTAAGAATATGATATATTTGTATTCCAAGAAACACATACAGAAACCAATTCCATCATTCAAACACTCAATACACAATTTTAAGCAAACTCCAGTATATGGACTCAATATTGTGATATAGTATCTCTCAATTCCAAATATAAAGTACTATCAATATGCATTGATCCTCTGGGAAGATATATATACGTACATTAGCGGTACACTTGGCAGAAAAAATGTCAAGTTTGATGGCAAATCTGTTAAGTGTCTGGTGAAGTACTTGATGGATTTTAAGCTCTTGGTTTTTTTATATTTGTTACGGTTATCAGAAGGTAGATCGGTGTCTGAAAAATGTGCTTGATGGATATAATGGATTTGTGGTGTAACTTAACGTCCTTTTGTTTCGGATACTAGTTCAAATGATGCTCCGTTAGTTTCTGATTGGGTTGGATTATTGGATTGCTATCTCTCGATTGGACTTTATTGTGGATGGATTGCGTTTGTACTGAACTAGAACAGAATAGAATGTAAATCATTGGATTGTATTATTAAGGATTAAAAAAACATTCAAATTTCTTAGGGGACATTTAATTTTTTGGTTGTGCCTAAGAAGTTTGTTTTGTTTTTACCAAAGACACAGGAAATATCAGCCATACTGACACTAGGTTTTGTAGTTATCATTTCGAGCTTTTCTATGAAGAAGTCATAATAAGTGGTTCTCGCTTGACTTGTCTTAACAAATGCAGAACCCACTGATTGAGCAAAATGGCCGTACGATCAAAGTACGCAGCAAGATATGTAGTGCTAAAAGTGAGGTACTTTGAACATTTCTAGCCTGTATACTCTATCTATATTCTATCTATATTGTATCATTTTTTCATACGGTGATATATAGTGATGTCTGAAGCTCAGTAAACTGAATCAGCTCGTCCGGCAAAAAAAGTGATATTTGAACTACAGGCTATTGATTTTATATGTGTGTGATCCTAAAAATATAAAATCACATACTGGATTTAGTAATACACATTGCCCTTGACCGACTATATCACTAAATCCAGGTACGACTGTATATTTATCACTCTATAGTTTTTTTTTTGTACTTTCCTTCTTTTTTTTTTTTTTGAACTGATGGTTAGACATTTACCCTATAGGGCTCAGTCTTCATAACTTTACAAGTAAAATATGAACCTTTACTGTGTATCATAAGGACAAAAAGATGATTTTTGACTTTCTCAAAACTTGCTATATTTTAGCATAAATAGGCTCTTTTGTGTATGCAATTCAAAAAAGGAAATCAGAAGGCAGAAACGATGGTCTATTTCAATAAACACTCGCGCCTGCAGTGGGCTGCCAATACACTTCTGGTGCTATTATGCTAATAGACTGTTCGCCAAATTTATTCAAGAAAAAAAGGTAGTTTCTATTGGAGGAGGATCCAGGTCATGATTTATGATCGTATAATAAGCTTGATGCTCGAAGAAGGTATAAATTGAAAATCAAAAGCATCTTAAGTATGCCAAATTTACTTAGTGGTCACAAAATATGAATATGGATATGGATAATATATGGATTGAAGTAACATATCTTTTTTCTAGCATTGGAGACTGTAGTTGTGCTTTTTCTTAATCACCCTAATCCAATGTTCTCAGAGTACACACAAGTTATTGTGCGATACAATACTGCTTTTTCAAAGTACGACAATTTCATTTTTGGACAGTTTTAAAGTGTTCCATTTTTAGCAAAGTGGCACTTTATCTTTGTTATGCTTTCGATAAAAGACAGAGAGAGAAAAAGAATAAAAGGTTCAAAGAAGAACAATAAGATTTGGATTTAAGACTATAGAGTTGAGCCTTTTTTTAAAACCGAGAAAAGATAGGGCTGTGTGTGCCAGCAAACACAATAACCAATCGAATTAAGCCTAGTTTTTAAACAAACTTTTTCCTAGTTTTTTTTTTCTTTTTTTTCTCTTTCTTCTTCATCTAAACACAAGATGGGTTCTCCTGGTATTTTGACTAACCCCATGTTCAACATGGGCTTCCTTTTGGTGTCTATGCAGTTGGCCAAGAAAATTGACTGGGAAGACCCTGATGTATTGACCTATGCTAGAATTGGTTATTACAGTGCCCAGGTCTTAGTCGTTGCTATGGCTTATGGTTTGATTTCTATCATTAAAAAGAAGAATGGTAAGTGACTAAGCGTGTAAGGTTTTTGTGGTTAATCGAGTGTATCTAGACACGACTGTGTTGACATACAATGCTCCTGCTAAACCCAGTCTTTCTGGTCCTACCGAGGCTCCTGCCACTATCACGACCACTGTCAAGGACTACGATATTGAACAAGTACAACAATTTATCAAGTCTAGTGTGACTTCTATCTTTATTATCTCTTTGATGCACTTTCAATTCAAATTCACTCAACCCCTTTTGATGCAATCGATTATGCCCGTGAAGAACTTATTGGCTCATAAAGAAGCTTTGATTCATTTGTGGGGTGATGCTCCTGAAGGTAACCTTGCTAGACCTTTTACTGTGGATAGTCCTTTTGGCGGTCTTGCTAATTTATTTGGTGGTGGAAATGATGCTGCTGCTGCACCTGCTGCTGCCAACACCACCACGGAACACCGTCACCAAGATTAAAAAAAATTACATATAATAAAAACAATTCCCCTTTTTTTCTTTTTACTGAAAAAATACAATTAACAAAGAAAGGAAGGGGGACCTAGATAGGTACATCTTCTGTGTCTTTTGCTGTGTCAGTCACAATATTTGTTTCTGTAATTTGGTTGACGACGAGAAACACAAGTGGGAAAGAGATAAACACAAGTATCCAACATACAAGACACTCCCAGCGAAGATAGATGGGAGATGCATCAATTCCAAAGGCTGCTGCCGCACCTACCGATTGCAATGCCTTATAAAATCCAGCATACCGAGCCAATAAGGTGGAGTCATTGGTCATGGCACCCATTAACCAATAGAGATAGGTTTGGTAGACTGCATCTGAATAACCATACATCATAAACAGTACAAAGGGACCACTGAAACGAGCATTGTCCCAGTGCACAGGTGTCTTAAAATCTGCTTCAAATCCTGTCTGAAAAGCAAACCCACCTGCCCAAACGATATTCAACAGCAAAAATAACACATAAAACACCACAAGTCCTCGAGTACGTCGATCCCAGCCTGGATAGTCTAGTACATAACCCACCATCATGGACCCAATGACCTGCATAGCCCAGTACATCAAGTCATTCAATGCGCGCGTCGAAGGATCAAAGTAAATTGAATTCAGTCGAAATTGATAAGCATAGAACCAATTTGAGGCTAAAAAGGCAGGAATGAAAGCCAACATGCGCCATTCTTTCCAGACCATCAGGGCATTCTTGAGTTCTGTTTTCCAGTCGGTTGCTTGCGTCATGACAATGCGTGTGCCATTCTGGCGCACAATATGGCTAGGATCGGCCAATGTCAAACTAAACAAGACACCAGCCAACATGATCATCACAAACACAGCATACGTACCTGTAGACACACCCCCTGTTGTGTGTCCATCCAAATTCATGACTAAAGCAATTAAGGATCCCAATATCCCTCCACAATTAAACAGAGCCCAAAAGACACTGACGGATTTGCCCTTGTCCTTTTCTTCTGGATAGGACATCATGATGGCCCCTTGAGCAGACCAAAAAATAGCAGCCAAGCAACCCAACATGGCACCCGAGATAATCACATACTCGGCAATTTGGTAGCGATCATAGACCCAAAAGGCAGAGGCATAAATGGCATAGCCTATCGATCCAATCTGTCTCGCATAAGTGGTGTTGACGGATCATGCAGCTCACTTACTGTCAAGGTCTTATTGACACCTAGCGTATTTGTAATGGATCCAGCGAAGAAGCCAACGATGGCAAAACAAGCATAAAGAGCACCATTGGCTGTATCTGTCAATGTGATGTTGGAACTCATTGAACCGCCAGCCCCAAGCCCTGAAAGTGCATTAAACATGCCAGGACCACATAAACAGACAAGACCCAGACATATAATTTGAACAATAGGGCTATTATATCTCGTTTGATAGGTTTTTTTGATTAACATCTAAAGAAAAGAATAGAAAAAAAATAATACACAAAATATGCATACTGAATTCCTTTTTGTTGTTTATAGCATTCTCTCTTGATTTCGTCTGTATACAAATATGCTTATAAAAGAAACGACCTTGGTCGATCCAAGATAGAATTCGTGTACTTCAAAACTGTAGTATATCTTATCTACTCACGGACGATAACGCCTCCTCTATTTTCCTACATTGTACAACAGAAATTCGGATAAAAGTGTATACAAACCCAGGCCTCAGTTTAGAAAGGGGCTCACAAGGTGCAGTTATGCCTTTTTTATAAATTATCATGACAAATACATTCATTGTCCGCACTGGTTGTTTCATAGCAGAGATTCAAAAAGGAGTGAGGTTAGTAAAAAATAAAATAAAATAAAAAGAAAATGATCACTGCAGCGCCACTATGTATTATATATGCAAAAAATTATTTAGTCAGTATAGAATCTCGTTTGACCAATGTCAAAGAAGTTTGAAAGTCTATTGCATGAATTATTTTGCTTGTATTCTTTAAGCAACATGATCTTTCGCCATAAAAAAAGAAAAGAGAAAAATGCTTATAAAAAAGAGATAAGCGTTAAACGAATCATTACATGAAATCAATCTATTTCTTGCTAACCTCAGACCAGTAAATCTTATATCGATTGTCTTTATTCTGGTTGGAGACTATGTAAAAAAATGGATAGTGGGTACACACATGACGGGCTTTTTAAAACACTATCTCTTTTTCCCTTCTTCTTTCTCTTCCCTTTCGCTTTCACTTCTTTAACATGAAAAAATCTAAATCAACCCACAATGACAAATTACCTAATATTACAGACGATGTAGAAAAAGCCATCGAACAATCACCCCTTTCTTCTCCCACCAGCACTTCATCCAAAGAATTTGTTGAATTGATTTCGAATAATGCAACCACACAAGCCATATTAAACTTAAAGAACAATCCATTTTTCCATGACAAGCGAAAATGGGAAGACTCTTTTTCGGTTGCTGAAATCAAAGAATTGGCAGGCAATATTGTGAAGGCAGCAAGTAAAAAAAATTCTCACATTACTAGTGCTGTTTTACTCACGCTGTATTATGTAGAGGATAATGATGGTGAGACGTATGTTACTCTCCAAGAGGAAGAATACACCGTTCCAGCCTCGACACACGAAGATGAGTCAAGCCAAGGTATTTTACTTTTTTGATATAGGCTATGTTCTAAGTATCAGAATAGAAAGTGATAATATAGATTCTACCAACAAAAAGCCTGGGAGAAAACCTATGCCAGACGAAGAATCTTTTTCGGATGCAAGTAACTACACAATCATCAATAGTATACTAATCAATTTCTCTGTAGTTGGATCAAGATCCCAAAGTCAAGCGAAAAGCACAAAACCGTGCAGCTCAACGAGCGTTTCGAGAACGAAAAGAACGTTATGTCAAGGAACTTGAAATCAAAATAAAACAAATCCAAGACGCTCACCTTGTCACGACAACACAACTGGTACGAGAAAACCAACAGTTGCGATCTGTCATTTATCGACTGGAATCAGAAAATTATGCATTAAAAGGCATACCCTACCAGCCACCTCCCCCATTACAAACGCCACCACCACCACCACAATCTGGACCTTGTGGACATTATCCTAATATTGCACCACTATTACCTCAAGAACCCTTGGCTCTTTCTTCTTATTCAACTACGCCTTCAACTCCTTCTATTTTACATTCTATTTCGCCTTCTCTTGGTTCTATTTCACCCAGTAAACCTATCTCAAAAAAAGTATCGGTCAAACAAAAATCACCCACACCTACACCACCGCCTCAACCTTTGGAATATACATTCTCTATTACCACACCTGCTTCTTTAAAGCTACATACAGCAATAACTACATCGCCTAAACCCAATCGATCTGAACCTATTGAGCCTGTACAACTGTATCATCCCAGTACTCGGCCTTCCAAACGACAGTCAACACCTACTTCTCCTTTAGCCAGTACAAAGCCAGACTCCCTCTCTTTAAACAAGAATGACTCGGTCACGGTTGTTTCGTCTGCAAGTGCAAAGAAATCAGGCAGTGTTTGCACACCCATTCACTCGCCTATAGCCCAACAACAGGATGATACCAACAGTGTTTTTAGTGACAATACTACTTCTACCACTTGTACACAACAACAAAAGGGCATGCAACAACTTAGTCTACACTTGTTTGATTGCCATATTGACCCTGAGGGAAAGCATTTCTGTGAAACATTACATGAACAAGTATGCAACGATGCTTTTTTTCGATTATTGTCTGAACCTTTATTTGATCAAATGGGCAAGTTAAATTTAAGCTTGATTGGTTCACCTGTACCCATTGTCACTGGTTCTATGAAATCTCTCGAAGACAAAGACACTACACAAGACAACACAATAATAGAGAAATCTAAAGATAAGGAAGACACACCATATCGAAAGCATTTATTGACTTGTCCTGAAATTTGGTTTGCATTAACACAACATTCTAAGTTCTCAAATTATACAACAAATCAATTATGTCAAGCTGTTAAAGATGCAGCCAAATGTTCTGATACAGGGCCTGTGTTGGAAGAGACTGATTTACAAAAAATTATGATTAAAATGGATCAAGATTGTTTATAAAATAAACTAAAAGAACACAAGAGCCTTAAGCTAAAAGAGACTTGAGTTGATCTTCTTTAAGGCATTTGTCTTGAGGCGGTTTTTATGAAGCCCTAAAAAATGAAGATGATTAGTTACCATTCCTAAATAGCTCTTTTCAATAAATCAGCCTGCATAAATCACCATTAATAGTAATATGGCTAAACTAACCATAAATGTCAAACACAGCATTAAATAAAACGGGAATATAGTTAAAATAAACTTTTGACATCTTTTAAACCGCCTTTTCAATATTGTAGTCAGAAGGGCCTAATTTTACTTCAAATGGCACGTCTATGACTTTTGTAAGTTCTCGAAAAAAATTTTACAATATCATTAGCTTCAATAGCGTTGTGTCCTTGACTATATGCTTCAATTTATCTATAAGCGAGATTAAACCATCTTTTAATGACCAAATTACCATTTCTGCTTTGGTTATCATCCAGGTACGAGTTGGTCTTTTCCTAAGGCTTTTAAACGAGTAATCGCACATCATACGGGCTACTCTTTTGGATCCCCCTAAATGACGCTTGATCCAGTTCGTTTTGCAATTGTATTTTAGATAAGGCGTCATTATACATCCAGCCTCTTCAATTGACTCCTCTAGCATCGATATCTGCTTTTTGAAATCTTTTTGATTAGATAGAAGTTACTCCAAGCAACAACTATTACTAACGTGCTCTTCATTGCAACGCTTGCGAGGCTTGCAGTTTTTTCCAATGACTTCTCTTTTGAGCAATATCTGAAAAGTGCACTTGAAGTGTTTGTCCTAAAAAGATATTAAAGACTTTGTATAATACATGTATGTGAGCATTGATAACTTACAGGGTCCGGAAATTTCATTTTTTTAACCAAATGTAATCTCAATGCTGCATCCGAAGGAAAGCGCTTCTTTGGAACGATTTGTGCTTTCAGTCTATTGAACTCAGATTTGAATTTTCTAAAATCAATTCTATGCATGATATAGATGCTTTGAGTTTTGGTTTTGCCATCAATAGGATCTTTGAAGCTCCCATCACGAAAAGCAAATTGACTCTCAGGATTGAATACCGTTTCGCCTGAGGGCATTCGACTTGCAAGCAGGGCATCTTTTGCAAAAGCGCGATAATTTTGGTTTTGATCAAAATTAAACAGTGTAGTACTGTCTGGATGCAAATGCTTGAACAGAGGAATAACATAGTTATTCAAGTATTGTTTCAAATCCTCGTATGTCTATCAGTTATCAGCACCAGGGGAAAAAATGGTACGAGAGGATTTCTCCTCTCCATCTATCACCCCTTTCATGGTTCCGTAACAGGAAGGCATGAACTCAGAAATGATTATTGATTTTCCTTGTCTATTTGGTGCTATGCTTGCTTCACCTTTTTCCACTCAACGTTTTTTTCTGGCATTATTGGTATAAGATGTGCTTTTGTCATGAGTGAGTAGCACTATCTTCTTCTCGTCTTCTTGAAGAACTGGTTGAACAGTCTCTCCTTCACTGTTGCGTGGATACTCTTCCGTCTTGGTCTTCCATTCTATCATTTTCTTTGTCCATTGAATCCTATACTCTTTAGCATCTTCACGTTCATGATCATCGAAGAAAATCGCATCTTTACTGTTTGATTTTTGCTCAAATATCCAATATCTAACATACTCTGCGATAGTGGTGTTGCTCAACGAAGATAGTGGTTGACTGATTGGTCCTATTGCCATAATTTCAGGTACAATCATCTTTCTAATGTGATTTGCTAAACCAACAATGGTTCTTTGGTTGGGGCGTTTTGATCGAAAATAGTCAATGGCTTTGTTCTTGACATCTTTATCAGACATGCTGGAGAGCTTCTTTGCATGAACCCTCTGCAAATACTTAGGAAGCTCTCCGAACTCCAAAAAGATATGTGCCCATCTTTTGATTGCTCTTGGTCTACAATGCTTAAAAGGCGTCTTCCAAACTTCCACAGCAGCATCGGTACTAGCTTCAAGCATTTTCTTGCCACTTAAAATGTAAAGACGGGAATCAACATCTAATCAATTTTGCTAATATACTCGCTTAAGATCTGCAGCTAATCTTTTAAATCATCCTTAACTTCATCATTGAGGTCATAGGATTCTTTTACAGGCTCAGCGAATCCTTTCATATTTAGAGGAGAGAAGAACTCCGTAACCTTCTTGCAGCTTTCAGCCATCTTTTTATTTTTTTTTGTTTTATTTTTGAATGACACGATGGATAAGCTGGAATGATCTAGCGTGCTTTCTCTTGTGGTTAAGCTCGATGTTACTGTTATTCCATTTGAACACTGCAGCAAGATTTAATTGATCATCTTTTACTTCGATAGCACCATCAATTTCATTCCATTCTTTTTCATCTTCGTTTTCTTGGTAGCCGATGTTTGACTCTGTAGTAGCTGATTCTTCGTTTTCTGGTTCCATCAATTGAATGACAAAATCATCGTCTAATGCAGAACTGTTAAACATTACTGAACGATCATCACTAAAGTCGAAGTCAATTTCATTCCCAAAATCCAAAATGATATCATTCATTTCAAATTTCTCGAATAAGTTGTTCAACTATAAAAAAAAAAGGGAGTAAGAAATAGAGACGTCAATTTTTTTTGCTTGATTAATGCCGACAATTATTACCAATCGTGCATCTCTTTTTTCCTTTTGCTTCTCTTGGTGGTTATCTGTCATTTTCTTATACGCATTTGGTTTTTTGTGAGGCGAGGCATCTTATTAAGGTTAATAAAAATGAAACATATCGCAAGGACTCATCTTGACACAAAAATAAAACTGTCAAAACAAACTCGGGAACAATATCTAAACACAGCCTATGCTTATTTAGTACTTAGTGCAGCTCTAAATAAGCGACTATTGGCCTATAGTCTCATACACTACTATTTTTGGGTGGATATGAACTTTTGGTCAGTTGTCATTTTTTCAAATCAGCTTTTATTAATACAATTAAAAAATTAAAGACATAGAAATCTAGAGAAGCAAGTTTTGAGCACTTTTATGTCTTTCAATTCTTTATATCATCACTCTAATCTTAGTTGAAAAGCTTTGAATTTTGAAAAAAATCTCCCTGCCAAAGTGACTATCATAAATTGAGTGCACTTTAGTATTTCCACTCTCAATTGGACAGTTGCCGAAAAAATTATTCAGGCATTTGAAGTCTGTTTGGTCGGTTTTTTTGTGAACCAATCCGTTTTGGTTTTGTTCTAGTCATCTTTGGTGAAAAGGTCTGACTGCTCTTCTCTACCTTCAACAATCAAATTCAATATACCTGAAAGACAAATTAACATCCTTTTGACTTCTGTTGGCGTTAGGGTTTCGTCTGCAACAAACTTCTTATGTAGTTGTTCGCCATTTTTAAAGAAAGCTGTTGATCTATTTATTGACTTGTTATCTTTTTGCAATGGTCGAAGAGTAGTATGAGAGCTTGACGCCAATAAGTCTTTGTCGAGTATCGCATCAGCTTTTCTTGTCTCTAACAAACGAATTTTTTTTCCTCATTCGCACTTGGACTTGTTCAATCTCTTCAGTAAGGAGTTTCTCTTTATAAACATTCTATTTTTGTTTGTATTGTCCATTTAGACCAAGCTGAATTTCTTGACTTGGCTGTTTCACCAATCTCGGGAGCAAAGCAAACAATTTTAGTCACTTCCTAAAATAAAGTATTTTTTTTACGCATCCAATTGATCTTTTTTTTATTCTGTATAATTCATCTCTGCTTTAGCGATCAATTCAGTTAACAAGTCTTTTTTTTTTAAAAAAAAAAATGCTAAGCCGAATGGTTCATTTATGCATCACTCAGCCTGTCCAAGCACTTGTCGAACAAGGTGAATTCAGCAATAAAACAGTAATCTATTATCTACATTCGACTTCAATTCTTTTTTCTTCTCGTAGATACTGAATTACTTATCGCCTCTTTTTTTCGCTGAAAAAGTCAGTTATATTTCTTCTAGTTTTTTTTCTCTGTCTACCTTACACCATCACTGCTAGAATCAATTGACGCTGCACCAACTGATGTTCGTAAAAGAAAAAGAACTCGTACTGATGCAGCAGTTTGAATAAAAAGCCAAGAGTGTTAGTTACTACTAATTGAATGCCACCTTGTATATCCAATAAGATGAAGATGTACTTTATTATGTGGGCCTTTTTTCTTATTACAAACCCACGAGAAACTTTTCCTTTTTCCTTTACTCTTTACTTGAGATTCCTTTCATGGTGCTAATGAGGTACTTGTGAATTCATCTTTAGTTATTCTTTCTTAGTTGTCCCTAACAGTCCCTAGCATAATTATATAGGCTCTCTGGTCTAGGTAAGACTTTGATGTTTGCTCATGTAGTTGCACTAGCCCTTTTGTTTGTTTGGAATAGTGTCTAGACCTTGTTTTTATTTATTTATTTTTGGCGCTAACTGACTTGGTTTCTTGCTCATCTCTGGTTTGGCTTTGTCTCTATGTAGTTTCTGAGTCTTGATGTTGCTCATTACCTTCTTGTCCACTTGGTGATTCTCTCTTTTTTGTCTATTACTATGACTTGGTAGTCTTTTTTTCATATTCAAGGTAAGGCTTGATATCTTATTTAGTCCATATCCTCATACACATTTGTGTAGGCTCATTTTAAAGAAAGAAATCTCTTCTAGCATATACAGCTGACTATATGGGTAGCAACTCTTGGTGAATCACTGGGTGATGTGGCTTCATGAGTGCTATATGGTATTGTTTTTGGTAATAAATGATATTGATCATGATATTCTTTCTCTAACAATATATGCAAGTGTGTATTATTGATATGAAAGGCAATGCTCAAATAGATTATGTGCAAATAACTCATGTTAATCCTTAGGCATGCTTTCGCTTCTGCTTTTATCCAATAGTCTTGTCTATTTTCTCTTGCCTGAATATTGTCTCTAAGGCTGTGTCCCTTAATGCGTTGAATATGTGTCGTTTCTGTTTCTCTCTTTTGTGGTCGCCTTTCAATGATACTTAGATATAATAGTGTATGATTGGATTCATGTAAGCAACCATGGAAGTGTATAGAATATATTATGTAATGCATGTATATATATAATAAAAGAAACGTTTATATTACCTAACAATATAATGATGCTACCAATAATGTCCAATGAGAAGCATAAAAAAATACATTCTAAACTTTTGCGGAATTGATCTTTACTGCCAAGATTAGCTGTTACTGACAATAGTTTATTGGCGGTTACTAACAATCTTATTCAAAGACCACAAATCGAATATTGGCCTTAACTACCAAGATTAGCAGTTTTTATCGAAGTTGCGTGTATAGGAACGACCAAGTGCTCTAGCCTTTAAATTGGTCGTTTTGCTTCTAATATTGTCCCTTTTATTGCCAAGATTCTCGTCGAAGTGCTACATGCCTTTACCGCTTCGAAGAAGTCCAACAAAAATACCTTGCTCTCTTTTTTTTTCTATCTTCACATCCACTGAAGTTTTCTTAACAGTATAAATAATTATGCTACGCAATACAATCTGTCATTATTCTTTGTTCTTTTTCAATCCTACAGCTCCAGTAGTCTAAGAAAAGGTTTATTTTAATTCAAGTCGCGTTCTTTAATAAGTTGCTTGATATGTTCACTTAAAGTAAATTGTTTAAGAGTGGATGTTGGAATATGTCTGGCACCATTCACTTTACCGATACACTATATATGATGAATATCACTCAATGCACTGTCTTTTGTATTCACCTTTTCAGAACCACACCAGCAATCAAAAGCTTGAGCTATTGGACGCTATTAGTCATCTTTTTCACGGTCTAAAAATTCTTACCCATATCCCACTCGGTAGAAGGATAGAAAAAGTTCAACTCTTCACCCTTTCTTATATCCTTAAGGGCTACTAACGCTTTTTTCGACACATCCAAATAAGTAGAAGGGTTGCATGCATGGTTTAAATAGAGTAAGTCACTATTGAGTTCAACGTGCTCTGTAGGGGAAATTTGAACTGAAGAATATTGTTTTGGACCAGGTGTGAGCCCTTTGAGATCGACAATGACACTATCTTTGGGGAAATCACGTTCAGCAATAAGTCTGCTACTAAAAGAACCTGATTCTCCCTGATGAACCACCGAGAAAAGTCCTGGGTGAGAAGGTGGTGTTTGCATTTCAATTAAAAAAAGGGGGGATGGAAATGCGTGAGAAAGATACGCGAGTCAATTTAAGAACCGAAGATCCGGTTGAACTTGTCAAATAAACGCTTTTTACAGCGGTTTGTGATCTAAATGAAAATGGCCAGCACTCATCCTTTTTTTCTTTCGATATCTCTTTAAGATGAAAGAAATAAAGCTTTCTGATGATGAAGTAGCTGAACCCCCACCTCTTTTTAGTAACTTTTTTGAAGGATGGTCTACTTTATTTTCAAAGCAAACACAAGATAAACCTATACAGGAAATGGATACATATGAATCAGATGCAAGTTCAAGTGATAATAGCTCAGTCTATCGTACTGGAGAAGAAGATCATGAGAACACACCTGTCCCTTTAAGAAGAAAAAACAGTGTGCGTGTGGGGAAGAAGGTAATCAGTGAATTACTCGAAAGTGACAATGTAGCCCATGCTGTCACTATTCTACAAAAAGCATTAGACCATTTAGAAATGACACAAACAGACGGAGAAGATGAAAAAGAAGTCTCTAAGGTTTATTCTCAAATCATAAGATCACTATGTGACCCTAATATCGCTTCTATTGTGAATGAAATGTCCAAAAGAAAAGACGGACAAGCACTTGACATTCAAGAATCTATTTTATGGAGATTGTTTACTAAAGTAGTTGAATCAGGCTATGTGTTAGAGGTAAAGCACTTTGTTTGAATACTAATACTGACTCTAATTAGAGAGATGCTCATCTAACTGTAGTCAATCAACTGGTAGAAGCAGAACAAAAATCGCTTTCTTTACAAGCCATGTATGCATTACCGAGACGAGAATGGGATACGTTGTGTTACAGGATAGCTATCTTACTTCATTTGATGCAAACGCCCAAACAAATCCAAGAAGCACAAGGACTCTTGTCTGATTATGGTAAATTGGATTTAGAGATAGCCAACCCAATCGCACCTCAAGATTTACCACCGATTCATATGGAAATGCCTTCAATGAAGCATGTAACAGAAGCAGATCAATTCAAACTATGGATGTTCTATCAAGCTGCTTTAAGCAACAGTGATGAAGAATGGCGTCGTACACAAGAATCTTATGAAACCTTACGACAACATCACTTGGAAACACTTGAGAGAAAAGGAAGCATGAAAGACTGGGCTATGGAGCACTTTTTTCTTGAGACAGAAAAGCAACAAATTGACCGTGTCAGCACAGACAATGATAATACGATGATCTATGTCGCCCTTCAAAAGAGTCAATTTGAATACGGTTGGCAAGTCTATCAAGCCATGGAAGAAGCTGTGAATGAATCCACACCCTGCATTGTAATGCACCTTTGCTGGGTTGCATTCCGACAAATCCCTATTGCTGATATTACACGTCGAAGAGAATGGGAACATCGTGCTTGGTCTGTGTATTCGCGTTTTATGTGCTCTGAATATTTGCATCCAGAACAAAGTGAAGCACCAGGTTTCTTGCATGATATCTTGTCTATTGCAGCCAACAGCCCTGAAAGTATAGTGGACAAGAAAGCCCGATACACAAAAGCCATGAGTGTCTATCAATTATTGGTGCGACTTCATTTTCACAAACTTTTGTGTGACGATCGCGTGTTGGAGCCCATTTTGTGTGCACTTTTGTACGAATGTCAAGGAGCGCCTAGCCATATTATGTCTATGTCCAACAAAGCATTTGAGATATGGGACCGTAAAATGGAAATCATGAGACAAGACAACGTTTCTGTTTACTCTCTTTCAATGGTATGGGCGCTACTTGTCTTTTGTCTCAAATCTGGCAACCAGCATGACTTTGAGAAAATCCTGGTTTTCTTGCTAAAAGAGGGTCCGATCCAAGATTTGCCTTCTTCTGTGTTAGCACCGATACAAGCATTTCATGACACTTATGCGTGCGAGGGTTGTTATTTTATGAATTACATGTTCAAGCATATTGAATTCACTGACGACAACAGTGGCAATCAGCCTGTTATGATGAATCAATATGGATTTCTTTCAGACTCAACCCAAACAAAACATAAGCGATCTTCAAGCGATTTTCTTGAACATCCTATGCTACGAACCAACATTCAAGAAGTCCAAGCTAATAGCCTAGGCATGGCTATTCTCATAGGAGCCAGCAAAGGAGAAGAGATGCTTTCAAAACCAATGCATTATTCTACAAAAAAGGCAAAAGCGATCATTCGTCATTGTTTAAAAAAAAAAGAAATGTAGATATGGTTCAACGTACTCACGTGATATAATTTAATAAAACAGACATTTCTCTCACACTTTTTGTTTTCTTTTTCTCTCTTTATTTTTATAATATGGGTAATATTGCTTCAAAGAAAAGAAAAGATCACAGACCTAGTGTGGTTCGTTCTGAAATACCTGATAATGAGATATCCAATGCTACAGCAACCTCTATTAACTCTATCTTGGTCAACTCGAGTGTTGGACGACCTTCTACTACTTCTATACCAAAGGCACAACATGCTTTTGAACCGCCATTACATAGCCCAACTGCGGAGAATCAACTGACGTTTACATCGCAAAATCAATTGACGGCCACATCTATTCGATCTATAGGCTGGAACTTGGATATTGATGAGTGTATCAACCGTCTATTGGATGTAGGCACGAAGAGTAAAGTGACAAAGAGTATCTGTTTTAGGAATTCCGAAATTGTGGCTATTTGTCGTGCTGCGCAAGAAGTATTTTTGACTCAATCGGTATTTCATGCCTTGTGTGTGTGTGTGTGTGTGTAGTTGTTAACAAAATAGAGATAGAGTTTGATAGAATTAAATCCTCCAGTCAAGATATTAGGTGATATTCATGGTCAATTTCATGACCTCATCAGACTATTTGAAATGGTAATTATAAATAAGGGGAGAAGTGAATTCATACTTTGGTTAGGGTGGATTTCCTCCTGATTCAAACTATTTGTTTCTTGGTGATTATGTAGACAGGGGAAAACAAAGTTTAGAGACCATTTTACTGCTGTTTTGCTATAAAATCAAATATCCTGAAAACTTCTTTTTACTCAGAGGAAACCATGAATGCGCGAATGTCACACGAGTCTATGGATTCTATGACGAGTGTAAACGGAGGACAAATACAAAGGTTTGGAAGACATTTGTAGACGTATTCAATACGTTACCTATAGCAGCATTGGTAGCAGGTAAAATATTTTGTGTGCATGGTGGTCTAAGTCCTTCACTGCATAATATGGATGATGTACGAAACATTATGCGGCCTACAGATGTACCCGAATATGGCTTACTCAATGATCTTTTATGGTCCGATCCATCTGATACAGCAGCTGAATGGGAAGACAATGAACGAGGTGTATCTTATTGCTTTGGCAAGAAGATTGTCAATGAATTTCTGGCTAAATATGACCTGGACTTGGTCTGTAGAGCACATATGGTAAAATAAGGCCAAAGCTATCCATATTTTATCTAAAACGTCATGTTTAGGTTGTAGAAGATGGATATCAATTCTTTAATGAACGTACACTTGTCACTGTCTTTAGTGCGCCGAATTATTGTGGTGAATTTGATAATTTTGGTGCTATTATGAGTATCAATGAAGAGCTGTTATGTAGTTTTGAACTATTGACACCCATGGAACATCCCTCAGCCGCCAAACTACAAGAGGCTCAAAGAAATAAAGGAAGGAGACCAAGGTAAGCAGCTTGTTTCATTTGGTTTAGACTCATGCTATTTTACTTTAGTCCTCCTATGATAGGGCCCTTACCAGTTCCTGAAGAAGAAATCCAACAGTAAATAAGCGATACGTTTTATACCAATCCCCTTTTATAATATTTAATACATTGCAGAATTGCATCATCTACACTCTGCCACTTTTGTTTAATAAAAGGAGAGGAAATTTTCCTCTTATGCAATCAATTATGCATAGATATGAGGAGTCTGATTTAACTTTTGATCTTTGTACAAGAGAGAAAAGTGGAAGGGGATAAGGTTAAAACGTCTCGTCGTGATTTGGACAAGCCTCTGTAGGGTGTTCACCAAACACATCACAGTTAACGCAATAGCACTAAGTCAATTTAGAGGAGAGTAACAACTATATAAAACGGCTTACCGATAAACTCGATGTATCCTCTTGTTTAGAGCTCATATTAAGAGCAGTACAAGCCATGACTTCATGTCCATACTCTTCGCAGATTTCACAATAAACATCTTGGTCTACACTATCAGTACTTTCAGTAGGTATGAGTGAAAAGGATCTCCTAAAAGTAGATGGAGATGCAGGTGATAAAGGCATGACGGTCAGTTTCTTGACATCTTTTTCTTCTTGCCTTAACTTGGTTTCTAAAAAACTAATTCTGAGTTTATCCTCCAAAAGATTCTCTAGTTCAGTCTCTTGAAGGACTTTGCTTTCAATCAAACTTTCTAATTGCTGTATTTCTTGTTTCAGTTTGTCAACCTGTATCTGTTGATGGCTCTTTAGATCGTTGTGACACTTGACTTCTCGAGCCAATTGTAAGCGAAGTATTTCCACATTTCGTTGACAGGCATGATCCGAAGCACAAACAACCTGACGCACTGTCATTTGGTCCTCAAGCTGTCTACATTCATGTTCTAGTTTTATTTTTTCTTCTGCCCAAGCTTCACGCTCAGCTTTCAAGGCTCGATTCTTATCTAGCAAGTAGTGGAATTCTCGTTTTGGCTTGTTTTGATGCGACACTGTTAAATTCTTAAGTGCGTCCGCTAGATCCAATTGAGTTTTGGTCAGACTTAGTCGCAAATCTTGGTTTTCTTCTTCTGTCTTTTCTTGTTGTTGAATAGCAGCATTGGCTTCGTCCATCACGCGTCGTTTGTCTTCAATTTCAGTCTCTAGTTGTGTACGTAAAGCATAGAATTCAGCATTTGAAGTGGCTGACAGTCGATGCAGTCGTTTGATTTCATCTTTTAACTGATCGATTTCAACTGCCATGAGCCTCACTAGTTCGCGCTTATGATCGAGTTCTGTTGTAGCCAGTTCGAGTTGATCTTCGAGTCTCTTTTGAGGTGATGCTCGCTCATCGTCAGCATCCGCAATGACAGTGATGGGAGATACTGGATAAATTTGATGGAAATCATTGACAGCACGTTGTAACTTATGAATGTGTACATCCTTGGTGGCCGATGTAATGGCATGTTCTTTTTTTAGTTGGTCTAGTGTCTCATCATAGGCTTGCATGGTACTTATATGGGCTTGACGCAAGTCAGCACATTCTCGTTCAATAGCTAAAGTCGCTTGATCACACTCGCCAATTTGTTTGTAGAGTTGGTCAATGGTAGCTGCCTGATCTCGTATTGTGGATTCCCGCTGTTCTAGTGTTTCTGTATGTTGTTGTTGCATTAGGACGAGTCGACCTTCTAGCCTTTCAATGGCTCTAATATGTTGCTTTTGCATTTCTTCTGACATGTTCAGTCTAGATACTATAGCGTCTCGTCCATGATTGGCTTTGGCTAATTCTTCTGTCGCTTGTTGAGCCTGTTGAAGGGCATTGTTTAGACGTACAATTTCATCTTCTTTTTCTTGAACTCGTAAAGCATAACTTTCTTTCGCCGTCAACAGACGTGTCCATGCTTCTTCTTTGCCATCCATTTTCTCTAATAACAATCGTTTCTCTTCTCGAGATTGCTGTAGTAAGACTTGAACACGTTTAAGTTCATCAACCGTGTCCATGCGTGCTTCTGAGTGACTCCTTTGAATTGACTGCTTGCTGTTCCTGTGATAATATCTACTATTGTCATCGGAGGATGTTCTTGTGGATAGGGAAGCTGATTTTTTGAGTAATGGTTGTCTTGTTGACTTTGTTGAAGGATATGATAATGTTTGTTTTTGGTTTGAATCTCCTTCCTGTGTTTTATCTGTTTCGGAAGGGCTACTACGAGTGGATAAAGGCTTTTGATGGATAGGCTGTGCAGTGGCTATACGTGCTGATTTACTTGGGTTTAATAAGGGGCGCTTTAAAAGTGATGTACTGCTCATAATCATGCTTTTTCTTTTAAGAGAACTCTTGCTTCTATCTGGATTGTAAGCAACAACTTTGGTAGACAGAACAAAAAGTCCAGTATAGGGAGCACAAGTAAAATAACGCGTACTAAAAAATTATCAGTGTTCGAAACATTCGTCTATATAAAACTCACCCCTGAATGCATCCATCATTTTTCCCTGACCCTTCTATATCCAATTCAATGCCGACCCAAACATCATTTTTCTTTTCTGAAAATGCTAGATTTCCAATATATCTTACTGTGCCAACCACATTGAGCTTGACAACCAATACCTTTTGTCCAATGTCATATAATTGGTGTTCCATAGTGGTAGGTAGTGTGTGTTTCTTTAAAGCAGGCTTGAGTTCTGATTCACTTTGTTGCGAGAATCGTTTGACAAGACTGGAAGATGTTTTGACAAGTTTGTTTTGATCCAATGGTTGCATTGAGTGACACAATGAAACATATGAACTAAACCGTTTTATTTGTTGTTGTTGTTGTCTATTTAAGCTTTTATCATGTCTACTATAGATACTGTCGCGAGTTGTTGACGATTGAGTGGATCCAGTTGGGGTTTTGCTTTGATGATTTGTGCTCATTTTCTATGTTGAATCATACAGCCCTTTATTTTTGAAAAGATGAAAGGAAGAAAAAATGAGAATAGGTCAATTATACTGTACATCTATCTAGAAGCTAGTTTATCAGTGTTTCTTAGTCAAAAAAGGGAGCAAAATGCATATTGCTTAAAATGCAAGTGCTATGCAATTTAACTCTACAAACTAAGGAGATATGTTTCTTTGTCCTTTCATGTTTTCGGGTCATTAGTTTCTTCTTATATCATTTATCAACATTTTTCCCCCTTTTATTCTAATGAATCATTTGATGGTTCCAAGTACGATTTTAAATTGAGTGTATTTTATAATCATTCTATTATTTCACTGTGATCAAAAGAAAAAACAGGTAAATCATGATGCATGATAAAAATAGCTTGTGTATCTCAATAGAACGCACACAAGAAATTTACTTTCAAACATGTCATGCGAGTAAGTTTATTATATTGTTGAGTGATTTAAAGAAAAAGCGTCTATGCATTCTACACTTTATTGGAAAAAACTTCGTTGTGAAAAATAAAACTCTAAAAATTAAGCAGAGTATGAGATACATAAGTAATGTTTACATTGTTACTTACGTTAAGCTATAAGGAAGAGCAGAGGATAAAAGGGATATAAAAGAGAAATAAATTAGTAATAGATATGAAACAGTATATGTAAAATACTGACACGGATGCGAGGAGGTAATTGAATACCTCCCTTAGAGCCATGCATCTGGGCAGACCAGCGATGACTGACTAGAAAATATTTTTTGAACAAGAAAATGAGAAAAGACCTAAGATATTTGCTGTTGATGTTGTTATTTTTGGATATAGGAAGGAGCGCATCAACTTCAGACAGGAGCAACTCAACTTGCAACTACAGAGCCAAGAGGACAGATAAGCAACATAAAGACCCGTTTCCAAACAGTGATAGGCATGTCTCTATACAGTTCCAGTGGCTATTCAAACATTAACTTGGTAAACCATCTAGTGACCATGGAGTAACCACAAAAGCGTCTGCTTCTCAACTGAATTGGCGTAATAATCAAGGGCAAGAATGGGCCATTGTCAGGCTGGCGTAGTAGAAGAAGGTGTAGCCTTTGCTTGTCGTGGAAATATCAAATGAGCAAAAAAAATAAAAAAATAAAAAAAATAAAAAAAATAAAAAAAATAAAAAAAATAAAAAAAATAAAAAAAATAAATAAAAAACTGAGGAAAAACACTGCTTCTCTTATAGTTTGAGCACTTTTGTTGTTTGATGAATCCAGTTTATTCTCAGAACGTAATGTTCGCACCAAGTCAAGTCTAAAAACAAAGTACTTGATCCAGACTTGATTCGAAAAGCCTTCATGGTTTCAGATTTGAATAAATCAAGCTGATTGTCAAGCCTATCAGAAAGATTAGCTTAAACTAATACGCACGGAATAAACCCTTTGAAAACCCCCAAAGGAGACGTCTCACCTTGAAAGGACTAGTCAAATGTCTATGTAAACGTACATGCATTCAATATGAAAAGCTTTATTCATTGTCTATCGGATTTTGGTTTTTCTTTAAAGAAAAGGATCCTTTTTATCATTGTATGATGCAGGAAACATTGATGTGTCTGTATCAATAGGCGTGATACTACTGGTATGGTTGCGTAAAGCCATTCATCAAAATTCAAGTTTAAAAATCAAGGAGTGGATTGTCTGTTTGTTTTTCTTTGCGTTATACTATTTTCTCATTACATTTATATCACTACACAATATGACCAACCAATACCAAGCTGTGATTGATGCCAAAGGCTGTACCACCAAGTACTAAACTATATTATCTTAAAGCAAACATCTCAACAAATCATCCACAAAGAACTGAGCGCATTTAAGTATCATCTTGGCATATTAAAGGGCTCTTGGATCATGATACCTTCGTTGCTGAGTTGTAATGACAAAGAAAATTAGGCTAACTTTATTTCGGGTCAGTCTATAATCTATCATAGATGAGGCGGTAAGCCACTTTGATCATGTTGTGCTGCTGCATGTGTAACATCGTTGTTCTGATTTGAAAGATAGGATGGTACAGTATGGGATGAAATTGGTAAAGGAACATGCTGAGGTGCAATGGGCTGATATCCTTGAAAAGGTGCTATACCAATGTGTTCTATCTTTTGCTTCTTATTGTGTTCATTCTGTTTGCATTTCTGACATACAAAGAGAATATCGTCTAATTTCTTTTTTTGTTCAATCTGTCCGGATTTTTCGAGACAAGCAATGTGTTGCCAAATACCACATTGCTCACAAGCAATCATAGACGAACCATCATCCTAGAGAAACCATTAGCAAGCATTGATGTAGATAATCTTAATTACCAGATTTTGTCCAGAAATGCCACACACACATTCAAATAACCAATTGTCTTCTTCAACGTTTTTGTTTTTTGGTTTACGTCCTCGTTTCTTGAGTGGAATCGGATTTCCATCGACGCCTAACTTTGGTTTTCTAGGTAGAGGATTTCCATGCTCATCCAATCTCTTTGTATATTTGCGTTTTGGCTTCTTTCCTTCTTTTGTCTCTTCTTTTTTTGGTGTTGGCTCTATCATGGTTTCCACAGATTCTTCTTCCTCTTGACGTTTTTCACGAGTCATGGCGCGATACTCTCGTTCCATCAAACGCCTTTCGCGTTCCAAAAGTCGTTCCTTCCTTGCTTTGGCTAATTGCTCCTTTTCCTGCTTCTCTTTATCTTCTTGTTTCTTTTCTAAACGGCTGGATGTTCTCGGTCCAAGATCATAATATTCTAATTCTCTCACCATAAGACGAGAGCTTCGCTTACGATGGATCATGGCTTCTTGTTTCTTCCTCTCTTTCTCTCGTTCTTCTAGTGCTGGTAAGACTTTGGGTACTAAATCATTCACAAGAAAGCGATGGAATCGTTGCTCATCAATGTGTTTACTATTGGCGTATTTAGTTGCGATATTTTCCCAGTCAAATTTAGTGAGACAAATCAATTTCCAAGGTGTCCATTCTTCATTATCATTATTATCGTCTTCTTCACTTTCTATTGTTTTTGATCTGCGAGAGCTTGAACGAGTACCGGTGGGACGTCTTTTTATAATAGTAGCAGGCTTTTGGATTTTTTCTGGTTCCGGTGTTTCTTTATAAAGCCGGTTATCTAATATATATCAGTATCCATCTATACACATAAGTATATTACCATCAAACAGCCAAAAAATGCTTCCTTTTCTATCATAACCAATTGGATCTACTCTCTAATCATAAAGTATAAGTACTCTTCTTTCGTATACCATGATTACCCATTGCACAGCATCATCTTCTGATACCAAATGCTCTCTTAGTTTCTCAGGTTCATCTAATTGCCACTTATAAAAAATAACATCAACCATCACAGTACGAACACAAAAGGTTTTTCCTTACCTCGCATAACAAATACAACAAATGAACTCGTACATCAAGTGCCATGTCAAAATAATCAATTGTTTGATCCTGACCTACAAATGGATTCATGCCTTCTTGCTGCTTTTTGTCAAATTCTTTGGAAAAACAAGTCTGCCAAGTAGAGACACTATAAACGAGTCAGATGAAATCAAAACACAAAACACGACTTACTTTATAAAGCGATTTTTAGTCGAGAATCGCAACATACGCACCATTAAATCTTCTAACCGAATTCGTTCTACTGGATCAAGTATCATGCGTTCAAGGTCCTAGCTATCAATAAAAATCATGCATTCGTGTTTCACACAAACAACATACCTCAGTTTCAAATACATACTCATTCGAATCAATTTGACGAGCATATATAATATCATTAGCAGTCATAGGCCATGGATGAAAAGCTGTATAGAACGTATGAAAGAACTGTGCAATGGAAGCAAAATCAATATTGTTCCGTAAAAGTGTAATATCAGGCAAAATACTATTGTCCATAAAGTGTATATTAGTCTATTGATTCGAGTAGCTATACTGTAAGTATTTAAATGAAATAGATTCGGATAGAGAATGTTTAGATTTATGGTTGTGTTGATCAAGATCAGTCGAACAAAAACAGTTGAAAAATGAAAACGTATCACTTGCCCTTGTTCGACTGGGAGGAAAAAAAAAAGAGTCCTTTTCGAGAATTCAATCACCGCCAGTAGGTGGTTGTCATGGTGACTCTGCAAACGTTACCTAGCAACCGTTTCTATTGCAACGTAGGATCAAAAAAGAACAAGCATCATTGAAGCAAGGATAGAAAAGTCCAACTTAAGCAATGTGTAGCATCATGCAATCAATCTCGAGATATAAGAAAAAAGAGAAATTGTATCGAAAAAAGTAGGGTAGCACGTGATAGAAATATTTGCCTTTTTCCCTTTTTTTTCTCTTCCTCTTTTTCTCTTTTTTTTTCTTTTCATATATATACACACATACATTTATATCTATATATACATATACGTATATATATATATATATATTTTCTCTTTTTCTTTATCTCTGTGTCCTCGTTTCCTTGTTTTAGAGAAACACACTCATTATAGTCCTTTTTTTTTAGAAAACACTTTTCTTCATCATCTCCTCTCTGGTCATGTCACAAGCTTCACTTCAATCAGAAGAACACAAACCTTCTCAATTTGTACCTCAATCCAGTTCCTCAAAGAAAGGTAAAAAAAAATTCAGTCCATATTTACATCAACTGAAAAAAATAAAATAGAAAAAGGCAAAAAGCAAGTTGATCCCGACTATGTTAAATCTCCTTTACCTCCCCGTCCATCCAGCGAAAACAATAGGCCCTCTTCCACTTCAACCAGTAGCCGTGGAGGAAGCTTGAAACCATTTCAAAAAGGTGGATTTTTGTCGTTACTTTTGTGCTGTACAGTAGGTGCAAGCTCATTTCTCGACAATAGTGATAAATCGTCGCTCCAGAACAAAAAGAATCGATCGAGTCGTACCAGTCTACAAAACCCAGTAGTTGTCAAAGAAAAACCAGCATTGCACATCGCTACCAGCTCAACAGAATTAGATACTCTGTCGTCTACCAGTTCACATCTTGTTCATAGTCATATCACGCATCCTAATAATAATACAACTAATACTGCAACAAACATCCATCATACCAATTCTACTACTACTATTACTTCTAATCATACTAATACTAATACTAATAACACTACAGCACTTGATTCACCTGTTTCTATTCAAACATCTACTGTGGTAAGCAGACACGGGGTTTTTATATCAAACTTATTGTTTTTGTTAGGGTCCTGTTGTTTGGTTATTACCGCCGTTGGCTAAGGAAGATAAGGAGCGTAAATGTCTTGTGCTTGATCTTGACGAGACACTGGTTCATAGCTCATTCAAGGTAAATATACATAAAAGGATTTTAAGCGTGTGTGTGATACAAATAATATTTTATAGATTATTCCAAACCCTGATTTTATTGTACCTGTAGAGATTGATAATCAATATCATAATGTATATGTATTAAAAAGACCTGGTGTTGATGAATTCATGCGTAAAATGGGTGAAAAGTATGAAATTGTTGTATTTACTGCCAGTTTGGCTAAGGTAAAATTTGCTATTCTTCGTATACAATCAAGTTAAGACTCGTTCTCTTAGTATGCTGATCCAGTACTCGATATGTTGGATGTTCATAGAGTAGTCAAACATCGATTGTTTAGAGAATCCTGCTTTAATCATAAAGGCACTTATGTTAAGGTAAGCATGCCGTGATACAATGACCCTATTAAGCTTCTTATTAGGATTTGTCACAATTGGGTAGAGATTTGGCTTCTACACTTATTCTTGATAATTCACCTGCTAGTTATATCTTCCATACATCCAATGCTGTTCCTGTCTCCACATGGTTTAATGACCCTCATGATACCGAATTAACTGATCTTGTTGCTTTTTTAGAGGACTTGACAGTGGTTGATGATGTTCAAGTTGTGTTGGACAATGTTATTGATCCAGCGCTTGTTTCTTCTACTGCTTAAGTCCTTTTTTTTTATTTTCGTATTTTATAATACCCATATTTTATATATTTCTATTAAAAAAAGTCTACTTTGTAAAATACTTACTTTCATCACTTTCAATCGGAAAATAATCCCGAGAAGTATAGTTAGATGGGCGGGAAATAAAGAATAGACTGGGAAAAAACGACTTGACCAGTAAACACGAATCAAGGCATGCATAAAGATGTATAACTGTCTCACGTGATGATCAAAATAACTTGAGGAGGATTCTTTATTTTTATTTCTATTTCTCTTTCTCACAGACTATTGATTATTTGTCATGACTGTTATTTCTCCTCAAGAAGTGGCTCAACATAATACCAAAGGTAAAAGATAAGCAAATCAACATAAGAGACTAAAAGAAGAGTACCTAGATGATATCTGGGTCATTATTCATGGCAAAGTGTACGATCTTACTCAGTTTTTGCCTGAACATCCTGGTGGACAAAAAATCATTCTGAAATATGCAGGCAAGGATGCCACCAGTGCCTTCGAACCTATCCATCCCTCTGATATCATTCAACGCTTTTTATCGCCTGATGTCTGTAAGGGGTCTGTAGACGCTGAAGCACTTGCCAAACAACCCAAGGTAGAGACTGAAGAAGAAAAGCGTGTTCGACTAGCAAGAGAGCATATGCCTAAATTGCATGAAATGTTTAACTCGTTTGATTTTGAAAGTACGTTCATGCTTTACTTTACAAGTGATTAACTCTTATGGATAGCGGTAGCAAAATCAGTCCTAAAATCAGAAGCATGGGCGTATTATTCTTCAGGTGCAGACGATGAAATTACAATGCGCGAAAATCATAATGCATTTCATCGTATTTGGCTTCGTCCTCGTGTGATGGTCAATGTCAAACATGTAGATGCTTCTACAACCATGCTGGGTACTCGCGCTTCAATGCCAATCTACATTACAGCCACTGCTTTGGCCAAGTTGGGTCATCCTGAAGGTGAAGTTGCCTTGACCAAAGGAGCCAAGAAGGGCAACATCATCCAAATGATTTCTACACTCGCTTCCTGTTCTTTTGATGAGATTGTGGATGCTGCTGGTTCCGGTCAAACACAATGGCTTCAATTGTATGTGAATGGCAATAGAGAAGTCACCGAAAAATTTGTACGTCATGCAGAATCTAGAGGTATCAAAGGACTCTTTGTTACTGCTGATGCACCTCAACTAGGTGAAAAAAAGGAAAAATAAAATTCTCCGTAAATTGCTAATTTTTTTTGGTTTAGGTCACCGTGAGAAAGATATGCGTCAGAAGTATTCTGAAGAAGAACCTGATGAACTTGCTCGTAACGACACTGAAATCAATCGAGACCAAGGTGCTGCTAGAGCCATTAGCAGTTTTATCGACCCTTCACTTTGTTGGGATGATGTTGCATGGCTCAAGAGCATTACTAAAATGCCTGTTTTGATTAAGGGTGTTCAAACACCTGAAGATGCTGTCTTGGCTGCTAAATATGGATGTCAAGGCGTTGTGCTTTCAAATCATGGTGGAAGACAATTAGATTTTGCTCCTTCTGCTATTGAAATCTTGGCAGAAACCATGGAGGCATTGAGAAAAGAGAAATTAGACAAAGATTTTGAGGTTTATATCGATGGTGGTATTCGTCGTGGCACAGACATTTTCAAGGCTATTGCTTTGGGTGCAAAAGGTGTTGGTATTGGACGTCCTTTCTTGGTATGTTATTCTATAATGTTGTCTGATCATTTATTGACTACTAATAGTATGCCATGTCTACTTATGGTGTTGCAGGTGTAGAAAGACTAGTGGAGTTGTTACAGGTAATGCATTATTTTGAGAAAATAATAACTTAAGATATGTTGCAGGATGAATTTGAAATGGTGATGCGTCTTATGGGTGTTACTCGTATTGCCGACATCAAGCCTGAAATGGTAGATATTCGTAATATCAAAGATCATTTTGTATCAAATCCAGTTGATCATCTATTTAACTCTGCTTATGAAAGAATGCAGCCTAGAGGTCAACTATCGAAGCTATAGTTGCCAGCGAATAAACCAGAGGTTCTTTGACTTGAGATATTGTCTGATTGTTAACTAAAATATGACGTTGCATTTTGAAAACTGTCAAAATCCAATGCCAGTGTTTTTTCTTCTGACGTTAAAATTTTTAAAAAAAATTCAGGAACTGAAAGCGGGCGCTTTAAGACACTTTAATTTTCCGCCACAACTTCATTCTTTGCTACGTTACACAATCACAATCACAATCACTATTATAAATATCACTCTTATCTCGCTGCTTTCCTTCTTTTTCTCTTGGGAAACTTATACTCTTCAGATAATTAAAAAAACTAAGCTTTATTCATTACTACTGTTTATTCATATACTAACCAAAATAAAGCTATCTATCATTTATCTGTAAAGCGCAATTGAATAGTCAAATTCTAACTCAAGTCGTTTCCCGTATAGTTTTTATTGGCTCCAAAATATTTCAGAACATATTTGCCTTCTTTTTCCATTGTTATCATCACATACTGACTTTATCACTATAAGTGTTCTTTCAAAACAAAAACATTCGCGACAAAATGTATGATGAATTCAACTTGCAATTTGTAGTTGGCAAGAAGTTTAAATCAAAAGAGGACTTGAAGGAAGCTATTTTGACTTCTGGAAAAAACTTTAACGTTGTTTTCTCTGTCAAGGGCTCTCATCCCAAAAAAAGGAGAGTATTACTACATTTGTAAGCATGGAGGCTTCAAGCGCATCAGAGATGATGAAATTGATGAATCTACCTTAATTGATCTCAAGACTGGAGAAGAAATTGAGGTCGTCGACACTACGATTGAATCCGATTTAATTGAAGAAGCACCTACCAAGGTTGTTTTAAAGACCAAGTACAAGAAAAGTACTCAAAAGCTCGGATGTGTTGCTTTTATCAAGATATTTAACCTAACTGTCAAGAGTAGCAATGCTATGCATAGCCATCCAATCTCACAAGATGCTATCACCTATGCAACCCATCGCGAACAACACCCTGAAGTTATGGAGCAAACTCACTCTATCTTAGACGATGGTCATAAAATTTGAGCACTAATCGTACTTTAAATACACTTTGAAAGCATTATGTATTAACAATATCGTAAAGAGAGATGTTCAAATCATCCAAACATTGTTCCTCAAGCATCAATATGGAAAGGAAATGTATTCTTTGCTTACTCAAATGGAACATCTTGGGCATGTTGTTTGAATTCAAGGCAAACTCAAAGCATGAAGTCTGTGGTTTCTTTTTTATCAGTGAAGCAGCTATCAAGGAAGCCTGAAGATGGCCTGAAGCTTTGACAATCGACGCCACTTACAAGACAAACGGACACAAGATGACTTTGGTCAACATTGTTGGCGTTGTGATGTAAGAGAGAAGGTAAAAACAAAGAAGTCGATTAGAACTTGTATAGGTCTATTATCCAAAAAAAAATATATCCCTGATTCTAGCTCTTCATTCTCTAGGTATTTATATATGAAGAGATGTCGGAGTAAGTAGTAGTAGAGTTCATGCAAATGACTGAGTCTCTATTATCATAGACTACTTTAAATTAATTAAATAATGTAAATTATGGATTTCGGTTATAAGTCTTGATCTATTAAAAGATACATTGTCTTATTCAGTACAAGAGGTTCTTTTATGTCTATTTCTGATGTAAATTGATTATGATGTATTTTAGTATGTAAATGAAGACTTATTTAATGTCAGATCATCACATTATCCCCACCCAGGTATTGACTAATACCGACAAGCTTATTTAAGATCTTCTATTCTTTTTGTTTTGATCTGTATTGTTTCTTGTCGATCTTTTTCTCTTTCCTGAATGTTGATCTAATTGTGTTTCTTGATCTTTTATGTTCTTCAATAACTTTTTATTGGCTTTTATTGATAGCCTTGACACTTTCAGGAATTACACCTATTCTTCTCCAATATTCTGTTATGAATTTAGGATCAGTGAATGAAGATTCAGGTTCCCATGTGTCTTGAGATTCATCATAATTTAACCATCTACATCTATAGAGATACTTATTGTTTACATCCTTTTTATGTCCTATTATTGCTTCCACTTCATAATATTGTTTATCTTCAGGTACAATCTTATCTGAGACAACTTTTAGTAAAGAAGGTGGGTAATTTCTAGGCTCAATGAATCCTTGTTCATTCTTTAATACATAAGAGCCACCAGAGGTTTTATTGACTATTTTATAGAATCCTTTATAGTGAGGATCAAGCTTATTTTGCTTGTCTGTAACTAAAATCATTACAGTTGCATTTATAGGAATATCAAGTATTTTATGCTTGTTGTCAAACCTTAGTTTCTGTTTATCTGCTACGCTCTTTGCTTGTTCATAGACAGCAGGAAAGACTATTTCAGTCATGTATTTTATTTTTTGTTGCAGATCCTTATTTATTTCCTCAGTTGTTTTTATATCCTTTTCTTGACTGAAGTCTTCAAAGTCATTAGGATTTCTACCAAACATTAAAGAGAATGGAGTGCTTTTCGTTCTGAGATTATATTTACTGTTTAGATATAATTGGGTTGGTCCTACCATGTAGTCCCACTCAGCCACATTTCCATTTATTTGTTTCTTTATGGTTTTTACAGCTGATTGAACCGCTCTTTCACTTGCACCATTTGCTCTTGGATGATATTGTGAAATTAATGCGTGTTCGAAACCGATATGTTTCTTTATGGTGTTCATTAAAAACCCAATAAATTCTTTTCCATGGTCGCTTTGGATTTTCCTCATAGGTCCAAAGGTGCAGATAACGTTCAGTATCTCTTTAGCAACAGTTGCAGCTGATTTATCAGGTATAGCTCTCAATACATAAAATCTACTAGCTATATCTATCATGACTAACAAGTATTCGTTGCCCTGAGCTGAGGTAGTAAATGGACCAGCTAAGTCAATACCCCAACTGTCACCAGGCAGAGTAGCTAACACAGGTCTTAATGGATTATACCCTTTTCTGCTGATATTATGACGCTGACATTGTATACACGCCTTAACTAATTCATCTGCATCATTCTTTAGATTCGACCAATAGATGCCTTTACGCTTTAATGCATTAATTAGAGCCTCGGTAGAAAAGTGCCCTTTACTATGCTCAAAAGCAAGCACTTTATCACGCTCCTCATATGGAGGTGTAAAATATTCACCACTTTCAAGTGTGGGTAATGGTTCGTTAGTGGCAGCACTACTTCGCATGATTGATTTTTCCCCTCCCAGTTCATTTGACATTGTTGAATCGTCCTCATAGAGTCTGGATAAAGTGTCAGGTAAGACATTTGAAATACCAGGCAAATGAACGATCTTGAAGTCATACTGGAGAATGGTGTCCATCCATGAGATCATCATCAGGTTTGCAATACGTTGAGTATGTAAGTAAGTAAGTGCCTTATGATCCGTATATAACGTAAATGTAGAACCATAGATATACTTGTGAAAACGCTTCAGTGAGAATACAAGTGCAAGTAGTTCACGTTTTGTGGCAGAGTATTTGCGTTCACTTTTAGATAGACTTTTAGCAATAAAAGAGATGTACTTTTTTTCTCCATCAGTCTCTTGATACAATACTGCGCCAATACCAGTGTTCGATGCATCACAGCTTATGGAGAATGGAACATTCATGTCTGGATAGGCTAACACAATATCACTTAACAGAGCTTTCTTGAGGTTATCAAAAGCCTTTTGATGTTTATCATTCCAGATCTTATGCAATGATTTTTCATTTCTCAATTCATCAAGTGGAGACATGATTGAAGAAACGTTAGGTATCAATGATCGGAAGAAATTCAATAGACCACAGTAGCGCATGATGTCTTTGCCACATGTTGGTTTAGGAAATTCAAGTACATTGGCAAGTTTGCGACGATCCATTCTGATACCTTGTGGAGAAATATGGAAACCAAGCAAGTGAATTGATGATTGGAAGAAATGACACTTGGCAGGGTTCAATTTCAGGTTTACATCAGTTAAGCGTTGGATCACTTGTTGTAAATGGATTTTATGCTCTTCGACTGATTGGCTAGCACATACAATATCATCGACAAAGAATCGCACAAAAGGTAAACCTTCAAGAGCAATACTCATGGTTCTCTGAAATTGTGAACTCACATGTTTGATGCCGAATACAGTGCCAATAGGCTGATATTGTATTCCACGCCATGTGAATGAAAGCTTTACAGTGTCCTTAGGATTCAATTTTAAAGAATTGAATGCAGACTTCAAGTCGAGAGTAGAATATACTTTAGCACCCTGTAATTCCTCAAAGAGTTCACTAATTACAGGTAATGACATACGATCAACTGTTTTGAGCAAAACATTAATATGACGAGGATCATGACACACACGATAGCCTGTCAATTCACCTTTACCATCAGTCTTCTTTACAACAGTAAGAGGCGTATTCCATTCAGTATTGGCTGGTGCTCTTTTGATAATACCGTTGCTCAACCATTCATCAATCTGTTTATCCACTACGCCCATCATTTTCAAAGGTACAGGATAGGGTTTCTTATACACTGTTACATTAGGTGGAGTATCTAGACATACCACACTTTCAGGTATAGTACAGAAAGATCCTTTTGGAATAGCTTGGTTATTATCAATATAAGGTTGAATATAATCCATTGCAGCTTTATATCCATCAGCATTACAAGCAGGATTATGATCACTCATCTTATTTTCTTTTTCTAAAGATTCTAGAAGATCACTAGTATTGTTATAGCGTCTATCTGCTTCAAGCACTTCTTCAGTAGTATCTTTATCATCGTATGACAAAGGTAATCCAGAGATTCCAATGCCTAATGTGTACATGTAATCGGTTCCAATGCTGAGCGAGAACTCATTATTATTGGTAAGATTCATAACCTCAAAAGTACGTTTTATAGTTTTACTATTGCAACTAGCGCTTAAGGTACAAGTTCCTATTCTTTTGACGTATGTATTTGTATCAGCAAGTCTTATGAAATACTTGTGTAAGTTATTTTTACTAATAAGATCTTTATTGATATGATTTATATAATTGATGTCTATCTTATTTTCTAAACAGAATGACTTGTCAACTGAGAAGACAGCACCACAATCTAACAATGATATTGTTAATCAAGAGCCAAACGAGCCAAACGAGCATTTTCATCAGTGTCATCATCACTGTTATCATTGTTCTTCATATCAGCGTCATCATCCAAAGAAGAACAACCACCACGCACAGCCATTCTTGAAACCTTCTGTTTCTTGGCGGCCTTAGCCTCCTTGAATTCATCACATCTGTGACCATGGGACCATGGCTTATCACAGTACGTGCAAGGTTTCTTACTTGAACTTGGTGCATAAATGGACTTGCTAGACTCCGAAGAACCTTTACCAGCAAATATGTGTGAGTAACTGCGTTTACGACTACGCTCATTGTTACCCTTATATGAACCAGAACCCGAAGAAGAGCTAGGTAGACCAGCAGCGTCCCACGAAGAAGAGAATAAATCAGTGTCATTAGTGGCAGCAATTACCAAACCGATCATGTCTTCGATTTTACTTGGCAATTTTGTTCCATACTGGGAGGACACAGCAACAGAGGCAACACGACGGACGGACTCACGCAGAGCACACCAAAAACTCAACACCAGTTGTAAACCATCGGCTAAACCTGCCTGTCTTCTAAGCTTCTGAAAGCGAGCAGCAAAGGAACGAGTTGATTCACCATGGGATTGCTTGAGGGACCACACCTTTACCATCAACAAAAACTTGCGATAGGGGTATCAAAATGATCCAAGATCATCGATTCAGCTTCCTCCAGGACAGACATTTGTTTCTTAATTTTTCATCAAACCAAGATTTCTCTTCCT